AGTGTGTATAAACCTGTATCTTAGGATTTTAAAAACACACATGAACACAAATCCGAAGTTATTTTTGAATTAGACTCTTCTTCAAGCAGCAAGTTAAATGTGTTCAATATTGAGGTAGGAAGAAAAATAACTGAAACAATAATCTAGTAGCATTTTTTCTTTTTGTCTGATAGAGAAGTATGTATAAAGGGAAGCCATGAAGGCAGCCTTAAAAAAACTGGTATGCCACGGGTCCATCCGCTTCTGGTCGGTGCACTCCCCTTTCTCTCTTCCACTTGAAATAACCGAGTCAGCCATCCCTTTAGCTTTAGAATATGTACTATATGCTTCGTCTCCTTTCGCATACATATCGTTCATTGCACTCTACTCTCAGTTAGTTATCTGGACAGTATATTTTGTTAAAGATTGTTTGAGCTATTCATTTAATTCATTAAATGCTTTTTAGAGTAGTAGCATTCCTACATGTTTAAATATTCCCATATGTCATTATTTTTATTTTACTTCAACAATTATCTATTTATTGCCATCTGTTTTTGGTCAATAATTACATGAAATTTATGTCGAGAAGCTTCTCATCATTCATATCAAATCGAATGAAAAATGAATTTTTCTCTCCTTCTTGTGTCAATAAAAATGATTTTGGAATAAATAGTGGTAGTGGAGATTTGATGATGATTGTTATTAATTAAATAAATAACTGAGTGAAAGGGGTGAAAGTACAGTCATGATGGAAGCAATATTTTACTTTTTATTTCCATGCTTAGGAGGGATCCAAATTGTATTGAATGATATGAGCCTGGTATTTGTTTCTCTGACAGACCCTAGTACCCTCAATAATTCCTGTATGATAAGCCCTACATGGCGCGATAGAGTACGGCGCACACCAAGTATTCTTTACCTTCCTAACGATCGATTCGCAACACAGGGGCGTAACCTACACTATGATAAAAAGAAAATACATTTGTTGTCAATAACAGACAAAGTGCCAAAATTTTTTTTCATCAATATTCTCAAAAGTTCCAAAATATGAAAATAAAGTATTGAAGAAAAATATTTCTTCATTTTTCCTGTTATATGTTTGGATTTTTTATTATTTCCAAACATTCAATAGACTTGGAGGTTTCCTTTTATCTGATCAAAGCAAACCTTTTGTAAGATAATATCAACTATTCCTTCCGGCTATCAAAAATATATAAAATTTTCTAGATAAAGTCTTGAAAAAATATTATAGACATTTTTTTTTTTTTTAAGGTCTTAATTACTTTTTTTTTGTTCAATGTCATATCTAGATAGGTAACATTTGTTTTTAGGTAATCAAGTGAAAATGAAAAAAAAAAAAATATTTTACTTACCTAAAAGATTTTGATTATTTTTTAATTAATATTAGTTAAATAAAATTTATATTTAAAGCTTCTATTTCATGACTACATAACATTTTTCCATTTAACGGCGAAACTTATTCTTCTTGATATAAATAAAGCTCATTGATAGTAATAAAAAGTTTCATCATAAATAATAAATCTTTCTTCAACAAAATGAAACTTGAATAATAAAAAAAGTCCTTTATTAACGTTAATAAAGAGTTTAGTTGATTAACAATAAAAAAAAAAAGAAGAAGTTTACTATTGGTATAGAAAAAAATTCTCATTGAAAACTGTCGTGTCGTTATCGAGGAATTATTATAAAGAGAAATAATCCACTTCTTGTGTTATTTATTTTTCATTAGTGTTAGTAAAAAAATTTGATATACATCAAAACCAAATAGTGAATATTTTTAATACTCAATCCACTTAATTATCTACATATTTCATTCCATAAAATAGTTAACTATATTTGCCGTTCATTGAGCTGCATTTTTTTGTATTCAATTATTTGGTTTGAAGGGTCAACGCCCTATTATGAGGGAGGGAGCTGCACAAAGTGCTAAATCCTGTTGGAAATTCTGTCATTTCCATTCGTGACAAGCTCACGAATTTAGTCATATTAATTTTTATTTCTTGTAATTATTGTAATACTTAACACATCATTTATTGAAGATCGTTAACTACTTAATACCACTACAAATACTGTAGAGATAGTGTTAATTTTACTGTTGTAACGTGGGTAAAACTCGTTACGTAAATAATACTAATTCTAATGTTGTAATGTGATAATATTGACCATGCTAATTTGATTCATTTTGCTACCTTGACAGTTATTTATGATATGTTGATGTTATTTAGAATAGTTAAAAGTATCACAGAGTTAATGAAATTTCTCGAATAAACAATCAAGCTTTGAATTTAATTTTGGAGGAATAAAATTATCTTTTAAAGATGATTGGTGATGTAAAAATAAAGATTCTTTTTTAATTATTACCTTTTTTAGATAAAGAATACATCAAACATAGGTTCAATAGAGGCCCAAGAAAAAAGTTCACAGCAAGCTAAAATAAATATGCAAATTAGTTAATAGATAATTTTTTTTTTAATGAATATAAGTTATCTTTTTTTTGTATCTTATTGTAGAAAATTGGACCTACCCTGAAAAAATTTTACAGCTGTAGGAACAATAATAATGTTAACACTTGAATTAACTATATTATTAGATAACTGTAAGAATTATCTAGATAATTGATATTATAATGAATAGTTAATATTATAATTTTATTGTTATCCTTAAAGTATAATAGTTTTATAAAATATTTTATAAATAAAAAAATCACCATAATTTTTTATATTATAACGTTTTTAAAATTATTTCTTATAAATAAATAAATTGCCATCAAGTATTTACTTTTCTTTCTACTAAAAAACTAATCCATGGAAGTAATTCAAATGGATAAAATAAATGTCTCAATATTTTATATTTTTTTATACTTTAAAGTGAAACAGTCCTTTAAAAGACCAATCACTAGATATTGAAATAATTTTTTAGTTCTTTTATCAACTAGAGGTGATTTTAAAGGATAAGAGATATTTTAATGCATTTTAATTGTTATTCTTTTATAATTTAAATAATTTGTCGATCTCTCCTGGGTAGTGTTCATCTATTAATAAACAATAAAAAATAATAAAAAAGAAAAAATCAAGTTGGATGTATATTTTTGAACAAGACATATCAGAGAGACATATGATCTTGTATTTAAAAAAGACATTGGCAAATTGGAAAAGCGAATTGTCATGTCTCCAGTGAGTGTCATTCACTCTGTATCCGATTTTTGTGTATCACTCGATAGTTAATGTGTATATATCTATATAGATACATTTCACTGACAGTAGAAATGTCGAGGTAGCAACCCCTTCGTCGTAGTAGAGGGATAGTTATCGATTCTTTCCAACCACTAGTCTCGTCACCGTGGTTAGGTTGCTGGACTTTTCGGATAAATGTCTGTCACAATGTAAAAGTATAAGGAAAAGATTCAACCATAAATACATGTACTTAAGGAAGACCGGAATATACTTGTTGTTGCTAAATAGCATATGAATGACATTGTAATTTCGTTAACTTGCATGGAAATGAGGACTCCTGAATCTAGATAATAGAAGTATACATAAAGATAAAGGAGAAGTAGGAAGAGATAATAATGAGGTCTTAAATGTAATCAACTATGAAGTTGTCCGATAGGATAATTTAATTCTTAATTACAAAAAAAAAAACCAAAAAAAAAGGCTAATGTTCCACTTATTTCGATAGAAATTCATTATAGTGGAATTTTATTTATTTTACTGATTTTTTAAATTAGTTTCTTTAAAACTTCTTCTTCTTTCTTTGAATCAACTAAATGATGGTACTTAAACTTTTTAAGCTTCATTAATACACTTTTATCTATCTAAACAATGACATTAATTTTCCAAAAGAAAGATTGATTTCTTTTTTTTAAAATTTTTCTACAGTTTTTTTTTCATAATAGAAATTTTTTAACAGTGAGTTTTCAAACTAGGTGTTGGTTAGTAAAGCTTAGACAATGATAAAAATAGGTTGTCTGAGTTGAAAAATGTAGCTTTTCGCTCAAACAGTAGAGAAACCATTCATATATATAAAAAAAAATACAATGTAAAAGAAAATGTTAAATTGAGGCAAAATTTTTAAACTTGTAATAAAGAATTTTGATTATTTAAATTAGTTAAGAAATTTTATCTTATTTGATACATTGTTTGAGTATAATATCAAATAATATTTTATTAAAATTTAATATTCATTTACTTTGATGTAAAATCACTGAGTTGGCTTGAAAAAGCTTTGAAATGTAAACAAAATATATTTTTCATAATTTACATGCCCTTATTTATATTTATTTCAATATATATTTCAGAGTTAAAGTAAAAAAGCTGATCATTAAATGTATACATTTAACAATAAATTAATAATATTGTTATATTCAAATATTCATACTTTCAACAAAGACATGACGATATTAATCTTGCACGTAATTCTATTCATTAGCTAAATAATAGTTTAACGATTGGCAAGTAAAAAAAAATAGAATATGCAGAAAATATCTTTTTATCTATATTCCATTTCTATTTTTACTGATATTATTGTTTCCCTTTTAATTAATTGAATTAATTGGTAGTTTTATCTTTTAATGTCACAAAGTTTCGAGAAAAACTTAAAATACAATTGAATTAGAGATAAAATTTCCTCAGTTAGTCATTTTGAAACTTTAACTATAATTAAATGGAAATATAAAGTCAATTAAATGAGTAACATTTAACCACGAAAGGTAAATATATATTCATTCGATTTACTTTTGTTGAATAATTTAAAAATTCATCATGTCACATTCTAATCCAAATATTGTTTCAATAAATCAAAACATTAGGTATCTTTTTTTAATAAAAAAATAAAAGATTTATTATGTAACAACAAAGATGATTGAAAATAAATTTTCTAATTTACCTTAAAGTAACGATATTTAATTGATGAGTAGTGAATTATGAAGGATGAATATATCAATAAATTTATTTCTTTCATCTAAACAATACAAGTGTCTATAAAAAAGATTTTTTTAATTGCAGAAGCTTCATCAGCAGACGTTGTAGGTGGGAGAGGAGCACGCGTGGAGGCGAGTCCGATCGCGCGGTTTTCGTCGCCGACGGCAAACAAGATAATGGTCGTCTCTCACAACCTCGGTGAGCTAGTATTACCTCAACGTTGCAGTAATACAAGTGATCGTCAATACCAAGACAAGAATCACTACTATAATCATCAGAACGTTGTCTGTCGATCAGGCCAATCAGCCCAAGACAAACGCAGCAGACTATCGAACGTGATAAATAATTTGAAAAAAAAAGTTCCAGAGTCTGGTTGTGAATCTTGTGATACTGACGGAAGGAATAGTGTTGAAAGGAACCTGGAAACACTTGAAAAATACGTGATGACTGTTTTAAATGGTGTAATTAAAGACGCGGAGACGGAAGGCCGAGGGGTTAGTGGAATAAATGGAATTGTAAATTCAGAGGATACGAGTAGATTCAGTGGCTCAAATTCTAAAGAAGATGCAAGAATTATTACTGAAGATGACAGAGATCCAGTCGTCAATCATGAGCCTTCTGAACCGAGTGCTGTGGAACCTGCAGTGCCGGACGGGGATATAATAGTAGATAAAAGAGAGAACGAGGATAAAGAAATGAATCAATCTAGTGAAGATGAGAGTTTGAAGATGGCTAATGATACGAGGAATTGTAATGCTGAAACAGTAGCCAAGACCAAAGAAGCTAATCCGTTAAATGCTACTCCGAGTGTATCACAAGCTCGAAAGTCCAGTTTAGATCAACAACTAGACGCTGATGTTGCAATATTAGATGTAGCTTTGAACGATAAAGTCGAGAATTCTAATATGGATCAAAGTGAATCTAGTGTAGAACGCGTAGAAAGAAGCTTTGCATCTAGTGAAGACATTCGAATTATTTGCCGAGATATTTTGAATGATCTTTTGAATGATATTAGTCAGATGTTTGAAAATGAAGAGAGTATTGATCCACCAACAACAAGTTTCCATTGTAGTCTACCACTCGATAAAGTAGCACCAGCTCTGCAAACATATGAGTCTGTTGAAGCACCAACTACTGCCTCTCAGGTGTCTCCAAAGTCTTCTCCAAAGTCTTCACCTTCCTCAACAGTTCGACATCTATGCTTGTATTGCGATAGAAAATTTTTATCTATTTCCTTACGTCAGCGACACATCGAAAGAGTACATCAACTCAATGGTGGAAGACGTAGCAGTGAGAGAAATGGACGAAAAGCAACTTCAAATTGTCTATATTGTTCTGATAAATATATTGACAGTTTAGAAAGTTTCTTTCAACACATGGTTGCATGTCATTCTGACAAGTATCATTTTTGTCTTCAGTGTAATATACGTTTTGCAAGCAAAGATGGGCTTGCAGCACATATGAGAGACACTCATTCAAGTAATGAGAGGATATCTGAAGCCTTGGATAGATCAAAAGACACTTCACCATTAAAAGAATTACATTCTGGTAGTCGGGAAGCAACTTTTATTCAAGGAACTCGGGATTTACTTCAAGAAAAATCGGAAACAGACAAACGAGATAATGAACATCATCGTTTAGATACTCCTTCTACTCCACCAACTTCAACTAAATTGAACATGTTTCAACGATTATCATCGAACAAGGACTTTAGTAATCCTGCAAGTCCTGATTTCGATAGTTCTTTTTATTCTAGCGTTAGTTGCAATATTCGTGAAAATTTATTGCATCATCTAGATGGTAAATTATTAAATAATGCTAATAATTATTCATTGGTGAGTCATGATATCAAGCAACCTCAACAACAACATTACCAGTCATTTCATGAGTCTGGAAATCAAATCCAGTTTCCTATCGACATTTCTCTCACAGCTGCTACTCCGGTAGATAGTAAAGAATATTCTCCGAGCGACAAGTGTGAAAATTCAAGCAAGTACGCGCAGAAGCCTGGCAAAACGAGTCGTTCACACCCACGTAGGGTATCGTTTGAGAAATATAATTTCCCAAGGAAATATGATGGTAAAGAACAATGGACATGCTCGATTAAAGATTTAAGTAAATTTGATATTTACACTCAATTGACGTTGAAGAAAAAGCAGGAATTGTTGAAAGAAAAAAATCAATCAACTCCTGAGACCATGGTGAATTTAAGTAATTCAGAAATTGGTCAAACCAACTTGAATGATTCAAGTGAAGATGCAATAACTCCACTGCCGGATGCTGAAAATACCAGTGAGACTCCGGTGGCTAAAGAGAAAATGTCAGGTGTTGAAGATGATGATTCCCAAGATACTCAATTTTCTTTAGAGTTTGGGAATTTCATGAAGCTTAGACGTTGGGATGAATGTCCACCTGAAACTATAAAAAGTAAAGAAATTGTATATGCTGAGCTTACGGGTGAATGGTCTCGACCACGAGTTTACATATGTGGTGCCTGCTCTTCTAGATACTTGACTTTAAAAGAGATGGAGGACCATAAGGTTACCTCACATCCGAATGTTTGGTGTTCGCATTTAGAATTCAGTGGTGACCAACGTGAGTTATATAAACATCTCTTTTTACCAGGCAAAAGTGCACCAGCTATGAAGATAGAAAATAACATACTGCCTGACAAAATTTGCACAAAATGTTCAAAGGCTTGTAATACATTAGCTGAACTTCATAGACACATGTTAGAGTGTGGTGGAGATCAAGCTTGGTTACTTGGACTTTTTGGTAATGGTAAGAAAAAATGCAAGTGGCGTCCATTTGGTAGTCGTAGCAGGAGACGTCGTCAACGTGGTATGAAGAGAAATATACAAAATTCACAAACGCCTCGAGTTAATCAACCAAAAGAAAAACAACCTAGTGGTCCAAGGGTGCGACCAAGTGACTGTAAGTTTTAATTATTATTTTTTTCTTTTTTTTTTTGTTTCAATTTCATATAAAAATATTTTTAAGAGAGAATTATCACGTTCTTCTTAAAGCGGATAACATCATATAAAAACACTTTCAATTTATAAAATAATTGTTCATTTTCATGATAAAAGTAGTAATATATTTTTCAAATAACTTGTTATGTTTATTTACATAATTACTTCTTTACATGTAAAAATGGGGGAGGAAAAAAAACAAATTTCCAATGAATTTTTACAACTAATGAATAATTTATCAATCAGTCTTTTGAAGAGATACGTGTTTACTCGTTACAAAGGACCTTTTTTTCTGTTTTATTTTACAGTCGAGAGTATTCAAAAAATGTTGGCAAATTTACCAGCCAAGCGATCAACCAGAAGAGACATACAAGAGACTCAAAGCAGATTGCGCAAAGTAAGATGAACATATTTTTTTTATTTATTAATATTAATTTAAACATGTTCAATATTGATAGGATAACAGCCTTGCGCAGCAAGAGAGTGAATATAAGTCGAGTATTGATCAGCAACCCCGTTAAACGTGCTTACATACATATGTAGTCATATCCGCTGACTTTACTATTTAACAGATTAAACATCTTAACTATAATAAATATAAATGTATATATTAAACCGCAAACTCCTTATTATCTTCCTTAAAAAACCTTTTTTTAATATAAAATAAATCATTTGTTATTTGGATATTTTTTTTTGTTTCATTCTAGGGAACCAATCAATCAAGACATTTAGGGGAAAATATATCATCAAATACACGTCTATCAAGTAAGGCTGTGCTAAGAAATAAATTGATAAAGAATGCAAAGTCATTCCAACGAAAACGTTGTCGTGGTGATAACATAAGCGCAGCAATAGAAAGTGTCATCAATAATTATAAGCCTAGTAATAGAGGGAATCATCTTGAGAGTAAGAGGAAAGATGAAGAGGATACGAATGGAGGGAGTAATATGAGTAAAGAACTGAAGGAAATAAATAAGTTAGAGAGTTCAAAGTTTAAAAGTAAATCGGCTGAAGTTGCAAAGAATGTTCAGTCAAATAATCGATCAAATAAGATGGTTAAAAGTGTTGGAATAGTTAGTAAGAGAAAAAAATTAAAAATTGAAGAAAAAAGACAACTAAAATCAGTTAATAAAATTTCATCAACTAAACAAGTTTCTATGGGTACTGAGAAAAAAGAATCAACCAAGTCTGGAAAAAGTTTGGCAAAAAAATCAACAAAAGATGAATTAAATCAAGAAAATCAACGAAAAGTTTATAAATCTGTTAGTGATAATGTTTTATCGCGCAAAAGAAAATCAGATCCTCAAAGTTCATTAAATGCATCAATTAAAGCAAAAACACAATTAAGGACTCACGATGGTAAGTTTGCTCGTAATCCTGAGAGAAGTGCCTCAAGTCAATGTGAATCATTAGGTTCGTCTAGTCAGTTAACTCGTACACGAACTACTAGAAGTGATCCAGGTCCTCTTGTAACTCGATCGAGGCTTAGAACCGTTGTACGAAAAGAATCGAATATAGGATTAAAGAAAAGAATTACTCGAATGTCTTCCGATAGTGATAAAATGCCCACCCTCGAGCCTGTTGATGGATTAATGGTGTGTCAGGAAGAAACCAAAAAATCCTCCAATAATCTACCTATTTTATCTCCGGTTACACCAACGACAAGTCGATCAAGTATCAGAGTTATTTCGTCTAAATTAAATGAAACTAATAAGAAGAAAATAAATGGAAGAAAGGGAAGACAAAGTGTTTTAAGTAAAAAGTTGAATAAAGTGGAGTCAAATAATGAGAAAGAATCTTCTACGGGTATAGAACTAGAAGACGATGCAAGTTTGAAACAAGGTAGGGACCTTCGTGTGAGAAAAAGAAAATCCTTTTCACCAAAAATTCCAAACAGCTCGGACAAAGACGAACCACTAAAGAGACAAGGAAGTTTGCGAGAGTTAAAATCTAGCGAGGATGACTCTGATGTTGCCAAGAAGAATTCAAAGCCTCAGGTAGTTACTTCCGTTAAAAAAAACGAACCATATAAAGTTCTGGAATCTCGTAAAGCTCGTCAGGAACGACGTACCGGATCATTAGAGGAGCTTTCTCATCTTCAAGAAGTTCCGTTAGAAGTAAAGAAACTCTTAGGACCAAAAGACGATCTTTTCACTCAAATTGGAATTGCCAAGAGTCCAAAAAGTCGCCGGAACTTACGACAATTTAAACAAACAACGAAAAATAAAATTAATTTTACCAGAAGAAGTAAAGTCATTTCAAATAATAAAGAGCTAAATTCTAGTACAGATGCAGCTGATGAAAAATTGGAAAAATTTCAATCAAAAAAGTTAAACAAGAGTACAGATTGGAGTGAAAATTCAAATGAATCTATTGACCAAGTTGATTCATCGCCAAAAATTAATACCTCTGAAAAGCAGATTATTGATAGTGAAAAATTGTTGACAAAAAACTCGAAAAATACGGGAAGAAACCTACGAAGTAAAAAATCAATTGTCGAATTAGAATCTCCACCAATTAAAGTTTTAGAATCGGAATCAATTAAATCAATGACCATTACAAGTGGTGATAATTGCGATAAAGGGGAGGAAAAAGAGGAAGAAGGGGAAGAGCATAATGCTGACGACAGCAAAAGTGAGGAGTGTCAGAAAATAGTGACGGCTGATTTGGTTAGTTTAAGTTTTGAACATCTGCAGCAAGAGTCGAGCAATTCAAATATCGATAGTGGCAAAGAAAATTTATCGGAAACGCCCGTTAATATTTCAAAAGCAAAAATATCTAGACCGAAAAAATGCCGGGGATTTCGACGTGATCGGGTAGTGAAAAGGACTTTGAATAATGTCATAGGAATTTTGACGGAGGGCGTAAATATTCCGGTAGAAGTACAACAAAATGTGGTGCTTACTGTGCAAACATCTATTGACAATATGAATGCTAATTCGGGAATTCAAAATAGTCGAGTTGAGTTAGATGATAATGGTGTCTCCCCTAATACTGTGTCTAGTGTTATTATCAACGAAAATGTCGATGAAAATCACAGAATCATTAATGAATGTGTTTCGAATGATAATGACAATAAAGAAAGCAATAACGAAGAAATCCAATGTACAAATAATTCAAATGAAATAGAGAGTGACAATGCTCTGTTAAAAAATAAAAGTGAATCGAATTTAAAGACTGAAAATAATGTTTCTGATTCATCAATTGTTAAAGAAGACATAGAAGAACCAAATGACATTATTTTAGATCTTTCTCGACGAAAAACCAAAGGAAAAGGGTCATTTTTGGAAAAAATTGTCTCGAAAATTGCTAAACAAAAGGACGCCCTACTTGAAGGGGAAGTAGGATCCTTACTTGATCATGCGGTTGATGAACTCAGTATAATTTTAGATGAAGTTGGACCTGTGCTAGGGGAATCAAATGAGTCGGCAAAAAATTTGCAACGGGATGAAATCGATGAAACATATAAAAGTTTAATTTTATCGAAAGAAAATAATGAAGAATTAAAAGAAGTTAAAGATTCTTTAGTTACTGAAAATAATATAAAAGAAGATTCACGTGTAGATGTTACTGTTAGTGATTATATTAATAATATTAATGAAAATAATTGTGAAACTTTGGAGAATGTTAATGAAATAACTCAGAGGACCTCGAAAAAAAGATCCTTAGAGGTAGAAGAAACAACGAATAAAAGAAAAACTGTTGAACAGATAGAAGTTGAGGCTGATAAAATTGAAGACGATTTGTGTTTAGATGATATTATTGAACTAATCAATACCCCTAAACGAGAGTCTTTAGTCATTAATGAGAACGAACAAGAAAAAGTTCGTCCTGGCAAGCGGAAAAATGCAGACAGGCAGCAGGATAGAGATAATGATGATGAAGGCAATGATACGAATGTTTGCAGTTCTGAAAACTGTGGTAAGCCTCAAATTGATGTAATTAAACCTAATAAAAAGTCAAAGCAATGCAGAGACGATAAAAACGATAGTAAAATAGTAGACAGTCCTGTTGAAAGTAATAAAAATAATAATTCTCCTGCTGGAAACAATTCTAAAATCAATAGTAATCAAATTAGTCAAGACGAAGAGAACAATCAATCTAAGGAGAGTAAAGAGACAGAAAAACTAGAGTATTTTAATGATCAAGCTATTGAATCTACTGATTTAAATCAAGACAAAATTGATAATCAATCAATGTCTTCAGAATTAAATCCATTAAGTAATAAAGTTGCTGTTATTGAAGCGAATTTAGCGACAATAGATACGAAAGAAATCATAAAAAACGATTGTACTCTAGAGGAATCTATAGATGGTAAGAAAAAAAATTTATCTGATGAAAGTAAGTTGGAAATGAAAGAGGAAAAATCAACGAAATTGAGAAAACGTAATAATAAAAAGAAATCAGGAGCAGATAAAAATTTGGAGTTATCAGAAAATGAAGTAGTTAAAAAGGCTGATCATTCATTTGAACATGCAGGATCTGGTAGTAATATTGATGATGCTAAGGTTTTGGATCAAATAAATTCCGAGAATAATCCAAATTCTAGCGACGTAAGTCAAAAATCACCATCAATGAATGCCGAAAAAGGAAAATTACAGTCGTTTAAAAATTCAAAAACAACAGAAATTACTGAGACTCCACAAAATACGAAAACTCGTGGATCAAAGAAAAAGTCTTTGGCAGATGAACATTTAGAGTTGACTGATGATGTTATTACTCCAAAGAAAAAATTGAAAGATACACTTGAAGATACTGCAGACATAAAAAATTCATCAAATTTAAATATTGAAACTAAAGAGAATTCTTTTGGGGATACTCGACCGAAAGGTTTAAAATCAAAGAAAAAGAAAGATGATGATGACTGTTTTCAAGTAAATTTACCTAAAGAAAAACCAAAAACAGTTGAAGATGAAAATAATACATCAAATGATACTTTAATTGAAAGAAGAAAAACTTTGAAAAGAAAGGCTAAGGAAAATATATTTTTAATTGAAGCTCTACTTGATTTTTACTACGATACTGACAGTTTATCAGAGCCTGAAAGTGCCAAAACTTCTAATGAAGCTTTAGAACCTGTTGGAGATTCACAAAAAGCTTCAAATGAAACAGAAAAGGTCATATCTAAAGAAAATATTCAAACTCAATTAGATGAGATTGAAAATAAAAATAATGATGAGAAAATTTCAACAGAATTAACGTCTCCTACTGTGGAAACTCCTGCCCTCGAGCCTGAGAATGCGGTCGATGATGGTTTAAATGTAAAAAAACGAGCATCTGGTAATTTTGCCGTAGTTCATACTAAGTCTGGTGAAATTTTAATTGTAGAAAAGAAGAAAAAATTTACGAAGGAAGCAGCAAAATTTTTCTGTAATGTCTGTACTACAAGTTTTACGAGAAAAAGTTCTTTAAAGAAACATAATCAATCACAATCTCATTTATTGCAAGTCACAAAAGTTGGAGCTGATCAAGAAAACCAGGAAGAATTAATGTCTCTCGATGATGCCACTGTGTCATCGATTGATCGAAGTGAGATTACTGTAAATGAAGATCACCTTGAAACAACAACTACAACAACCGATATTATGGAAGAGAAAAAAGATGATGAGAATAATGTGAAGGAAAAGCAAAGTGATGAAAAGAATACTGAAAATAATAAAAAGTTGCCCGAGGTTAAGAATGATTTGACTGAAGGTATTGAAACTAAAAGTACTTTGAACAATCAAATGGGAACAGATCTAGAAGATGAATTGTTAGATGAAGAAATATCGAAAATCACCGAGCACATGACTCATGATGAATACGTTCTAACAGATCACATAAGTCCAATGCCAGAAGGAACCTCTACGCCAGTCAAAGAAGCAAATGAATCACTTGCTGAACTTTCCAACGTCAGTGAGAACGAACAAAAGTTACAACATGAAAAGATTAATTTAGCTGATGAACATTTGAACTTGGATTCACCTATTTTGGCTGACAAACTCCAGCATCGAGATGATCATCTAAATAAATTTACACCAGGAAATTCTCTATTCACTCCAGAAGACGGTTTGAATGATTTAGAAGATAATAAAAATACTAAAAAGTTTGTCACAAATCTTGAAGAGAATAATTCTGTTGAATTAAACAAGATAAGCGATTTGAAACAAACTTTAGATGAATCAAAAGTTAGTTTAGATTTTACAAATATTACTGAAAAGCTTAAGAATAATGAATTCATCAAAAATAATTCGAAAAGTTCAGATGGAAATAATTTGGATGTAAATTTAAAGAATGACCTTGAGATAGAAAATAATTCAGAACTGAATGAACAAGTAGAAGACATTGTAAATTTACCTTCAATTTGTGATAATTTGTTATCAAAAGAAAAGTCGATTGATATTGACACAATTCCATTAAAAAGAAAAAAAGAACGTTCAGTTGATTGTGAAAATTTCGATAATATAAAGAAATGCAATAGAAGTTCAGTGCAAGGAGATGCAATCAAGAAGGATAATGGATCAGAATTGAATCGGAAATTATCAAAATCAGTCGAGAAAATAAAGAGAGCTAAATCAAAAAATAAAAATAGCAATGATAAGGTAGTTGCAAAAAAATTAATTGAAGATAGTAGTGACAGTGAGTATGATGAAAAAAATACAAGTGAAGCTCAAAGTAAAGGTAAAATAGTTAAGAGTGTCTTTGGGCGTGCATTGACGGGGGAAAAGGTCGATAAAGTAAAAGAAGTATTGGATGATTGGGTTTCACGTTTTGACAGTGATTCCCAAGAAAACTCTCGGGGGAATAATTGGCGTAATCGAAAAGACGAGAAAAAGAATAAACATGAAAAATCTTTATCCAACACAAAATCAAAAGTAACTTTGAAAAAAAATAATTTCAATTTAGATCAATCATCAAGTAGAGATACAAATGAATTGTCAATAAATTCACGATGTCGTCAGAGTAAGAAACGTGCTGAAGAGCGTATTTCTCGTGCTTTTGAAGAGGAATCAATTCCTTATGAATTGGCCTATGAAATAAGAAAGCAATCAAATTCAATAAAAAATATAATCAACTATGAATCTCTCATAGAGGAAGGAAATCAGGATAAATTAGAGACTGATTCAGTTAAATCATCAGATAGCAAGAAATCAAAGATGAAAGAGAATGAATTAATAAATGAAATAAATGAAAATGTTGATGAAAAAGATGAAGGTATGGATGAATTTAATAGCAATTATACAAATCTAAAACCCAAAACTGATGAATTCCTTTTCCCTGATACAAATTCTATGGAATCTATTCATACTCGAGTACCTAGTTGCCCTCGAGAACGTTCTTCAACTCCAGATTTAGTATCCCTAACTACTCGAGACTCTGAAAACGATGCGGAGATTGGTACGGATGTTGAAGATGACAATGAGGATATTATACGTGGTAGACTTTCGCCATCGTATGTTAGTAATTTGCCAGAGAGTTCAATTGATAGTGCGTCCAATAGTGAAGATAAAGCGAATAAAGATGAAAGTGTGAAAATTAATCGAAGAAGTTCTGGTGAATTTTCCGGCGAAAGAATTTTTATCAGATCAACAGTATCTAGCCAAGAAAGTCGGTCAGGAGTTGTGACCATTGCCCCTACTGACGCAATCGAAGACAACGCCCTGGATGTACCTCAAGAGACTGAAGAATCGCTCCAGAAATCACGTTCGGGAAAAGTTTTAAATTTTGATGAGGAATTATTTGTCGAGTGTTGTTCAAGATTAAAAGCAACTACTGAAAATGAATTAAGAGGAACAAAGAAAATAAAATTAGATCATTTAGAACATTATGAATCTAAAGTTGATCAAAACATACCAAGAACTAATCGAGGACGTTGGAAGGATACTGATAATCAGAATAGTTTGGGAAGTCTTCTTGAATCAGTTAATCAGGTTTGTATGAAATCTTCAAAAACTTGTTATCATAAACTTTCATTATTTCTTTGTCTATCCCATTAACTTGCTTATTTAGAGTCACGCGATCATTCACGCACGTCTACTTCAATCAAGCATTCATACGCGTTCTTTTGCAATATTCGTTGCATAAAATATTATTATAATAAGTATACTAATACAAATGTTACTAATACGTGCATGGAAATTGCGTTTTAATTATTTTATATCACGTGAGGGTGTAAAGGCTAGCAAATTTTATTGATTTGAGTAATTAATCAATTTATCTACGATTTATTTAGATATATTTTTTCTCTTTTTGTTCTTTCATTAACACCCTCACGAAACTTTGCTATGGTTCAAGGAGCTATTATACTATTTTGTGAAACTTTTTACAGGAACAATGACCAGCTTTATACAGACAATATCTCTCAGTATGCATGCAAAAGGTAGTCAATTACTTGAAACGACATTTATTTTATTTTAAACACTATAATATACATAATATCTTCTAAGTTGTAATTATATATTTTACCAATTATTTTTATTATTCGAAAGTTTATTTTAAATTTTATTTATTTAGTAGTTAATTATTGTATTCTCTTTATAATTTCTATTAAAAATGCATGCCACCACCAACTCATTTAAAAGACAAATTTATCTGAATGAAATTGAATACTACAATTTTATTTAGTTATTTCGTGATTCTCTCAAATTGTAAATTTGATAGTTGTACCGCAACATTTTGGGTTTTATGTCGATACCTATGTTGCAATTATTCATGAAGAAGTTTACAAACCGTTAAAAACGGTCTGTGGTTAAATTTTTTAAATTAATTATTCAGTTAAAATGTGTGTTTAAATTTTTTTTATCAATTTTTCACGTAAATTTTATGTTTATCAATAACATAAATGTTTTATTTATCCTTTTTCATAGTATTAAAAGGAATATTGTGTTAACAAATATTTAAAAAAAAAAAATGTTTACAAAATGTTGACATACTCTTCTAAAAATCCAGCTCATTTTTTAAATTGCACATGCTTTTATTTTATTATTGCATAAGTCCTTATAACTCATTATAACTATATAATTGCCATTATAGTAATTAATTCTCAATTAAACTTTATTTAAAATAATAATATGTTTGAATATGTAAATGAAATATAAAGCCTTGTAATAGCTGATTGTTGTAGAAAAGTTTTAATCTATAAACTTTTTTTTTTACAGCTACTTGGAGAAGAAATGTACAGTAGAAATCGTGCAAATGAATACCACAAGCGTAGTCAAGGTTTCCGTAGTGAAACACCCAGTCCTGTAACTGAAGAGCAGTCAGATTTTATTCAAACAGAACATCCTGCTTATGAAGATAGTCTGGATGTGGCTTTCGAACATAACAACAAGCTTCGAGATAAAATACAACAACGTATGAGAGAAAGTGAAAATTTAATTGCTACTTCATTTAGTCACAAAAGTAATAGTATCAGTAATAGTAATGATGATAGCCATCATCGTCATCATCATCATCATCATCGACACCATCACCATCATCATCATCACCATCGACAACAGAATCACAGTCGTCATCATGATAATTCTCATCATCAAAAACGTCATCATGAGAAGAATTATGATGATTACAACAAAAATAATGACAATTTAGATAATTCTAATAATATTAGTACAAAACATCTATCATTGGAGTCTGTAGGTCTAAAAAATAAAATGGATTCAAATCTTGATGGACTTTTAGATAAAGCACTATCTAATATTCTCCACAATAATGGGAAAAATGATCACAAGTGAGTAAACCTTTTATTCTATTTAATATAAAGTTCAATATTTTTTATAATTATTTGAAAAGCTTCTTAATTAAAAACTAAATTTTATGGATAAATATATGAAAATATTATTTTTATTTTCAGCGCTTCAACTCCGATGAATGTATTGGCAGAATTAGCATGTGCTCAAGTACCAACTTCAACAATAAGCGAAGTTAAATTCACAAGGGAGAAAATACCGAAGACGAAAACTTTATCCAATGGGAATGATTGGCTTGTAAGTCCCCAAAGTACCGATAAAATTGAACGAGATCAGCTGAAGAAACCGAGGAATCCAATTAAAGAACTTTTTGAACGTAAGAATGAGCTTAATGACAGAAAACAGCATGAAAACTCTTGCATCACAAGTTCAGAAAAAGAATCTATTGGATTAAAGCAAAAAATGAAAAAAGTAAAACGTCAAGATGATTTTCCATTAATACGAAAGGGTCCATTCAGAGGAATGAGTGAAAGAAAAAAACGACGTAATGATAAAAAGCGTGAAATTCCAAATAAAATTAAAGATGTTTATGAATTTGACGATGAAGAAAGTGGAGAATCACGTTTTGGAACAACTTTATCTTATAGAAGTAAAAATGAAAAGAGTATTGCAAGTAAAGCAATTAAATCTAAAGAAATAAATGTTGCAGAATTAGTATCTCGGACAATTACAAAAACACTCGAAAATGATAAAGCAGTAGATCCATTGGGTAAGAGATTAGAGAATATGATAGAACGTAAATTTCAAGAGATAGAATCATCAATACCAAAGACAAAAGGTGCACTAAAAGCTTATCATGTAGAAGAAAAGCAACAGCAATCAATAAGAGGGCCTATGGATAATTTTGTAGAGAGAAAATTGTCTCGACGTTTGAGTGTGGAGCATTTAAATAAGCATAATAAAACGAAAAAGAAAACTAAAAACTCGAAAAAACGTTCGAGAAATGCTTGGTATGAGAATGATAGCTCTGATGAATTTGTGACAGCCATTAAGAAGGAAAATATTGGAGTGGGCATATCAAAGAGTCAGAGAACTTGTTCTAAAGGTAAACAAAATTTATTTGCAGAATTATCAACATCATCTGAGAGTGAATATGACGATGATAAAGTTATTTATCAGTCTAATAAAATTATAAATAGCAAAGAGAGAATAGACATGAATTCAGATATAGAAGAAAATTATGAACAACAACTTGATAATAGTAAAATTAATAATTGGATAGATATTAATTGTAAAAATGACTTTGAAAATAAAAAATCGGAATCTGATTTGTCAGATCAACCATTGATTATTGATGAAAAGAAAGAGAGTGATGAACAGGATAATAGTGATAATGATACAGATAATCGATCTGAACATGTTTTTGAATTGGACGATCTTTATCGAGAAGACAGTTCTGTTGTTGGATCGGATTGTGAAGAAAATAGTACCATTTCACGACTCGATAAAGCCGATGAGACTCAAAAAGATGATAATAGTGAAAAACATGATTTAATTCCGTTAGAAAAAGCATTAGATTTATTAGAAAGTTCTGAAAATCTTGAAGAGATTCCAACTAGTACTAAAACTTCAATACAAACACATTCCCGGGATATCTTTGAAAGAGATGATGAAATAAAAAGGCATGAAGATGATGATTTTGATGAGATGTTGGAAACAAAAGATAGTTTTAAAAATTCAACTGTCGTCGATGAACTAAATGAATTGACAGAATTGCCAGAAAAATTGACAACTAATGAAAAACCAGATGAAAAAGCATCTGACAATCTTCCACTTCATGTGTTTCTCAGTCGAAAAGTTCAAGAGTCAAAGAAACGAAAAGAAGAGCAATTGAAAAAGCAACAGGAAGAAGAACGTGTTGCTATGGAATTTCAATCTACTAGGAGACAAAGAAAATGTGCTATTGGGAAGCAAGGACTGTTAGCTGAAATAAGTAGCTCAGATGAAGAATATTATTTCAAGAATACTATGCGAAGGTCTATAGATAAATCGGATTACGATAAATCAAGAAGACAAAAACGTGAATCTAAAGAGAAGAAGAAAGAAAGGTATATGGAGAAGAAACATGAGCAGATAATAGCTAAAGAACAAAAGGCAATTGAAGAAGAAATTTTACGCGAGCTTGAACTTAAAAAAGAAATCAATGCGCAAGATGATAAGGATATTAAGAAGAATAGTAAAAGTGAGAAGAAAAAGATGAAGAATGATGAGAATGATGAAGAAATGGATAATAAAAAGCATCAACGATTGAAGAAAAATACTGATGAATTTTTAAATGTTAATAAAATTAAAAAAGATGATAAGTTTATTAGTGATATTGAAAATAAAACAGATACTACAAGTACAGAAAATGAAACAGATAAACGAGGTGAACGAAAGACTTCAATAAGTTCAAAAAAAGAACATTCTACATCATCGAAAAATTCCAAGAAAACTGTTAAGTCAAATAAAAAATCTACTGGCGCTAATAAAAAAGGTAAAAATGGTCATGATTATTCACGATCAAATAGCACAGATGACGAAGAATTAAGGACAACAAAGTCTTGGAATAAAGTCGAAGAAGGTGTGGGTGTTGCTATTGGAAGAAGAAAAAGGGCAGCAGCAAATCAACTGTATTATTGGTCTAGCTCTAGTGACGATGATGAAGAATTTATTCAACCGTCACCCGAAGTTGAAGAAGAAGATGACCGACAAGAGCAGCATGGTTGGATAGTTGGAGATTCTCATAAAAAAATGATAACAATGCTTGCAATGGAAAAACAGTTGAAAGAAAAACGAAGAAGAAGTGAAGAAGAATTTGGTAATATTAAAACAAAAAGTAAAAAGCATAGAAATAGCACTTCTTGATACGTATTTCATGATTAAAATAGAGTAAAGTAAATTATAAAATTTAAATAGACAAGTTTCTTATATTATTAAGTGAATGAAAGATAATTCTCGTTGAAATAATAATTATTATACTGGTCAACAAATGCATAATTATAACTATTCGATAGTTTTATCAGTAAATTTGTAATGGGTAGTAAAATTATTAAAAGAATTATTTCTTTTTGTTTTGTACAGTAATTAGAATGAATTTGAGACTGGTAAAAAATTTTCGATAGAATTTTTTTAAAATAATCTAACGATTTACTGCCAGGTAACGCGCTTCATTATACAAATATACAATCACGACAAATGTCATGTTTTATGTCATGACAAATGGTCATATAAAAAATATGTATAATTTGTTTTCTTGCGTCGTAAATATTAATAATGGCTAAATTTATAAATGATATAAGTGTATTAATAAATAATTCATTAGATCAAATGAGTAATGTTATATAAAGGATGAAAGGTAAGCACCCTTAGACAATACAAAATATCAATAGAGAGAAAAAAAAAAAGGAAAATACATTCTTACTTATTATTTTTAAATTAATAATTGAAATATTTCATTTGTAAAAGATTTTATTTTATAAATATCAAGTAATGTATGTAAATAATACATACAAAATCTATATGACTCATTAAAAAATTGAATAAACTAATTGAGTCTTTATCCTAAACTTTTGCAAAAACATATCGCAAAAATTCAAAATTCAATAAATAAAATTTATTTAATACAACAAAAAAATTAAAAAGTATAAGGCGATTGGATTTGTTAAATTTTCATTAAATTTCTATCTAATAAATATAATTTTTAGATACTTTAAGTTTTGGGATCTCATATATTTAATAAATTTTTTTCATACAAAAAAAAAAACTTAATATTAGTAATTAAAACAAATATTTGAAGATACTTTTTCCTCCTAAAATTCATTGGCTCTGAATTTTAAATTAAAACTACAACTTGCACATAGATTATGAGTGATCTTTATCACGTTGAGTATATAAAAATACATGAAAAACATTTAAAATTAATATTAAAAGAATAAAAAAAAATCAGATAGACTTTATTGTAAATGTACTGCCATAATCACACATGTATGAGAGCCTATGAAGAAACAAAAAATAGATATTAATACTCTCTTTATGATGTGAAAGTGTTGACACACAATCAATGTATTCAGTGTAAATAGATGATATTTTCAATGTGTCAGGAAAAGTATGTTTTGTAATATAAGCATTGCAAAGAGAATAAAATTACTATAAAGAATATAAATATATGATTTTTAATTATTTCTACTCTAATTGTAATCTTTCTTATCAATTAATTCTAATTGATAGCAAACATATTTCTTCATTCTTACTGTAAATTAAAATGAATAGACAACTTTCAAAAAAATTATACAAGATTATTATATTTTTGTTGGCTTTTGGATTTCATATAACAGTTTAACAATCACAATGTCACATCTAAAAGTTTGATTCGGATAATATACACATTTAAATATGCTTAAATAAGAATATTATAAATTCACATTAATTTCGAGCATTTTTCTAAAAGGAGATGCAACAGAAATTAAATAAATTTCATTTTTATTATTCACATTTAATTAAGCTCAATGAGTATCAAAATTTTATCAGTGTATTTAAATCGTTAACAGCTGCTGTTATAATTCATAGACTCAACATTCAATTCAGGAATAATTTATCATTGTCATGCGCTCAAATGTATTAATTTCAGTTGCTTCCCCGTTTGTGCTTCACATTACATGTGATGCATTAATTTGAATATTAATGCTTTATCTCAGGTAATACGTTTAGCTATTTAAATTAAACTGTTTGCAACAAACCGATATTTTTAATGGGCTACACATGTAGACCAATTGAGCAGATTGTTTCTATTTTATTTTTGTTATTGGTTTTTTTTATTTTTATTTTTTCTCCAAAATTTCAGTTTATTCTGACATCTATAGCGTAAATGTCTACTATCACTTTTTTTAGCTTCGTTCTTACACATTTTACAATGTATAATAAACTATTTTATTTATTCTAAACATTAAATGTAATATCAGAATGGCGAGAATAGTATTTTAACAGTTAATAGTATCGAATAGAAATGAAGTATATTGAGTGCACAGTATTTAAGTTGATAAAGAAATGTAAAGAAGCTGATGAAAAATTTCTGAAGAAGAAAGAAAGTTAGTAACAATTTAAGAACAGTATAATTTTTGTAAAGATAGAAATAATTATAAGTAATTAACAATAGAATAGTTGAGAAAGAACGAGAAGAAGAAGAAGATTATACAAAATTACCCGTGCGGAATTGATTCCTTATTTATAACAATATTAATTTTTTTAAGAATATAAAAATCTCTGTTGATTTATTAGCCGCACTTTTTTTTTTTTTTAATTACAATATTATTTAAGAATTTTCTTAAAACACTGAGCATTCAAAAAAATATATATATTTGCCAAACTATAAACAATTAACTGAGTATTTATCTTGGACGCAATCGCTGTCTATTTAATAATAGTAGCAATATTAATCATAATTAATATCATCATTTTGTCGTCATCATCATCGATACCACTATCCCTTACATTTTTCATTATCGTTATTATTTAATATCTTTGTTTATCATTTGTAGTTACTATTTTATAATCATTATTCATCTAAACATCAGAATAATTATTATCTAACTTAAATAGTTAATAATTTAACTTAAATAAACAAAAAAATATTTATGAAAGGATTTACACTAAAATGAATTACTATTATAATAGCTGCAAACATGTAGCTTATTTATATTTTTGTATATACGTTATTTCTATATTTTTATGAAAACATGGACGTATGGCTTTATCAGTAAACATGATTGACATCTTTCCAATTACTAATAATATTTTTTCCTCATTAAATAATTAATCATTAACTCGTAAATATTATTGATTGATATTCACTCTATCTCTACACTGTTATTTTTCAATTTATATAATAAGAGTTACCATTGTTACCATACATATTACAATTCAAAATTGTCGATAAATTTATTGCATATTGTTATTAATTTTTTATAAATATGGCAAGTAAATGATTCATTGTAATAAATTGCTAAATATAATAAATATATAAAATATCAGTGCTTTATTCTGGTGAATTAAAAAAAAAAATATCTTGCAAAATGGTTAGAAAATTTACGACAACAATAAAATTATTTTAAAAAGAATATAAATGATGTTAAGATTTTTTTTTTTTAATTTTAATAGACGATTAATAATTAGTTAATTTTATTTTTTCAAGTACTCCAGATTTGTGAATTTTAAAATTCACTACTTAATCAATTTTTTAAGACCTTTAATATATTTAAATTTTTTGCAAAACTATTATGTAATAAATAATTTGCAAACATCTGACATTGTTAATTAATTCATATGTTATAACATCCGAATAATCTATACTAGACATTAGAATATAATACTGTTTCGATAATGGTTAAATTGTAGCAGTAAATACTGATATCTTTGGCAAATATGTTAACATGGAATATTCAGATGATGTATGATGAAGCAATGGCAAACAAAGTTGAGCATATTTTTATGAGAACAAAAATAATTTTTAAAGTGAATGAATTATATCTAAAACATCACAAACACTTTTGTATCACTAATATAATCTATACACCGTAATTTTTCTTTGGTAATAAAAAAGAATTTTTGTGTTCTCTAATTATGTCTAAGAAACTGGTACTTAGTTTTAGAAATTATTGTATTTCTTATTTGATTGTGGTAAGAAAATCACCAAATTTTTTATTGTATTCTTTTGTTGTTATAAAACTACGTTCAAATATTTTATATGTTTTTATAAAATATTTATTTCAATTCAACAACACCTAAAGAAAAAATATGGAAAAATTTTGTATGTTTCTAGGTATATAATGTAAGAAAGATAAATAGTAAAAAGTCCAAGAGCTACGTGTAACAACAAGATATAAATCGACGATATTATGGCTCGGTGTATTTTTGGCATGACATAGGAAATATTAAACCTTTTGTCTTTTATTTATGTTAAATATTTTTTTATGCATTGCGTATTATATCGATGATTGCGTATACTTTCATTCATCTAATTTGGCTAATATTAATTTTTTTTTTAGAAGTATTGAACAATCATATTTAAAATGTCTCAATAAAAAACTTATATTCATCTATGATATACCTCTCGATGTATGTCTGGTGCAGGAATATTTTGATAGACAGGCTGTGTGTCCTTGAAGTGTGAACGAATAAGAAGTCCAAGTCCAAGTAATACAACTGGAAGACCCAATAGTGCACAAATAAGTTCACCAGTAACTCCAGGTGACCAGGAAATTGTTCCTGAAATAATTTCATTTAATCAAATCAATCTTTAATCAAGAACAATAATTAAAATACTTAACTAAAACAATTAATTCTCTAATTTTTTCTATTTCAATTTTCTTACCTCCATTTGGGCCTACATTCATTTTGTAAATACTCCACCATATACCAGAGAGAGGCAATGAAATAGTAGTTGCAGCAACTGTGAACACTGCACTTTCACACATGGACAAAAAATTCAAGACTGAGATGGAAAAACCGATATAAGAAAAAAGAAATATCCATCCGTGACTGGCTATATTAGAGCAAGAGATACTGCTTCTGAAATGGCATTTAAATCCGTGTTCAAGAATGTTGTATAATTCCTTTGGTGTGAGACCCTGAAATGGAACAGAATTAAAATTTAATTTATCTATTCTGTTTTTCCTTCTTTTTTCTCAACTTTTAATTATGAAACTGGGTCAACTTTACAGCAATTATTCTTTAATCTCTATGATAATTAGAGCACAACTGAATAGAAGTCTAAAATAAAAATATTGATAATAAAATAAATCTAGTAACAATTCAATTACAAATATTCAATAAAGATAATAACTCAAAGATTGGTTAATTAAATTTACAATTGAAATGACTAAAATTTGCATTTTTAATTTATTAACATTTTCTATTTTAAATATTATATTAAAAAAAAATTACTTTGTTCCAAATTTATAGGGAAAAAATTCAAAAACAGTCATAAAATTATGAAAATGACTAAAGTAACATCTGCTAAAAATAGGATAAAAAGTAAATTACTAACCCTGCCAATTCCTGGAAGTGTATCAATCCAATAGAAGACAAGTATAATCAAAAAAGAAATGAGATGAATATGAAAAAGAGTCCGAATGATTGGAGGTTTGGGTAACTGTTTTTGCTTGATCGTTGGGTCAGGATCGGTGACATGTAATAAGCGGCCTCCTTCTTCTTCAGAACCTCTACGTCTGATGTCTCGAGATGATACCAATCGTGAAACGGTATAGAGGAAAGAATTGTGCTGAGTCGTCAATAATCGACAGGCACTCTGCTGCTGTAAATTAAATGCCACTCAGATCTAAGATATATACTAGATAGTTGAATACGTGTTTTGTTGGAAAAGTAACTTATACGTACTCCTGTAGTGAAGTGAAGCTCAAGTAAAGTGAAAAACATGGCAAAAACTGCAAATGATCCAACGTAAACTAAAGTCCAAATTGCTCGAATTCCCCAGGATCCTTTGACTGCCAGTGAATGACCCGTTACTTCTCTTCCTCTACAACGAAACTCATCACAAAGTTCGTAATCAACACTTATAAAAAGTCCAACAATAATTGTCGTACTGGAAAAGATACGTTGGAGACTCATCACTGAAATTAAAAATTTAATCATTTTTTTTCTATTCAAAATATTTTTAAGTAGAATATACTTATGTAAATGATTCACATACTTTTGCGACAAAAGAAGAAATAATAGACAAGTGAGAAGACAAGTGTAATACCCTTGATGGGGTCTTGGAGATGACAAAGTACCCGATTTTGATCTAAAGAGAGGGTGACAAGTATTCCCGCGAGTGCGTAAAAGCTGCTTATCTTTATCAAGCTACATCTTGGGATTTTTATTTTCAAGCTGTTGGGAACAAGCGTTGGTGGAGGTGAAATCCTCTCGACAACTAAGAAGATGAATCCAAGGATGCAAGTAGATAAAAAAGCTATAAATAGCAGTCCTGAAAAAAAATCAAATGATTGATTACTCTACAACCATTATTTTCAATATTTAATTTTAAAAAACGTTTAGTAATAAAATTAATCAACTTTTAATAAAAGAAAAAAGATATCCATTAATAAACTAAAAAAATCCTTTAATTACATTTATAACTTTATTCTCTGGTAATATATTTTATCCAGGTAAATTCAATTATAAATCGTTTTAACGCAGTACTTAAAAAAATTGAACAAGTTCTCTAATATAATGGACGTTTGAAAGACTAGAAAATGACAATAGATATTTATCACAGTAGATAATTTGATGTTTTACCCTAAATTATTGAACTTACTATACACACTTTACATTGTACAAGCATGTGCTATGGAGAGGGGAATGTATTTTTCGCATTGACGATCGGTAAACAGAGGACGCACCAACGTTGATCGATGCGTAATCAAATAGAAGCGTATTGGACTAGACGTTACGAGTATGTTACGTTTAAATTATATTACATGACATACCAGTGTACGCGCTGGCTGCAGTGTTTACACTCTCAAGATACAGAGGTAAAGTGATAACGGAGGATGTAATGGACGCTGCGACAATCACAAGGGTGATGAGGAAACTAAACCTTTGCCAGCATGATTGGTCTGTATCAAAGAGCTTGTCTGTTGACTGATAAGTTGCTGCATAAGGTGACTCTTCTGTATCTGTGTACTCTTCGATCTCGCCATCACTACCACCCATACATCGTCCGTCTTCTTGTTCGTCGTCATCCATCATGGCGATACAAGGTGACAAAACCGCCAGTGTATATTTTTTTCTAAAAAGGTATAAATATAGTTTTATTTTTATCTATTATATATAAAATAAGTATGACTAATTAATATTTATACAAAATTTTCTAATAAATAATGTAAATAATTAATGTATTATTTAATTATCTGTGTTATTTATATATCAGTGAAGTTGACACTTAAAATTTGAGGGTCAAGTGGCTATTTGCAATTAATATACACATGTATAAGATTGATCGATTAGTTTTATTATTAAATCATTTTTGTAAATAGAATTTTAATATGAAAATAATTATAATTTATAATATTTTTGTGTATAGAACTTTTACTTATTGCTGTTTAGATTAAAATATCCAAGCTTCGTCCTGGAGATGGCATACAATTTTGTTGTCATAGATAAAAGTGATGATGGATAGGCGATTTGTGGTCTATTTTCTACGAGATCATGAGGGTAAAGGCGATTAATATCATCCTTGCGTGCATTATACTACATGGTGGATAGTCAAAGTTCATAGTATTGTGTCCAAAGTATAAATACTTTTTCCCTTTTTTACTCGTTAATGAATTATTGATTTATACGATGTAGTATATAATTATTGGCTTGCATATTAAATACCATTTAATAGTATTATCTTTTCTTCATTATATTAATTGTTTTCATCTATTCTGTTTAAATACAGGTGGCTTATTTACATGTGATCATCAATTATGATAAATTGAGGAAACTTCATCTTTAATTCATGCTTCATCATTTCATGATGGAAAATTCGATGGAATTTAATGACAGATGTAAGTAAACATTTATTGAATTGTAGAAAAATGTTTTTCTTAGATGAATCAGTTTAATCTATTATTCCTCATTAATTATTACCATGAATGTGTACAAATTTGTGTGATCTTATTATCTACTTCACCAACTATTTAACAGTAATTTATGCTGGTTAAATTCCTCAATTCTATCTGTCAACTTGAAATATATTTTCATGATTTCAATGGTTACCTTCCGTAATTTTCCACACGATTAAATCATATTTATTACTTCATAAATATTTTTTATTTAAATCTGATGATTTAAATATATTTTAAAAAAATCTAATTTTAACATTTTCTCCAAGTTTATTAAACTCAAACATCTATTTTGATCTTTTAACTTATTTCTTTTTAATAAACTTGCCAATTTAATGAGATAATCGATGAAAATGTGATTAATTCTCTCAGTATTCCATCTCTAATACGAGTCACTTTAACTACTTTAATCTTATTTTCTAATTTCCTCACTTTTGGTTCTATTATAACAAGATAAATGACAAAAAACATAATATACTTCACTTTCATAATATAATTGTTCAATAACATAAAGTGGAAAAAAATTAGTATTAAAATTGAATGTCAATCAATCAATAATCACAGCACATCAAAGGATATTTCAGGGTCTAATAGTGAAATAAATGTAGTAATAATTATGCAAATATTATTATTTTATGCGAATAAGTGAATTTTTTATCCTTACCTTTTTTATTGTGAAAAGACCTAACCTGACGACGCCCAATATTAATTTGAAGCTTTCACAGTGTAATGTAATTTCAAATGGACTTCACAAAAGTTCGCATGATACTTGAGCGTAATAATTATGTGTTGTAATCACTACATTTACTATTCCCAATGTTAATCATTGAATTTTTACGTAAACCAGATAAAAATGACAACATTCCATTGCTTCAAAGAGCTTCAATGCTCCCAGGGTAGCTTTTGCTTCCTTCTTCTCTTTTTCCCCTTTATCATTCTGCGCACACGCACGCGCATGAACTTGGATGATCACCCTGTGTTTATTTTGAAAAATTGCTATCTCATAAAATGTTAAAAAACCATTTACTAAAATACATTATCAGTAAATGAAATTTAATTACTAACTTTCCTAATTGGAAAGTTCAATAAAATTAACTGATTTCACCCTCTTGACAACTTTCTTATAAAATATGTCATGTCAAGTCGAATATTTTTCAAGTAGATTGATTCTTACCCTTCACTTTTCAATCTTGTAGATTATATAATCGCTATACACTTCTAAGGTTCTATTCACTGAAGGGAAAACTTTTGTACTATGGAAAATTTTTGAATTACTCTTTGAAATATTAATAACTTTTGAACGTTAAAAAAGTACTTCAAGTACAATAAAGCAAGTTTCAACGTACATGAAATCAATCATCTATTGCAATTCTCCCATGATACAATCATGAATGAATTTTGAATTTTAAATTGGACAAAAACATTTATTCAACCACTAAAATTTTATGCAAGAAATCATCTACAATTGCAATATAATTTAATAATATAAATATGCCATTATATAAAAACTTTATTCAATTATATAATTTAATTATTATTATTTTTCTGATTGTTACCGATAGTGGTAGTGTACTTGGAACTATTTTTTTATCAAATATTTTTGAATTATGTTTCATCTTAATTGAATTTCTTTTTTACAGGGTATAAGTACAGTCAATAAAAAATAACAGTACTTTTGCTAGAAAGCTTTTGTTCATCTAAGGCAGCAACGAAACCCTGGAGGCAATCGATAAGAACTGGGTTAATACGATCAGGTAAAGCAGTCGTCTTTGGTCTATGTGAAACCACTATTTTTAGATTGTATACTTATGTCCTACGCATACAATACTACTGCAGTCTTTATAAGAAATTACGGTACAAATATGCATTTTATTATAAATCATTTTGAAGGAAACAATACAGATCATGATTAAATATTGAGCCAATACTACTTACGCTAATAGAAAAATTTCATCCGATAAAACTATTATTTAAATATTTAAAACACTTCAATTACTGGTCTCATACTATCTCTTTTATGTTTTCAACATCAATTGGAACAGAACTCTATTTCTGAAATTCCGTCATGTAATTTTCATTAACACTTTGATAATAGAAAAAAATCTGCAGAATTTTTAATGAAATTACTAAACTGTTGGTATGTAGGAATATTAGTTTTCAAAGCATTTTTGAACTTTTAGACTAGAAAAAAAAAACGAAAAAAAATCATGAAATGCAACTGGAGAATACGTACATAAAAAATGGAACTTCTATGCATTTTAATGAAATAAAAAAGTGGATGAGATCGACAGTATTCTTTGATATATCAAAAAATAAAAAAAAAACAAAGGGCAATAACGTATTTACTCTTTGGATGCTGTCTTTATGTGAATGAAAAAAAAATCAGTTAGTAATTGGATAGTTATTTCATGATATGGTTTTGTTTTACTAAAATAATTGGCTTTATTTACAAATATCTGTACATGATATCTATTCTATTTATATCAAAAGTTTTATCAGAACGAGTTAATGATTCAATTAGTTATTGTTTGCATGTACAGAAAGCTTTATTATTAGATGAATGTCCAATCTAGATTTTTAATAAGTGAAAATAGATATTTAACATGTAATTCTAGTAAGATAGATTTTATTTAAAAGATAAAAGAGAAAATTTAATTATAAACAATTTTAAATGAAAAGTTTATGATAATTTAATATTCTGTTTGCTTTAAATAATATTTATTTATCACAAAAACAATTTTTTTTTAGGTTGAATCACAAACATGTTGAAACATTGAATTTTTGGTGGAAAAATGTGGACCTGTGGAAACCACAAACGGATGCTACCACGGATCGTAATCCTTTATTACAGTACCAGCTTCTATATGACCTGACATTATTGTGGCTATTTGAAACCAATAGCTCGTTTTAACATTTTTTCCGACATTGATGACTACAATACACGTTATTAATCAATGTAGTTTACGAATCACATTAGACTACTCCAACATTTCTAGAACATGGGGTAAGTTACAGCTTTATGACTTTGTTTTTGACAATTGGCACTATTTTAATACTTTTTACCATATTTGTAACAATAAATTATTTTTTTTATTTATGCCACCAATTGATACACATTTTATTTTTTAATTCTAGTAGCCAATAGATCACTATTGACACTTGATCGTTTTACAGATTAAAGTTTCAGTTTATTCTATTAAATTTTGCAAGCAATTATTAACTTATCGGATTGATTGAGATTTGCAAGGATTTCATTGACAAAGTTAATAAAGTAATTGGTTATAATAAATTAGTTTGATCGAATCAGAGATTTTGATAATTAGTTTCTAAAACTTTTGATAAGCTTGTTACCCTGGATGTTGAAACACTGATTCTCAGTTTTACTATTTGAAATTTGCCTTCAAAAGCTTCCTAAAGTTTATAGACATTCGGAAAGACAAATCACCAAGTGTTTAGGTAGTACGTTGAAGTAACCGCCAGACGCAATCGTCGAGAGCGTCAATTTCAGTTTCTATTCAGTCGGCGCGCGGCATCCAAGTAGGACGGTTGTGTTCATTCGTTTCGCCGTTATAAATATTTACTTGGACGTTCAATTCAGTGAGAAATTAATTAATGAAAAAATCAAAGAGCTATTTTTTAATTAATATCTTCTTAGTTTTATGAGACATTAGATTACTCTTTCTTTAAAACAAATTATTCACTTGAAATATTAATCTTAAAATTGATCCACGTTGATAAGTGATTAACAAAGTAAATTAAAAAAATAGTGTCAATTGTTAAAAAAATTGCATGATAATTAAATAAATGTATTATGAAAAAAGAACAATGATATGATAGTTTTAAAAAATATAGATTCAATATAAGACAATGTAGATTTATCCTGTGTAAAATCGATAATTTTGATTACAGACAGTTAATTAATTCGTTGAGCACTGCAGTAGCAATAAATATCGCTAAATTACCAGAGTGTTAGTGAGTTGAAATTAGTTGAATGATGAACCGTCGGAAATACATTGGGAAGCTTCAGAAAATAAAATACAACTTCGTCCTTGGCGTGAGCATTGCTGTGGCACGATTTGGCATCCGGTATGTCTTCTGAGGTGATGGAAAAAGGGAGATAATCAGGTAACTATATTTTCCACCTCTATTGATTGATGATTTATTCGATAAATGCATATTTACTCAATTTATTTTCTATTAAGAACAAGATAAATAATATAAATGAATTTCCATCAACCAAGATTGTAGGATAAAAATTGGAATTATTTTGTTACACTTTGATTATCACATAAAACTAGTAATCAATTTAAAATTAATGTTCTTAATCCTTGGGCTTTTAAACATTATGAAATTTGCATATTTTTTTTAAATGACTCAACTGATTGCTATCAACAAAATTATTGAAGCATAAATATTAGCAATTTTACCGTCACTTTATTGCTATGAAATTCAATCAAAATTGTTTCATGCTTTTAATTTATGAATTTTGATTATTTTCAGGAATAAAAAAATCATTCAAAGACTATAAATAAACTATTGTATAAGTTGAGTTTTCAATTAACAATCAAATAATAAGCTTGAAAAAACTGTCGTCATTGAAGTCATATTGACGATGACAAAGTAATTCGCTTCGCACTTATACACATTGTGATTAGCAAAGTTGAATACCACTTGGCTGATCGATCGAAACTAATCTCGACCTTGCGACGCTTTGCGACCAAGCAGTAGTATGAACCGTGCTTCAATCAGACATCCGTTCGTCTGCTTGACAGGTTTTATCGTGATATTATCTAGGAAATCGAGTCACCACTTCCTGATATTAATCGCCAATCGATGCAATCATAATTACAATCTTGTAACGACATAAAATAGTGTGAACATTTTATTTCTTATCAATTTATTCATGCTTGATTACCTTTCAAAGTATCCATAAACGTCAAACACCAATCAATTTATCAGTCATTTTATTTAAGTAATACTTTTATGAAATTTTTCCTTTTTTTTTTTTCATTGCATTCTAATGTGTAATAATATTTAATTAATTGTCAAAAATCATGTGTTTTCCTAGACTAATTTATCACATGGATATTATGATTCATTCTTCAAAAAATGTAGCTTCCTGCTGGAAAAAAATGTTTCATAAAAAATTTTCATTCAATATGTTTAATACTTAAGCAATGATCTTCAAGAAAATAATAATTATTCATGACAAAGTGGTTCAAAAAAGTAGTGAATCATTTGTAGAATTCTTTTTTTCCCTTCTATTCTTCTAAGTCGTAAGTGTAAGAGGGAGAGATCTCTCATATATGAGAATGAGTCTAATAGAAAAAAATGCTTTTAAGAAGCACAGTCATTCCTCTAGGGAGCGTTTATTGGCATAAGTTTTACTTTGTTTTCGAAGGTTCTTCTCATTTTTATTCTTTTACTGATCTATGTCAGTTCTAATATTCCTTCGTATCTCCAAATAAATTCATTTATTTATTCAATATTAGAAATATTTCAAATTATCTAAATCGGTATGTTATATCTTCAAATTCAAATATTCAAATAAATATTTTTTATTCTAAAATATTCATGATTTATAATGATCAATTATATATACTAATATGGCGATACGTAACATCTAAAAAATAGGCTTTCTCTGTGAAATGAATGTCTGAGAATCTTTTTAAAACTCTTGAAATGCATAAAAATTCGTGTAGTTTCTAACATTTATTTCTCTTAATTTTTTCACTTTGTTATTTTTAGTGTTCCTTTCTGCAATTTTTAATAGAATGGGTTCAATAAATGTTTAAAGTTGATAAGAAAAGAAATTCTAATAGATTGCTTTTGGATTTCAAATGAAAGTATCAAAAACAAAGGATAATATAAATAAGTCGAGATATTTTTTGGAGTATTTGAAATAACAATATACATCCATAAAAGTCAAGTATATCATCTGAAATTTTTTTCCTTTTTGTATCACTGTGATTGTTATTATAGTTGTTATCAACATTTTACTGCTTCCTATTGCTTGAATGAAGTATTTTATGATTTTATTTTCTTCCTGACTTAATTTTTTTTTACTATCATATATATTTTCTGCTAATTATCCATCGCAATTTCTTATTATCTTTTGAAATATTGACTGATTTTTTTTTTTGTATAACTCATCGAGTATTTTATAACTGTTCTTTTTTTTGTAATATTTTTAAAGGTATTTAAGAATTCGAGTTTACGAGTTTTGAGAAGGAAATAAATTAAGTTTTATACTTTATTTAAGAGAAAATAGAAGTTAATAATTAAATAAAATACTTTTTATCCTGACTTATGTCAATTTTCTTATCAATTTTCTATTATGCTTTAAATCTACGTTATTTTGTAGAATAAATTTACAATTATATTTATATTTAAATTTACGTAAGTAATGTTCAAGGAAAGATTTATCATGAATTTTTGAATTGAAAAGGTAATAATGACACTTTTCTAGAATATGGACAACTAAATGTTATGACGTGTTTTTTTTTTTTATTAATCTAACTAAATAAAATAGTATATAAAATTGTCTTTGTGGCAGAAAATTGATAGGAACAAATAATGAATTAATTGAAAAAAATCACTGAAAGATTTATTGACATTTTTCTGTGATTGCAATCTTTTTTAATTTCAAATGATGATGGAAATTAAGATATTTTAATTAAAAGTTCATTCAAACAATTAATTAAAAATAAAGAATATAGAAATATAAATATAGAATAATCTTATATACATATATATAAAAGACAAGCTAAAATTTGAGCAAATAATATAGATTGATTGAGTATATAAGTCAAATAAAATTCCTTAAGTACGAAAGAATAATGACTATTGTCAACAATTTGGTAGATTTTTATTGTCCAATTTTTTGTATGATCTCGAAAAGAAAATCGTTTCTATTATTATCAATTAAACTTTCTCAAATATCTACTTAGACGTTTTCTCCAGTATTTCTCTTCAACTTCATATACTTTCTGTCGCACAAAATTGTTTTTCGATCAGCTTGCAATGTGCAAGTAACCAGAACCATAAACTTTGTTTGAGATTCACTACTCAACTTCTATTATTCGTAAAAGTTGGACTTATATAAAACAATGATTGATGAAATCTTTCATTCACATAACATTCTCACTTATCATTGAGACTTTAAAAAGTACAAATAACTTTTGAAATAATATTTATATCAAATAATATATTTATTATTAATTCTTAAAATTATTTTAATCCAATAATAATAATTTTCTCCAGGATAGTAATAAAATGATGAGTTAATTAAATTATAATAATAAGTAATGGTTATTCATTTATATTTACTTAACACATTTTATTATACAGGAATGTAAATTAAGTATTTTTTTATCCAACATATTTTTTTATAAATTTAATTAAAATCTATCTCAATTAAATACTTTGTGAGGGTAAAATTGTCTTAATGATTTATGCTTTCGTGAATATCAAGGTTTTGAATGAAAGTTCAACTTGATTTAAAACTTTTTATTACGCAAATAATATACCACTATGATCAACAACATATTCTAAATGTTAAATGTTATTTAAGATAAATCCAACATGGTGTAATGCATGCTTTGTGTATGCATAATAAATTAATATTTCTCGTCAACTTGAATGATCCTGTATATTCTCAGACAATATGTAAGGTAAACTTATATTTAAACTCACGAGTGAATTCAGCTGTGCATAAATACTTGCTTTTATATCATTTATGTGTTGAAAATAAATTTATATATGATATATTATTTCAAACATTGATAAATATACATATAATATGTGAAATAGAATCTTTTCTATATTTAAATTTACTGTTTAATTATTTACATAAAAGTATACAGTTCGTATTGAAGATAGACAATCCAAAAATGATGTGGTTTGATCAATTTAACGTTCAATATAATCTCAAAATAACACAATTTATGTGCGTTAATTTTAGATGCTGCATTGTGCGGCTAAATGAAGTATACTAATTTTCCATTGATAGAATAGATACTAAATAAAGCCACTGTAATTGAAGTTTACATTCATAAGAGAACTAAAAATAATTCATGAATAATAATATTAAACATAGAATTAAATGAAATTAGCATTTCAACGATATATCTGTATTGGTCAATGTTATTAATTAAAACAACGTTATGATGCTATTTGATAAATTATTTTAATAATAATCAAAATATAATATTGTCCTATATTATATTTAACAATTTTATTTGTCATTCACTATTTTATTGTTATCATTTTCTACAGAACAAAAATATTAAATATTTTACTTGAAATGAAAAATTGTATAAAGTAATAATGAATGAAATTAAAGTTTTTAATGTTATTTTAGCATAGATGAGTTTCTATTTGACTCAAAAGGAAAGCATTGAAAGATCAAAATAACTTGGATTCAGGTCTGGAAATGAACTATCCATCCGCCTTTAGCACATTTACAAATTGTAGAATAAGTAACAGTGCAGAAAATTACATTTCTCACTAGTTTTTAAATAGTATTCTACCCACAATTTTTTTTTTTTTTTTTAAAAGTCATAATGTCGTTTCTCAACTTTCAATTGCCATTCTACATTTATTGATTTTATTTCCAATAATATCAAATAACTGAAAATAATTCATAATAAAAAATGGAATGAAGCAGAAACAATGTTCATTGTATGATATAATAGGGTGGAAAAAAAATGATGTTATTATTTTTTTTTTTTTATAACTTATGAATCCAGTATGATTAAGTAAAATATATTTTTACAACAACTTTATCAAGGCAAATTTTAATTTTATATTTATACTCTTATAAATTTACTCAAGTAATATACTAGCTGTTTCTTCAACTTCATCACCAACAAGTGATGTTACTTAGATAAATATTTTTAGCATAACACTGCTGCAGAAGCATATGAAAAAAGATATTTTCTGTAAGAAAAATGATATTTTATTTAAAATAAATATGTAGTACATTTTTATTTTATTATTTTTCAGAGTCAAGTAATAATGGAGTAACAAGATATAGAGTTGAGGTTGCCAGATAGTTTGGCTTCCCAGAGAAAAGCAAATAAAGAAGAAAACAAGAAAGAATTAAAATTAAATAGAAATGGAGAAATTTGGAGATTTACCGAAACGAGAGTGGACTCAACGATTAAGTTTACGTGGAAGTCGTCGAAGTCATCAGGTATGGATCTTTTATCATATCAATTAATTTTAATTGAAAGCAATGTAATTAATTATTATCATTTGGAAATATCATCAAGTGTGTTTTTCACATTGAATTGAATTGTAAAACATGAAATGGATAATATATAGCACAGGAAGAATCGATTTGGCATTGCTAACGAGCAACAATTGTTCGCCAAGTGAATTGATAACGAAGGGTTGCCTCGAGAACATCACTTACATCCTCATTGCATAACTTGTTACTTTATCGAATGTAAAATAGAAAAAAATATCTTTACCACTGTCGTATAATGAGCTAATAATGTTATTAGGTAGGTTACGTGGCTAATAGCAAGCTTAAGAGAAAATAAATCGATAAATTTGACTCACCAAAAAATAAAAGTTTAAAATTATTTTACTTATCTTTAGATTATATGATTATTTAAATTAAACTTTGTTCTAATTACCAAAATGTCTGGTTATCTCTGAAAATTATAAAAATTTTCACACTATTTTTCATTAGCTAGATATTCTCTTCTTGATAATCTCCAACATAGAACCTTATCAAAAATAATTATTATTTTATTCTTAAGCTTCCTTAAGTAAAGTAAAATATTTCTTATTTAATAACTTGAAACAGATGAAATTAAACAAAAAAAAAAAAGTTTTCAAGTAGTCGTAAAATTTTCTATAAAAGTTTTTTGTCAGACTCTTTTATATTTGAAGTATATAGTGAGTTCTAATAAGATTGTAGTAATTTTCTCTTTCACTTTATACTAATATTTGTTTAAATTATTTATTCATCATTAAAGTAAGTTATTTGAGAATTTTTTATTCTTCCAAAAAATAAATTTTTTTTTTGTTTCCATAATTATGTTGGAGTTTAATTAAATTTTTTTATACAGGAAAATCACGGTATTACGGTGATAAAATTATTGACACTATCAGGTAGATAGACATGAATTTAATGATGATAGCAACGTGAATAGGGAAGAATAGACAAGGTGGAATGAAACCGCGACGGCAGGCATCGATTTTGCGGAAGCATCCAGCTATAATTGCGGCGCCTAGTCAGCTATTTGAGTTGATAACGAGATTATCTGAACATCTGGCTCACCCGTATGTTGCTTACATGTTGACTCACGTTTTCCATGTCATTTTTCGATGGTTTTCGTGGAATATTTTTACGGTTCACTTTCAAATGTTTTTCACTCCACTGAATTTCAAAGTTTGCTTCATCACAATCGCAATTCTGAAAATGAAATGAAAAAATGAATCTCATTACAGATCATTTCATTCATCAAATTGAATCAAGCTCAATCTTAGCTCATTCATGATTAAGAATGAAATGAAGTGAATTAAAAATAAAAGTTCCAAATTCCAAATGGAATTATTCCTAATTTAGAAACGAAATTTAGGATTTATGAGACTTCATTTACTAAATTTCGTCTTTCAAAATAACTGTACCATCTAAAATATTTGTTAAAGAGGGAAACTATTCTGAGAGTCTAGAATATCACCAAAGTTACCACACATATTCTCTTCACCTGAAGTTCAACCCTTTTGGAGTTATGTATGCACATCTCCATTTATTCCCACACTAGTGCAAACCTTAATAAAGTCCATTCTAAAATGATATGTTCACACATATAGGAAGACATTTGAAATGTACATAACGAATTTATAGTTGAGATGAGAAATTGTTGTAAAGGCATCTATTTACATAAACGTAGATACAATACAATAGAAACGACAAGTATGGTTTTGTTGCAAGCATGGGTCGAATTATAAAACAGTCGAGAAGTAATAAAAGAGGAGATACTGACAACCACAACACTGGAAAATTCACTAACCCTATTTTATCTCGTGTTTCATTGTAACGTCAATGAAATGTAATATTTTTTTTTTTGCTTTTTTATTGTTATTTTCAATGCAACTATATTTCAGTTATTTTTGTCTCGTGTTTGCTTTTATTAAAATTCTGGTTGGAATTTGATTACATTTGTCATTTATCTTTGCTTCCTTTTTTTGTGTCATTTTTTAATTGTTTCTTGTCCAAATAGACAAAATGACTGGTCACAACTATAACGATAGAAAAACAACAAAAGATATTTTTCATTTCATTTTGATCCATTGTTGAATTTAATTGAACAATATTTAAATGTTACTATTTTAATGAAAAAATATGTTACATGCCAATGTAGCGTTAACATTTAACAGCAAGTTGTAGTTGAGTGATTTCCAATTAGCACTTTATAATTAAGAAATAATTGGATTAATTTTTATCGATGATGTATCATTTTTTAGTACACAGATGAAACGTTAAATGTCTACTTATGCATAAAATTGTTTATTGACTGTGAAAATTTCATTGTGAGTTGTCCGGGGAATCTAATAGTAAATTGCTCGATAGATTCATCCATTCTATCTTGCTCAGTGCACATTTCGAAGTCATGCACACATGATATTGGCAAGGTGAATCACGGACACAAGTCCAGAAGAGTGAATTTGAATTGTAGTTTACTAGAAGTGTTCACTCTGTAACATTTGATTTGTTAAATTTCTAAGTCTTCTGATAATTTAGTAAACTTATTACTAAATACTTAACATTCAATTGATTTAAATGAAATGTTTTACAAAAAAAAAAAAAAGTATTATAGAAATAGTTTCAGATACTTTTTTGCTCTCTTGTTTTTATGTTGACTTTCATAGGGAGTCGTTGAAAACAGACATATTTGTCAGGTGCTTCAGAGCTTTTTACAATTCTTTCGGTCTACAACTTTTAATTTCCACTTGTTACGACAACAGCAGTGTTCATTTCGACCAACTGCTGTAGTCATTGAGAAAAGAGTACCTTCAAGAATAAAAGCTTTCACGTTTTTGCTTATTTTTTTAATATAAATATCTCTATTATATAATCAAGTTTTGAATTATTATGTTTCACACAAAATATATTGGAGATATTTTTCCAACTATTATGATCATGATAGCATCAAAGCTTCATCATTATAAATTGGCAAAAATTTATCATCAACATTCACGTATAAGTGAAATACAGTTATAACATTCATTATAACACAAGTATCATAAAATTGAAATAATTATTTAATGGCAAAAGTTATCGAAAATGAAGAATTGGTTAATCTATCAACGTCATCAGCATCGATTAATTAATAATTTATAAATTCATCTATAACACAAGTATTCCATATTATCTTTTGGATAATATAAATTCATAATTATGCTAAAAATATTTATTATTAATCACTTTTCACTTTATAATGGATAAAATTGCACTTTATTCAATTCATGTTATTATGTTATGCATATTTTATTGTTGCATTCCGGGATGTATATTAAATTCATTATTTGTTGTTTCCAAAAGTAATATTCATTTCATATATTAATTTCACTGTTTATATTTTAATTATATGAAAAACATTTTTGGAGGAGGTTTATAAATTTATTAAAGAACATAAAAGTAACAAGTAAACTTTAATGCAGAGAAAAATATGAAATGTAAAAATGTTGAGTCTGTTTCGAATGTGAAACACCTGGGCTTTAAATCGCTTACTTGTGAATTGTACAAATGCCTTGAAGAAATTCCGTTCAAGCATGTAAAAAGGATTCAATAATATACCTTTACAATAAAAAGAAAAAATAAAAAAGGATAAGAGGAGGTAACAAACTTTATACGAATGTTGAGAAAAAATGAATATAAAAGGGAAGTAGTAAAGACTCTCTTTTGTCAGACAAAAAAATACCTTCAATAGCTAATAAAAATTTTCCCATTGTTTTTATTACCTTTAAAAATATCTTTCTATTATTATTTTAGGTTGGAAGTAATAGTGAAAGTATATATTTCGTAAGATCCATAAAAGGAAATATTGAAAAAAATAAATTTATCGGATAAGATACTACAACTACTGTGTAACCGAATGAAATTGGCTGATAGAGAAAATAAATTTGATCGAAAGTAAAAATCATATTGTATATCATCAGAATAATTTTTATTTTTCTTGAGATATCTCACGTGTAGAAATGATCATTATAGAAAAATTTATTTACTATTGCACATTAAAAAATATCTACCAAACTTGATAGAGTAAATAAACAATCAGCAAAGGAATTTTTATATAATCAGTATTTAGTTGTATGAGAATCAGCTTAATGAAGGATTTAATTGTTGGCTAATAATTCAGTTGACTGCATTGTGATTATTTAAAACCGTCTTTCAGTTCACACCAATAAAATACTTACAAGTAATTCATCATTCTAGAGTGCTAGATTTTAAAAATAAATGATTTTCATTGTTTTCAATTTCCTCCAGGAATAAAATATAAATATTTATCAGCCGATAGTTCAATACAATAAATTATCTACATAGATTTTTGATCAACTAGACAATGAACTTGTAAAAGATTTTATTTTATTATCAACTTGAAAGTCATGGATATTAATGTTTCATTTTATTTTGATATCTTATTTCTATCAATTCTGTCCCAATCATCCAATCGCTTTTAATAAACCTTATAAAATAAATATTTCCTTCAATATTTATCATTACTATTATTAGTTTGTTCCTTCCTGTCATTACTTTATTCCTTTATGTTACTTTGTTTTGATATATATATATTTTTATACTCTAGTTATCACTACAATTTCAGAAATTTCTGAATAGTTTTTTATAATAAAAAAATGTGATCAATATTCCATAATAATAATGATTGAAATAAAAACAAAAAGTAATCCATTATGATTTACTAAAAAAAGGATATTGATTAATAATTATTTGCGACCCAGGGAATAATCTAAAGGTTGTGTTCCAGAGCAGATAGTGAGCTAAAATTTCGCGTACATGTTTTGAGTAAGTTCTAGAATACTCTTCAATATTTTTAGTCTGTTCTAAACATTGGGAATATTTTTTATAATTTATTGAAGGGTAAAGATAGAGTATACTATTAATTATTATTTTTCAAGTAAAGAATAACATATTTATAAATTAAATATAGAAAGAACAATATAATATTATTTGTACTGCTGGTGACAGTTTTTTTGAATGTGTAATTATCAAAGAAAAACTAGCTAGGGTATCTAAACACCCCACATGTCTATCGAAGGGTCAAATTCACATGGACAAGTTTTGAAATCTATACTTATGATGGATGATATACATTTTTTAGGGTGAACTTGGAAGTACGAGAACGATGACTGGATCTGTCAGAAGCACGAGAAGATGGACAAGTTTGCGTCAACATGTAACAAAAGTGGATGGTGTAAAACCAGTTGTTGAGCTTTTATTGGATCGTGAAATAAATTCAGCAACACCACCACCAGGTTCTCAATCTCATTCACCCAATACACCCAGGACTCCTCATACACCTATTAAAAAATCTAATTGGGAAGTTATCGAACATTTTACTGGTGCTCCACGACCATCAATAGTTACGGTAATATAATTTTAACTCATTTTTAATTTTTCAAAGTTAATTCATCAATTAATCCATTAAAATAATAATTAAAAATTTTTTTCTAGTATATAATTCTAATAATTATTATGCACTAAATAATTTTGAATTCAAAATTTTTATTTTATTAACTAGAAATAAAGTTTGTAAATATCAAATCAATTGAGTGTACAGATTTTGAATATTTTTAATGAATATTTAGAGACAAAAATTTTTAATTAAAAGAGAATAAATTATAAATGATTTAAAAAAAATTCAATTAACAGAGTTTGTAATTGATACCAGTTTTTAATTTATGAATTATTGATTTTAGATGGGCGTAGGATCAGAAATTGGGGTAAGCCTAGCAACAGGAGGAATAAAAGAGTCTCTTTCTGATTCTGGAATACACACTAACTTGACTGAAAATCAGAAATGTGCTTTAAGTCGATTTTTAAGTGCTCTCTGCAAATCACATCGATTCAAAAATCTCCAGGTATTAATTTTTTTATAAAAACTTTTAAACAAAAACTCACAGAATCTTGATCTGACATTTAATATTAATTTCCATTAGAAGATATAATAGATTTAAACAAGAAGGTTATTAATATGTAAAACCTACCACAAAATGAAAATCTTGATGGATTTAGTATACCCATAATTAGCTAAACCTCTTATTATCATGCTTACGATCTTTGGGGTTCCTTTCACTAACAATGAATACTAATTAAGTTACCATATGATATAAAAAAAGGTTTATTAGATTCGGTAAAGTCACTTGGGTTCGTTATACGATAGAGGAAATAACTTTTTAAAGGAAAAAATCAACAAAAAGGGGGTTATAATAGTGTTACAAGTAATAAAAAAATTTGTGATATTTTCTAGGCATAAAAAAAAATGTTATAGAATTATGTTATCCATTTTTTGCTTCTTCTCCAAAAGAGCTGTAACAATTGTCTCTTGAGAACTTGATAATAAAAAACCACGTGTTCAGATTTTTTTGAATTCTGTATGTGCTTGGTTGAGGAACGTGATTTTTTCTCCATTGCGATTCTTCCTATTGAGATGAATTCATCTGATTCCATCATAAATCATCTCACGTACAATTTACTAAGATTTTTTTATACGCAAAAAATACAATGCTTTTGTTCACAACCCTGATAAATTAATTTACTTTTAACAATGATAATGATTGCAAAAGAAGATTATTTTATAATATGTGCTTATGTTATAGCAACTAAGTTATCTGTCAGTCACATGTTGGCAACGTTGAAGATGGGTTCTATCACTAGAACGTTAATTAATTACTATATAGCGAAGCAATTTAACACTTTCGTCTTTACTGCTCTCTCACGCATTTAAACGTAATATAAACGGAATAAGGATTGGGAGATGGTGCTAATATCAATCGCATACCATTAACATAACCATTGACACGACGACTGAATTAATTAACAACAAGGAGAAATATATAGATTCAGTTTGTCTCTATCATCAAACAATCGATCATAAGACATGCCTACTTACCTGTATGTTTGTGGTAAAGCAATCACCGTTAGGGTACTCAATCCATCAAGAACACCAAAATATCCACAATAAGCATTAGATTTGGACAAACATAAATCATATGCTATTTATAGAACCCAAATTTTTCTATCTATTTCAATTTAAGTTGATTAATTTTATTGATACTTTAACAGATCTATCAAAATTTATTATTTATTATGGGAAATAAAAATTAGAAAAAATTGGATTTTTATTAGTTGATAAAATCTCATTGTTATTATAAATTATTTTTTAATCTTTTTATTAGTTATTGGATAGTAAAAAACAAACAAGATTACGTTTTATTGGGTTTCCCCATTCTGTATCGAAAATGATAAGCTTGAGGACTATCATTTTACCGGAAATAAATGTGAAAGTTAGAAATTTATCAACATTTATTATCTATTGATCGAACATGTCAAATATGTTCAAAGTGACAGCTTAATTCTTATCATCTCTTCAGCTTTGTTACTATAATGAAATAATGGATATTTCCCCCCATATATGATTTTTTGATCAACTTATCCTTCAAACCATTTTACTGAAGACAATTAAACCAATGGTGTTTTTCCTGATGTAATAATACTTGTTACAAAGATCAATTAGTTTAATACTTTTTCATTATTTTCGTAAATATAAAATGATGAATTGTTTGTTAATAACATGAAAGTGAGTTTAAACACTCTTTAAGTGAAATTCAGAGGATTAGATAGTAGGTAGGATAGGTAATGTATGAGTATACATTAAAAGGTCACAAGAGTCAGTAAATAAACTACCAAGTTCTCGAAACTTTATTCACGTATCATACCATTTATTCAAGCGATGTACATTAAGATAAGTGCATTGAGTTGGTAGGATTTGCTGTTGGTAGTAGTTTGTTCAATAGCTTTGACAAGTATGGCACCATGGTATTTTTTATAAAAGTTGTAAAGATGCAGAAATCATTGGTACAAATATTTCTAATATCAAAGTTTGCTGATATAAAGAAATGAGAAAAATTTTTATTCCTTTTTTTATGAGTATCACGGAAAATGATGATAATAATATGAATTATAAACATAGTCACTTCTCGATCATACCATTTATATCTTGATAATTAATCTGCTGTATCAGATAGCTCCAAATAATGGTGAATGATATAAAATTAAAGTGAATCTTGTTGATATGGTATCATTTAGCTTGATTTTCAGGAAAATTGACAGGTTCAACAAATCATTAGAAATATTTGCCTTGTAATTAGATCATATTCTTGTCCCAAGGTATTTGAAACTTATTAGATACTTATTCAGCTATTATGTAATTACTCAAATCACGTAATACCTTTGAGAAAAAGGAAATGAACGTTTTTTTATTTTTACAAAGTAATTTGTTACGCGAACCAGTCTTAATATGACTGAACTGTATTTTCAACATGAGAAAATAAACTCTAAACTACAACCTTTCCTTAACTCAATTAAAAATAATGATTTCAATTAATGGAGAAACATGAACACTATAATGTTCATTATTATTTGTAGGTCAAGTCAAGAAGAAACTGGATAAATTTTGTATATTATTCTCATTGTAAAATTCTCTAATTAATTAAGATAACAGTCATATTTTTCATTAAAAATATAATGATAATTTTGATGCAGAATTACTGAATGATAATTATTTTAATTCTGATTTCAGGTAGAGATGTTGTATCAACGATATTTTTTGCGCATGAATCAAAGTAATATGACCCATGTATTAGGTCTCCTGACTGGACTAGCAATAGCTTTAGGGTTACTTGTTCTCAGACTAATATTTACAAGCGATCAACCCTTCCTTATACTCATCCAGAGGCCTGAGAACCTTTCTCTAGCATTGACTGTCGTGGGATGTATTACTATTTATGCTGGTAAGAAATTTATTCTTGTCACATTCGCTTTCTTTTCTATTGAATTTTCTTTCTCTCTATCTAATTTTTATAAACTGAATAAATTTATTCAATTGAATTTAATAATTAAATTCAACACCAAACTTACTTGACAAAATAATTATTATAGTCATTCACATTCTCACCTCTGACCTTCTTTGAATGTTAGTTATGATCTGAGTCATTTATTTAAAATTATTGATCCATATTTCCATTTAAATTGCAGGTTTGGTTGCTTCAATATCACGACCAGGGATGAACGAAGTCTGGCTTGCAGGAGTTAGTGGAGCAGTATTGGTAACATTACTGGCTCTTCAAGTTACCCTTAATATCCATCTCGCCTACTTACCAAACTTGGAAGAAATAACAAGTGATGGAGAAATTATAAAAGACAGTGATGAAGCTTCAAGTAGTATACCAGTATCAAGATCAGATCATTTACGTACCGGTGGACCTTTAGCAGCTGCTTGGCCTGTATGCTTCTTTATCTACATGGCTTATGCTCTTCTACCTATAAGATTACGTTATGCCTGTATTGCTGGGATTGTTTTCTCTGCTGCTCATCTGATTGGTGCTTTTCTACTTTATTCACAGGATTATCCAGCGATGCTTGCTCATGTAAGTTTTGAATACATCTTTTTTCATCTCTATTTTTTTTTTTATCTTTTTTTGTTGGGATTATAAAGTTAAGAATATATTTTTGAATATTTTTATAATTCAGATTTAAATTTAAAACTAATTTTTTTAATGGTCCAAGGTATTTTTAAAAAAAAAATTCATAATTCACAATAAAGTATACTTTTTTATTAAAGTCGACATATTCTGATCACTTGAAACAGCTGTCATATCAAAATTTAAAATTTATTTTCGAATGAATAAAGTCGAAGTTGATAAACTTTCTTTGCACTCAAATTTTATGGGTATGGATATTGAACAGGACCCGTATCACTAGGATTTGATTTGTTTCCTAAAAAATAATTTATATAATTTAACTACACTCAAAGAAAAAAGAAGATTAACAAAAAAAGCTCACCACTAGAACCAAGAGACATACATAAGATTAAAAAAAGTGTTAAAAATATAAATAAATGAATAAAATGTTTAATACATATTTCACTATTATTAGAAACCATTGTAGTGCTTCAACTTTAATGGTTTAAGTTTGTAACAGTTATAACATTTTTATTTGCCATTTCAAGGCTAACGATAACGGTTGCATTCGTGGTTAAGTAATCATGAGTAAATTATGCACGTAATCATCCATCGCATTTTGTGTTCATATTTATATTTGCACGCGTTTATTTTCACGATACTTTGTAATTATTATATTCATAATTTTTTATGTCAAACTTTTCTTATATATTTTTTTTATCTTTCAATGTTTGCGATTAAAATTGGAATAAAATATTTACTTGGAACTTTTTTTTTCGAATTAATGCCAAACAAGTCTAGAATCAATAGGTTATTTATTTTCAGTATTTACTCAGTTGAATTATTGTTTCGTTTTAATTTACCATTCGATTGATCTAAAATGAAAATTATTGATGAGAATAATGATTAAAAATTTTCAAAATAATTCAATGAAATAATTTTATATTTATTATTAAAAATAGCCATTGTTCTAGTTGCATTCATGAATAAAGTTACAAATGAGATTTTTCTCTTTAAAGAATACTCAACTTTGAATAATCGTTAGGTGGTATATAAAATGTGTCATCCATAATATACAAATGGTACTAGGATTTTCTAAAATGTTTTAAGAGACAAAATGAAGGAAAGAAAAAAAAGAAACATAAAACTACGTAAGACTACTATCTATGTTATCCTAGAACATATACATGTAGTATCTTTGGTCTTATCTTACAGCATGTCTAGCTCGACATTGACGATCTTCTTCAGCCCCTCACTGCGGATTTTCTTGTCACTGAGCTCTTGAATTTCCTTAACAGGCGATCTGATGAAAATATACAAGCAACCAAATGATTTTACTTATTCTTGTAGCGAGTTTATAAAAATCTCGTATTTTAAATTTTTTTTCCAGTCTATTTGGAAGAATGTTTAACAATTTTTTTTTTTTTATTTGAACAATTAATTTTTTACTCTAGTAAAATTATGAGTTTCATAGCTTATATCAATTTACATATTGAGGACGTGACGAAGGGAAATTTATTACAATGAGCGTCTTTAAATATCTATTCAAACATCCATTAAACTATTTTTCTTATAATTTTTGAATAAATTTTTCAAATGGTTTATTAAAATGAAATCATCAATAATTTACTTTTACATCAAATTTTATTCTAGTTGAATTATTTAGAAAGCAATTAAGCATACAAATAGATTTAAATATTAGATTTTTTTTTTTTTTTGCAAAGAAAATCAAGACATTGATTGATGAATGGTATAATTAATGACATTTTTCCTTCAGAGGAATTTTTAATAACATTTTTAATAAAAAAAAGTTAAACGATGAATTCCTTAAGTACATGATTTTAAATTTGTTGATTATAAAAAAATTATATTGTTATGAAGTTAACAATTTTTATTAGAGATTCAATCAAAGTTAGAGATTGGATATATTCAAAACAATACTAGAAATACAAATTTCAAGTGAACTAGTTTTCTAATATTTCCATTTCATATTTTCTCTTGTCCAAAGCATAACAACACCGAAAAAAAAAAAGTAAAAATATAAAATAAAAGAGGCAAGCTGAGTAAGATATATATTTTTTCAATGCATCACTTCAGCAACATGAGAAGCTAGAAAGGCGTTAACAATAGAAGAATATAAAAATAAAAAACGTGCAAAAAAAACCACATGAATAAAAAAAAAGCTAGTTATTATCTAATTATTTATTAGAATTAATCAAAAAGTCTTTCTCAAGCTGAAAAGAATGATGATTCTTTTAAAAGCTTGCTAAAGCTTAAAGTCTAGAATTGTTTCAGTGAATAATGTGTTTGGCTGTTGATCGATTTTCTTTGATTACTGTTGAGAGATGCATGCAAATTTCTGTACCATTTGTGGCATATTGAGACGTATTGTTTCCTTTGTCAATACATATTATAACCTGTGACTAGATGAACAAACAAGTCCACTTCATATCAACTTTATAGTCAATGTGAAACTGGAAATTATTCAATAGGAAATTACACAGGTTTAAATGAATACTGGTCAGTGTAGTTTACATCAGCTACATGAATATTACAATACCTATATTTTTAGAAAATATTTCCAATTTATATCGTTCATTATAAATTATATCTTTCCTATAAAATATGGATTATTATAAAAGTTTTAAAATAGCAGTAATTGAACGATGAAAATATGAAGTATTTAGGTACTTAAAAGTCAAGAAAATTGCTTGAGGCAAACAAGAAACCTATGAAGAAATTCCAATGTAATAAATCTTAGATATAACAAGTTTACGCATAATATACTGAAGAATTCGACAATAAAAATAGCTATTTCCACAAAAAAGTTATTGATGACTTGGTACAATAGATTTTTAGTTAGAAATTGTTTACTCTCTCTCGAGGAAAGAGAATAAATCTTCAACCATTAAGATGTAACTTCCAACGATTTAACGTAGGCGAGGGTTTGTCGAATTTTCCCTCTTTCAGTTCTCTGTGGGTCTCGAACTAGTTAATTTTTTTTTCTGCTTTTTTATTACTTTCCTTTTGTTTTCTGAATAAAGTTGATCTTTTATGCAAGAAAATGTTCTTTGTTAAAAAAGATTTGAAATTTTTCAACTTAAATTATTACTTCAATTTAAATGAATAATTTTTTTTTTATTTATTTTAAAACATTATCATGTGATATTCAATCTTTTGATTCTTCTTAATCTTTCAAACCTCTTACTGAAATCTGGTTGATAAATATTCAAGTTTTTGCACTTTTCAATATTATCAGGAAAGAATTCACATGATATAATCATTCGAATATGTGATCTTCAATACAATAATTCACACTTCTTGTTGCTTCTTTCTTTCTTGACATTCTAACACATTTTTCTTTCAATGTCTATTCCTTAGATTCTAATCCTTGAATATATATGACTTCTCTTCCGGGATGAAGCTGAAGGAAAAAAAACTTGTGAGAATTGAACCGTCGATGAGATCACCAATGTAGATCGAAAGTTCTTGAGTGGTTTTAGCTTTTCACCTTTTTACTCTTACATTTTCTTCATCTCCTCCAGGCTGACCTATGCCTTAGAAAGACTACTTTCTATCAATAATATTGAATGAAGATCTATTCAACTTTAATCTGAGAAAATTAAATGCTTAATCAATATTTAGAAGAATACAATTTATTGTTCTTTAGAAAAACCTTGTAAATAATCCTATTGAATATTAAATATTAAAATATATATCACAACAAAAGAAAAAGTACAATTATTATTAATGTATTTATAATTAAAATAAAATAATCTAATGATAATTATTTCTAAAGTCAATTAATTTTTATCATAAATAGACTAGTCAAATGTAGAACAGAAAAAGACATCGGGAAAAGATAAGTTTGCAAAGATTTAAAGCAATCAGAAGTTTGAAATGTAGTTAAGGGGAATGAAATAGTAAAAGACACTAGAACTCTGAGTTCTTAGATAGTTCCAGAAGGTAAGCTCTCAACTGTTCTTATTGAAAGCTCATTCAAGTAATATATAACAGTTCTCTACCATTTCTAGCTTACTATTTGTTGTTCTCTTTATGTTGGTTTGACAATCAGACAAAATAATCCTATCTGGATGAAGCAACATCTAGAGTATACCACGACAAAAGCTTCATAACAAGCCAAGTCTGAAGAATCTTGTACATATAATGTAACCAAAAAATTTATTCTGCTGTCAGAATAGTGAACTTTCTGTAAATGTCTTCCATCAAGTTTAACTTTTGCTGTTATTTTAATAATTACATTATTTTTCAAGGCTACACTTTCTAACAAACAACAATTAAATTTATTTCTTAAAATTTAGAGTATTATTTAATTTTTGCATTCATAGTTAAAGTTTAATTAAACATATGCTTTGCTTAGACAATCAACTTTTAATGGTTTAATCCTTGTGATTACACAAACGCATCAATTGTGTATGTACTCAAAGACTAACTAGGTTTTCTAGTTCTCACCAATCTTTTGTAATGTTTAACAAAAAAGATTGTTAACGATAGCTATTAATGATTCCTATTTAGGTTGATTATTCATTTTAATGTTAATTGGATACTTAAAAAGTTTTATAAGCTTTTTTGTTTTTTTTTAAAATAGAGCATCATCTTCAAATCTAATTCCTTTTTACACGTACTTAAAAAGAAGTTTAATGATTTTTTAATTCTTCTAGAAAATGAAAAATTTTATTCTACACATGAATAGTGGAATTATTTTCTCATCATGAATAATAATAAGTCAACAAAATGAGAATATTACTTTTTTTTTGTTGGATAAAATGGGAATAAGAATTTTTTTGAGTGGTAGTAAGCAATAATTTGTGACTTATGGTAGACATTATGAGGTCACTTCTTTAATTGTGACATATCAGAGTTCTTAGATCTTTATTATGAAAAATGACCATTTGTTTTTTCAAACTTTTGTAATTATATAACAGCAAATATATTCAGCTGACATTACATTATTAAGCAATGACAATGATTAATTTTAAAAGTCTTTTGTTAGAAATTTATACATAATAGTTACCAGTAAAATGTTTAATCTACAAAGCAAAATCAAATTCCATGAAAAAGAGTACTTTTGCTACAGTCAGCTTGACTGTAAAACTCCAATTGTTGAAAATAGTTTTGCATTTGGTAATATAAAACGCTTTGAAAGCACTTTTAGCCATTTATTGGAGTAAAAGGAACAACACACCTTTGGACACATTTTTCAAATGAAAAAAAAAATTATATTTCTGATTCATTCAATAATCCATGAACACTTTGATAGTTATTAACTCAAAAAGATATTGAGATGATAATGTACACAGTAATTGATCTATTGAAAATCACTAACTTTAATAAAAATTTTATTTGATTAAATTCTCAGTCATTTTAAATATTCATCAGAAAATAGTAGCATGAACTTGAATTAGATACTAAATTTTTGATGTAGAAAAAAATAATAAAAATTTAAGGGTAAATAATTCTACTTTTTTTTTCTAGAAAAAGGTACAAATGTATCAATTTATATGCAATAGAAAAAGTTTGATCAAAAGTCGATCAGATAAAACCACAAGTTGAACTAAAAATTGAGTCTGAATTTTCATTTTATCACGATTTTTTTTTAAAAACAATAGCAGATAAAATTGTTAATCGTTTTTTGGTAAAAACAATGAAATAATAAAACAACAAAGCTCATAACATGAAAAGCTGATTTTGGGTTTGATATTAACTGCTTGTGGCTCATTCTATCTTCTTTAAAAAAAATCCCAATGTTTGCTTTTTTGATGATCTGATTGGCTCTGATGAATTCAATGGAAATTTAGTCAAACAAAAGCTGAAAATGTAGTGAAACTTATCAAAGTTTTTTCCCTTTTGTTAATTCAATGATATTTCAATAGGAAAAAAGAATATTTAAATAAAATTTTATTTATCAACTACAAAAGGTTCATAAGATAAAATAAAAATTAATGGAGATACAATCATTGTATATTAGAATTTTAATAACAATAATAATCTAAACAAATATTTAATGGAAATCTTCAGAATGATCTCTGTCGAATAAATGAGAAAATAAAATTTGAAACATAATGACAAATGCAGCAACTGTTATCAGATAAACTTCCCTCATCATCCACTTCATATTCAGAGATCAACGATTTGCGAACTCCAATTCAAAAGCTTTGCAACCGGAAGCGGAAGTTAAAAGGTGCAGGAGGTAAAGAGGGGTCAAGAAAAGAGGGAGATAGCAACCACACAAATCGATATCTCATGCACGCTTGGTTACTTGGACAGAGAAAGTCGATATTGCTCAACATGCTTGGTGTTCGTATACTCTCCTTTTGTATACTCTCCTAATACATCCTTTCCAAGGCATCTGACTATCGTGTTTGGACTCTGACTTTCGTGTTAAGGGTTGAAATTCGAACAGCTGTTGATTGCAGATACACCCAAATCGATAAATACTTTGAGCTTGCACGATCTAGCCCAGAATGGAAAACCGGAAGAAAATCTCTCAAGTTCCTATAATCTAACTTGACGTGAGTAACTCCATGGTCTTTCGTTTACCTTCAGAATAAAAATTACCGGACATATTCATTTAAGTGATGCCATGAAATATTCATGTATTAAAGGAGTAATTAAAGTTTCTCTATTACTTTGTGTACATGTATTCAGCTTTGGACAGCAATCACGACAATATTCTAAATATTTTCCACTCTGAAATAACATTCACTCAATCACTGTTGTAATCATAATAAAAATTTGAGTTCTTACATAAATGAATAAATATTTCATAACATTATCTGAATGAAGTAATCAGTAAATATTAAGAAAAATTTAATTCAACATTTTTTACTCCAATATTTACATTCAGATGTTGAAGGATAGTTACTTGTGTACAAATTGAATACCAGTTGATAGATTAAGACATTCAATTGTAATCTGGTATTTATTTATGTATACAAATAGTTATAATCTTGTTATTACAATTTCCATCTCTCTACATCCTAACAAGAAATAATCAAACGAGAAGACGAGTTCCTGAATAATTTCCACTACTGTCACTAATTGTAAATTCCAATAATACTGAACTGTTTGATGCTAGTGAGTATTAATCATTGGACACTGTTCGAAAATACTAATGAGACTGTCATAGTTATATTCACTAGATCATTCAATTCTCTACTTTATAATGATTCATAATATAAATAATATTACGTTGTAATTAAATACCTACATTGGTTGTTGATTAAATTCATTAGACAATTGCTACCATCATTCTAATTTCATTTTATCTACTATCTTCATGATAAAAATATTATCTTTTTTGTTCTATTATCAATTATCTGATATTTGTTTATCAGAAAGAGAGGGAAAAAAATTTTATACCAATTTTTTTTTTTTTAATTAAGATCAAAGACTCTAATATGATGTTCCAGCATCAATATGTAGAGGAAGGGTCAACCAAGACAGATTTAATTAAAAGGTAGACGCCAAACAGTCAACTGGCGTGAATACTCGTAGAACCTTGTTCTGTGTATCCTTGTGTTCCAACCAGTATTGCAAAATTGATCCATTCTCTTGTCGCTTCTCTTCATTCAAGCTGCAAGCAAATCTAATAATGGATTTCTGTGGGTAGCAAAGAAATTTACAATCAATTATTTTTTTATTTAATCTTTTTATCATGAAAAACTTAAAGATGGATTATTTTAAAATTAATAAAATACTCTGTCCTAAAGATATAAATAAAAATATTTCTATTATTTTATTTTTATTATGGTCAAAATATATGAAATATGAACTGAAATGCACTTAATAATTTAATGGATTTATTTGGATCCTTTATTATAGATTTGTTCGAATAACGGAAATGGCATTGACTGTATTCACAATATTATAAAATTTTATTTGAAATATTTTTTTACAGTTATGAGAATAGAGAAATATAAAGTCCAATTGCATATCGAAATAACTGTATGATAAAAAATAGAGAATAACTGAGGTTTTTTTTTCATCACAGAAACATTAGTTTTGTAAAAGAGAAACTAAAACAAAGAGGAAAAAAAAAACGTCTTGTCACGAAAAAGCACGAATTTCGTGACTAGAATACAACATCGTCTCTGTTTAAGACAGAAGAAAAAGAAAGCTAAAAGAGTTAAAAGAATAAACAGATCCAAGAAAGCTGAGGCTCGTTCAAAGCTACCTATACTAAAGTATATACTTTATTTTACTCTTCAAAGTATCTTGAAACTTTTACTTTTACCTTCCGAATTTTCTTTAGATAAAATAATCTCTTATATTAAAGTTATTTTATTAAAAACTCTATTTTTATTTATTTTGTACTTCAACTTGACTACAATATTTAACCTAATGAATATTTAATTTTTTTAAATAAAAATTTCATTATAATTAAGAATTGTATATGATAAGTTAAATAGAAAGTACGAATGAGATAAAGAAGTTTCGAGGAAAAAGAAGTATATTATTAACTTTGTTTATAGCTGCTGAGTTCAATCGTCGTGGTAGGTGGAACAAATGTGGCAGGAGCACTGACACATCACCCACGAGAATTGGCACAGAGGCAAGCCTTTTTAGAAACTCGACAATGTGTAGAAGCACGGTTAACTACTCAAAGAGAGAATCAGCAACAGGTATGTAACAAATGTACTACAAATAAGAAGTCTATTATGATTTTTATGTTATAACATGTTCACCATTCAAGTATTCTTATTTATATCAATTCTTTTATTGCAAGTGCTTTCTCATGTTCATTAGTTCTCATAAATTAATTTCATTAATAGATTCAAATTCAATATCGTTGTTCTAGCTTAAACGTTCCATCTCATGTCTATCCACTTTCAATACTTGTGAGGTTCTGTCTAATGATTCACTACTTGTAACTTGTGTTCCACCTGATGATTCACTGCTTTCATCTTGAAGAGTTTTCTGATCTACCATTTACTTCACATTCTCCTAAGTATTTCGTCAATTAGTTTTATTCCTCTTTGAGTGATTTTTTTTTTTAGTTTCAATCAACTTTGAAAGAAAAAGCTGATCAAAAAAATTCCTACACCACAGTTCTCATCTCAAATCCTTTTCTTGTAGGTTGAAAAACCTCAACAAGTATTATGATGAATAAAGAAACAAATCTTTAACTCTTATGATGATCGATGGTTATTAATTAGGATTCTACATTTTGTATTAAGCAAATCTTGGTTTCCATGTAATCTTGATATCATTTTCAATCTTGATTCTCTTCCACTAGAATGCTGTTCGAGCTTTCAGTATCTACAACAGCTGGTTCGCTTGACTGCGGTAACTGATCCCCCTAGTATTTGTAAAGAATGCTTGGAAGACTATAGAAGTGATGAGAGTAGAGAGAATTATAGATGAGAATGGTGAATGCAGTGTTTCAGTTTGGAATCATGTTGGGAGGAAAAAAAGAATAGCACCTTGATGTTATTCATAATTCATAAAAAAGAATTTTCAATCAGTAGCATTATTTAAAAATATTGTTATCATGATGACTAACAATTATATTCTTGATATTTTTGCTTGGAAATATATTTTTATAAATAAATGAAAAGTATAACAATTCTTGTTAGATATATATTAGATGAAGAATTTATATAATTATATTATAATTTTGTCTCTCATATCAATATTGGATAATGAATTATTAAATTTCAGGAGAGACTTCTTCTCAGTGTTCTACCTCGACATGTGGCCATGGAGATGAAAGCTGACATTGCCGGAAAACCGAAGGATACTATGTTTCACAAAATTTATATTCAACGACACGAAAATGTCAGGTAAATTTGATTAGATTCTTATTTTATTTGACATATTAATAAGGCTGAAAAATCAATGATGAAACTGTATTCTAAATATAAATATTAGCTAAAAAATTTCAATATAAAATTCGTTATTAATATTTTATAACCAAACATCAGTGAGTTTAATAACTTAATAAAAAACTTTATAAAATCATCATTATTTAGATATTATATTTGATTTCTAGATGTTTTTTTTTCAAAAGTTAATTTCCTCAAGTAATTACAAAACAAACAACTAGACAAAACCTTGTATACTAGAATACGTCAAAAGCAAGCTTTGAATATGCTTGGCATAGGATCAAATATTCATTGAAAAATCAATTGCCTTTCTGCTCTTGAGATTTCACTGATATTAATTTCGAGATTAAATAGGAGAATGGAATAGTAATAAGAAGGAAATTATATTGTAGAAAGTCAAACAAAGATTTGATTAAAAATAATATTATGTTTTTTACAGTAGCCAAAGGCGAAATTACAAGTGATAAGGTTCATTCTGATTCAGTGTACAATCAGTCAATTACATTGAAATTTTTTCTCTAGTTCTTTAGTAATTTTATTAAAAATTCTAATGCAAGAATAACAAGGGAAAAATAAAAAAAAATTAATCTAATAAACTTTTTTCATTCCAGTATTCTTTTTGCTGATATTTGTGGATTCACTTCACTGTCAGATCAATGCACTGCTGAAGAATTGGTTCGTTTATTGAATGAACTTTTTGCCAGGTATGAATTGATTTGGAAATTCATGAATTCCTACTGAATCTTAGGATTTTTTTAGTAAAAAAAAAAATCATTACTGTAATTGGGAAATCTTTTTAAATTGCCAAGATTTTTTTCTGTAATTAAGATAATTGAAGTATTTTTTAGAAAGAATACCTTTTCATTCCACTTTTTATAAGAGTTTTAATTGCCTGAAGTAAACCTATTTCTTTTTAATATTCGACTAATAAAAGGAAGTGTATGTCAATTATTCATCAATTAAACAGGATTTTTTGGTAATAAATGAGATTAAATTGTTCATGAAAATATAATGGATACGTGATTGCTATAACTTAAGTATAAAAGATGAAAAATTTATTGGAATTGAAGAAAACTGAGATTAAAGAATAATATTGTAATAAAATTCTAAAGTTATGATATGGGAAATTTTAGTAACTTAAAAAGTAAAACTTGATCAAAAATTAAACACATGGTTTAAAGTTATGTTTGGAAAGCTCAAAAATTTGTTTGACATTGATGACATGACATGTTGATGAATTAATGTGAAACGTAACATTCACAATTGTATAACCACAATTCAACATAAATTTCTGATATATTAAATTACAAATCAATATTGACAATACAAGCTATCAATCAAATATGCAATAAAGTCAGCATTGGAATATCCTGACCTACTCGTTTCCTAATTCATATGAATGCAAGCACATATTTTCAATCATTTATAAACTTGATTCTAGTATTTGTATTTGATACATCATTTGATGAAATGTTCATGATACATTTGTGGCATTTGTCAAGTACAAATTATATTTATTATACAGAGATCTATCATGTTTTCGAGTGAATTACAGTTGTGCGTAGAGTTGTAGAAATATCTGGAAATGGATCGTCATTATGAGATCGACCATTCTATCAGGATTTATTGCCATATAAATGCATTTCATTATTCAAAATAAAATAGGTATCACACGTTTATTGTAAATACTCGTGTATAATTGATTAAATCTTGATGAAAAGTGTATTTTAGTGGATTCATTATTAACTTTATTAATTATTAAAATAGTAAAAATGTCAAAAATATTGAGTTTCGAAAATAAAATGTTAAGGATTGACGTAGGTTTATCATGATAGAGGAAAAACATGGGAGTTGTGAAATAGGATTACTTAGAGAGTAACTGTAGTCAGGTGGATTGAAAAAAAAAAAAAATAATAGAATAAAAGCCATGGTGCTTATACTATTATCGATAAAATTTAATTGGTATTTTGCAGGTTTGAGCTCTCGTTATAACCGGATCTAAAATTGGTAGAATAAGGCGCAAAAATTGGCGATCGATTAAAATAAAATTATCTTAGTGAAGGAAAATAAAAAATGAGTAAACTACAGAGGTGTAGAAAAGAAAACTGAGAGGAAAATAATAGAATAAAAAAAGTTGTTGGAATTTTTTTTTTTATACACAGGATTGATTTGAGTTAATTATCTGGCAGTTGGTATAATGATTAATTGATATATAATTTTGAAAAACCTCTTACTGAAAAAAATAATATATTTAATAGTAGTGAGCTAAACGTGTGCATAATTTGGTACATTTTATGTATATTTCATGAGTTTATAGCTGTAGTTTTATTTTGCAGTTAAAGCAGCATCTCATGCATCATTAAGTTAAAAAAAAAATTTTTATTGTTTTAAAATTCCTCTTTATAACTCTGTAAAAAATTTCCTTCAAAGATTCGAATATTATCATAATTTACAACAAATGAAGAATATAAAATTAGAATATTACTTGCTTGAAAAAATTTATAATAAAAAGATACACTATGAAAGATACTCGAAGATTAAATTCATCAAGAATTTCTTATTTAATTATTCATAAAGTTTTACAGCAATCTTTTATTTCCCTTATGAGTTTATTGTTATAAATCATGATCAATAATGAACATAAATTCATCATTTCAAACTTCCACAGGTTAAAAACTTTTACTGAGTGATTATTGGTTTTTTTTAAGCTCTTAGAGTATTAAAATATTGAAGATAATTTCATATAAACTGGAAACTAGTTGATGATTTTTTTTTTCCTCTTTAGAGAATGGATATACCTCTGGATCTAACAATAGTCTCCATTAAATAATTTATTGTATTCAATTTTCATCATATCAGTAAAATAAAAAGTATCTTTAAACTTAAGTGGAATTAGAGTAATCTAATGATTTTTAAATTGAATTATAATAGATAAATGAAGTAAAACAGAGTATTTTCCAATGTTACAGGTTTGATCGCCTTGCTGCAGAGCACTATTGTTTGAGAATTAAGCTCCTTGGTGACTGTTACTACTGTGTATCTGGCTTACCAGAACCAAGGCCTGATCATGCTCACTGTTGTGTTGAAATGGGATTAGATATGATCGATGCAATCACGTAAATAACTCGATAATATTATATTTTGTCTAAAAGAATAATATGTAAATATATTTCAAGAATACTTATTGAAATTTATATCGATGTTCAAATCATATAACTATTGCTTTCCACTTCAAGAACCAATCTAATAAAATTTGTCAGCTAACCAAGCATGATGTGAAAAACTCAAGGAGCGATTGATTTGCATGAGTCCTTGAATTTGCTTGATTCAAATTTTCTACAATACATTTTGATTTTTTCTCTCTCATATTTTTTATTGGATGAAATTATAAAAAATTATGGTACATTATTGTTATTCATTGTTTTACTTTGAACTTTATTATATTCTTTTCTAATAAACTAACTGGTAACTATGCTATCAGAATAACCAAGATAATTAATTACACTACTGTCAGAAAGTTAAACACTAACTTTATTAAGAAAATTAACTGTCTTCCCATAACAAATAGTTAACTTATTATTTTCTATTCAAATTTTCATTAAGAAAATATTTCATTACTCAAAAGATATATATTGTAGTAGGTCAATGCTTGAATTTTATATTATATTTATATCAAAACTTGGTAAAGGTAATGCTTTTTCATTTCGACTTCAATGACTAGGAAAATATTTATTTGCTTAAACTTTGTTGAAGCGGTTGATTTCGATTGAAGATTATTAAATATCGGAATATATAAAAAATTAAAGTGATAAGATCAAAAGTATTATCAGGAAATTTGGAGTTATTGATTTATTTCAGTGTAATTAAGGTATATTTTTCCGCTATCATTATTGCCAGTAAAAAAAGAAACTTGATTGGAAAAAAATAGAAGAGTTAATTTTTCTTTGATGCCAAGAATTTGTAATTACTTTGAGCTGTCAGTTCATTTATTAACAGTTAACAACATGCTTTTTAATTTTTTTAAAAGTAATGTTTTAATTTTTCTTATTACTTCCTATTTTAAAGTTAATACAACATTCATTTTTTAAATCACTAGTCCTTTAAACTTTTTGTTTAAAAGAAATAAACTAAGCATGCATAAGAGCTCCCAACAAGTAGTTTTATAATGTTAATAATGAGAATGAATTTAATATAAAATATAACTTCATTCAAGTTCATATCTCATTAATATATTATATTAACAAATAAAAAAAAATAGAAAACAATTTGTCGGTTTAATCTTTCTTTATTTCTATTTTTCTTCAAGAAAAGCTCTAATTGTAGTGACTGCACCATTTTTTTTAATGAACGCACGATTCTCTTCCATTTCTTCCTTCACTATTCTAATTACAATTCATGTAGAAAAAAAAATATAAAAATAGAGGATGATTGCAGTTAAAGAATTTGGAAGCTAAAAATGAATATTAAAAAAAAAATATAAATAAAAAAAAATGATTTATCAAAATTAATAATGATTTTATTAAAATATAATATTTTATTAAATAATAATAAATTCTTTATATTTAATATTATCTGTTCTGCCGATTTTTATCCCGTTTAAATCAACTAAAGCTGGATTCTAAGTATTATATACACGTAATAATAACGAAATTGAGGCCATATATAATCTCAGTATTCATAAAGTTACTGAATTATCATGTATCGATTTTTATAATCTCTTTTATAGATCCTATCATTACTTAATAATTTTTTAGTCGATCCTTCCATTATTGTTATCAGAATAATTTTTAAATTAGTTTAAAAGCTATAAATTTTATTATAAAGGTACAATTTTGATGACTTAGCAACTGGGAAATAAACACTAAAAATAATTCCTGTTGATTAATCAAAGTATAAAGAAATCGATAATAAAAAAACAAAAAACATCTATCAATTTGTGTATATTAAAGTGATATTTTTGTTCAATTACTTAGGCTCGTAAGAGAAGTTATGGCCGTGAATGTGGATATGAGAGTAGGAATTCACACAGGGCGAGTTCATTGTGGAGTGTTAGGACTTCGAAAATGGCAATTTGATGTCTGGAGTAACGATGTTACCCTTGCAAATTATATGGAGAGTGGTGGAATCCCAGGGTAAGTAATGAATAAACGAAAACACTTGAAATAATATGAATACTTAATAACTGAATAAATATTTCAGGCGTGTTCACATAACGAAAGAAACATTGGATTGCCTTGGAGATGATTATGAGGTTGAAGAAGGGCATGGTGGTGAAAGGAATGCTTACCTAAAAGAGCACAATATTCAAACGTACCTGATTGTCCCTGGAGACACTTTTAAAGATAATGTAACAAATTCGAGTTTTAGAAAAGGATATTCTGCCAATGGAAATGTCTCTAAGGAAATGAGGGTCATGGGTCATGGATCTCAACACGGCAAGCACACTAAGTAATGCGCTTATAAAATAATCAAGTATTTAACAAACTTAGCTCTAACGTGTAATTATTTAAATAATTATTCGCAGCCAATAATTTATTATAATTCTTTTTTTATTTACATCATTTAATCACTTTTTTAATTAATAATGTCCTTTATTGAAATAATTAAATATTTTCAATAGCTTTTATCATAATTTAAAGATTATTTATTTTTCATTTTTAAAAAATAAATCGAAAATAATTTGAAAATTTTTTAATAGGCTGGGCTTTGGTGAGACAATAGAAAATGAAAAGGATCCAGAAGATGAAGTAAATGAATATCTCATGCGAGCTATTGATGCTCGAAGCATTGATAGATTACGGTCAGAGCACTGTACACCCTTTATATTAACATTTCGGAGGCCAGATATTGAAGAGAAGGTAAAGTTAATCATCATAAAATTCATCTCTAAACTCTATTGATTAAAATTATGAAATACATTTTTAGTATTCAAAAGAACGTGATCGAATGTTGTCAGCATATTTTGTTTGCTCTGGATTCGTGTATGTCATCATCATTATTGCGATTGCCATTACTCTGTCTGGGTATGTAATTTTTCATGACTTAAATAATAGTAATACATTCATTCATAATGATTATTGATATAGTCATAGTTTATATTCTAAAATTTTTAATCATAAGTAGTTGCATTACATTTCTTTATACGTTTACAATTTTCACATTACAATCCACATGACATTAATGTACCATGAGATTTCATATTCTGTTATTTTAGATTTTTATTTTTTCCAATTTTTCAGAAGCGTCTATTTTTACATCTGCACTGCAGTCAGTCTATTCATCATTGCTTTTATCAATAGTATTCTTCTAGCTGAGAAAAATGAGGTAAGATATATACCATAAAATAGCAATCTTTCTTTTACCAAAAAAAAAAAAAATAGTGAATGAAAAAAATTATATCTATTTAAATTCACAGTCATTGATCAATATGATATTTCTTATTTGATTTATTCTTAGAAGAAAAATATTATCAAATATCGGCAATCTCATTATTGTTGAAAGCTAAACTTTTTTTGTTCAATATCTTTATATATCCAACAGTTTCAATAGTAAACAGCCTACCCCAATCGTGTTTGAAATGTTCGATTGAAACTTTAAATATATATTCGTCTTATGAAACTTTCATATTTTACTCCAACGCAATAATCTTTACTAAAAGAATAAAAAAAATTTTTAATAATAAAAATGATAAAATATAAAATTCAAAATTGTTGTTTTATGTAAATTAACTGTCTAGAAAGTACCAGAGTGGGTGAGGAATGCTTCAGTTACTATTCTGGAAAATCGAATGGTGGCTCAGGGTATAGCTTCTATTGTTGTCTTCCTAACATTTATAACTATATTGTCTCCTTTGGTAAGAGAAAAAATATTTTTTTATTTAAATAGAAAACTGTAGTTTTCCATACATATTGCATTTATAAAACAATAACTATCAAAAAAGAATTATTTAAACAATATTCAAAATTAAAAAATCTTTAAAAATGAATTTTATAGTTTAATTAAAATTGCAAAAACACTTTTAAAGTGTCTAGAATTTAAATTTATTTGTTTTCACAATTTAATTACATAAGAATTCTTGAGACTTGGTGTATGAATAAAGATAACAATATCTGGCGAGAAGTGATTAACTAAAATATGTTTCAACGCGGTCTCTAAATTATATAGAAGTGCTTTTGAAGGATTAATTAAATCCCAGTTTTCTTCATAATTTTTATATTCAAAAAGCATATTTATGTTTTTATAAAAATCAACATCTTAATTTTTAATATATTTACGTTCCAAAAGTCAGTATGAAATTTTTAATCAAGTTTAATTATCTAAATATTTTTGAAGAAAGCTCCCAAGTAATCTTTTAATCCTAGAAGCTAAATGAAAAGTATTTCATTTCATAAGATAATATATTATATAAGTAATAAATTAAAATACTTTGATGCTATTATATGAGAAAGTTAAAAAGTTTTAACAAATGTAAAATTTAATAATAAAATGCTTTTTGGAAATACATTTTACGTATGGATACTGCAGTTATATTTCAATAAGAAATCTTCTTAGAAAATATTATTAAATATTTTATCGTAATATTTTCTTTTTATGGTAGATAACATTAGATAGCAGCAGCGTATGTAGTAATAATACATTTCCAACAAAATCTCATGACAATTCTACTGTGGTGGTTCAAAGTATTCCTATTGCTCCGGGACCATGTAATTATATTCTATTTTCTGACGTAAGTAAATAAAAAAATACCAAATTTATCTACAATTTTACATTTATATTAATATAAATCTTGATCATATTTTAACACTATATTTTAATCAAATTAATCTACCTTTTAAAACATCTCGTTGATGAAAAAAAAAAATAATAATAATATAAAAACTCGAAACTTTTATTCTGTTTGTAGCTATTTCCAGTTCTCGTAATGCTTGTAATGGTAACGTGTGCTGTGTATCAAATTCTCACATCCGTTTTTAAAGTAGCTGTGTTAAGCATTGTTGTGGCCTGCTATTTAGCTGTGAGCATTTACCAAGCTTCAAACGAAGATGACGTTGATCAAACAGGACGATGGCTAGCTGGAGTATTAGTTATCTTTTTTATGGCTTTTCTTGTTGCTCATTCTCAACACACTGAAGCTACTTATCGTCTTGATTTTCTATGGAAGCTCCAAGCAACTGAAGAAAAAGAAGAAATGGAGCATCTGAAAGCTTACAACCAGAAGCTCCTTGCAAATATACTACCGGAGCACGTAGCAGCACATTTTCTATCTACTGTCAACTCCGATGTATGTAATTATTGCTCTATACGTTCTATGTGATGCAATATTATATTCATGAATGCTTTACAGGAACTTTATCACGAGCAATGTGACTTCGTATGCATCATGTTTGCATCCATTCCCAACTTCTCTGAGTTCTATGTTGAGTTGGAAGCCAATAATGAAGGGGTTGAATGTTTACGACTTTTAAATGAAATAATTGCAGATTTTGATGAAGTACTAGCTGAAGAGAATTTTAAATACATTGAAAAGATTAAAAGCACCGGAGCTACTTATATGGCAGCTTCAGGTTAGTCGAAAAAATCTTTTCAATCTTTTTGAAAAAAAAAAATTTTATGTCTATTTCTTGTCTTCAATAATTTTTTTTAAATAGAAATGAACAAATATACATACATACATCTATATTAATTTATTTATTTCGCAGAATAATTTGATCTAAAATTTTTAAATAAAAACAAACTTGAGTTGAACAATTTTCAAAAGGAAAAAAAAAAAAAAATTAGTTGAAAAAGAAAATCACCAAGTTGTCTTGAAATGGTTCAAATATGCAGAGAAAACGTTAAAGATAATTATATCACTGATAAAAATATACATATTTTAAAACTTATAAAACATCTAAAAAGAACTTTTTCAAACAATAGTTTTTGCTTGTAATTACAAAAATTTTACTCGAATGATTTTCCTGAAATTTATATTAAACTTTTACAACTTTTGATATTGTATAAATATTTTTATAATATGATTTAAACTTTTAGCAATTCTCTAACGGTTTATTTTTTTTTTTTTTTATCAGGTCTAACAAAAAGCACTTGTGATATGAAAGACTTTAAACACGTAACAGCAATGGCAGATTATGCTCTGAGAATTCGCGATCAACTGGCTTACGTCAATGAGCATAGCTTTAATAATTTCAAAATGCGAGTGGGTATCAATATAGGCCCAGTAGTAGCAGGTGTTATTGGCGCACGAAAGCCGCAATATGATATTTGGGGAAATGCAGTAAATGTTGCCTCAAGGATGGACTCAACTGGCGTGTTGGACGGCATTCAAGTGACCCAAGAAGTTCGAGATATTCTCAGTGCCAAGGGTTACCCGTTAACTTGTCGTGGAAGTATTCAGGTCAAGGGTAAAGGTAGCATGGTTACTTATTTCTTAGATGGCCCAAGAGATCCTAATAAAATGGCTACTATTGATGAAAATGATAGTTTTTGTAATTCTAATAGTATTAGTAATTCATTCGATAAACAAATCTCACAAAACAGTAGCTTTCCGTTCTGAAAATTTACTTGTTAAGAATTTATTAAAAAAAAAAAAAACAACATTTTCTCAATGAAAAGTAAATTTGTGAAACAAGGAAATGACATTTCCGTGTGAAAATTATAAATTCTTGGTAGATTTAGAGAGCGATAAATTATTTCAATTTTTTCTGTTATACTTAATCAACGATGTTCGATATAGGAAATTTTAATTAATTTTATTGAATATTGCAATGATAAATGAAGTTGATTAAATAGTGAAAAATATATTCCAGTAGTCGAATAACTATTGTCACTGGATCAATGGAAGGATTATAAAAATAAATAAACTGCATTTTAAAATGATTTACGATAAAAAAGTATTTGAATGATAGATAAACAAAATATTTTTCAATGATAGATATAAATGGGTTGATAAAAAATTTTTTAATCAACTTAAATTTATTCTACAAACTATAACAAATGCTCTTAAATATAAATTGATTATTAAAGTACGCACATTCGTCTATCAGTATTTATTATTTTTTAATTTCAATCTTTAATGCATTTTTCATCTTTTTTACTGCTGCAGTATAAACTATCATTATTTATCCATTGAATTATTATAAAGTTTAATAATATTTTGATTAAAACATTTTCTAATGCCTATTTGTAAGTATGAATATTATTTATTCGAAATATGTATCAAAAAATATTCTCAAGCTTTTAATCTACAGTTGTAGATAACGCAACTATTCACGTAAAATATTTAAACTTTACTATGAGTGGTAAGACTTTTATTTCGAGGTTCAAGTATCAACGGTGAAGTAATATAAGTAATTGATTATCATACGATAATGATAAATTTGAAACACAAATATGCACTACCAGTTTTTAATCACAGAAAATAATAACTAATGATATAATAATAGTCAAAAATTCATCAAAAGTAAACAATATTAAAGAGAGATTTATTTTTAACTACAAAAGCTCTTTTTGAATATATTTTCCAACTCCAGAATTATATAATGTTTTTTTAGAAAAATATAAAATATTTTATAAGTCATAAATACAACGAAGGGCCATAAAATGTTTATTGATTTTTATTTTAAATTACAATATGTTTAAATTAAAAAATGATTAAATTTATATATTTCGAGAATTTATAGTAATATTATTAGCATCATAACAATAATACTGGCCAAATGTAAAAAATAAATTCTTGGCTGTAAAAGGAAAGTATTGACAGCTTAAAATACCTTCAGTAGTTTATTAGAAAATTAAATACGATATAATTTATTGTGACGACTGATTATGTTCATTCTCATGTATCTGGCAGGACCAGAATAAGTATTTATGTTATATTAATATTATTAAAAGTATAAAAAAAAAGTATTGAGTGCTAAAAGTAAATATGTGATAATGATAGACGTTAAAATAAGACATTAATACCGAAAATATATAAATTATTATCAATATATATTAATCATAAAAAGATTGATAAAAATTTTGTGTATCTGTTGAAACTAATTGTTATGTCTAACTTTGGCAAAATCAGTATTTTAATTTTAATTGTATAAATGGGACAAATTAATGAGGGACTAATTGTACATCAGACTTTGAAAATACTTTCATGGTTATTTGATGACTATAAAAAAAACATTGCAACTTAAAGTAATTAAGTTGCTTTTGACTTTATAGAAAAAAGTAATTATAAAATGAGGATGTTATTACTTAATTAAAAAATAAAAAAATATATATATTATTAAAAAAAAAAGACATTTAAAAACCATACCAAAGAATAATTTTTAAATGTAATTATTGATTAAATAAACGATATATAAATAATTTAGATGAAATCAGGTATGATCAAGTGTCGAGCCTAATTGTCCAAATAAAATAGTCAATAATTGTTTGAAACAAGTAAATAATTAAATATATTAGTATCAAAATATATAAATTCTATCTGTATAGTTTTAATTACTGTTTTAAATCTACTAAAACTTTGACGTATTTTCGATGGCCTAATATGTAAACAACTTATAAAATTTGCTTTATGAGCAATGAAATCAATATTATAAAATAAAATATACATTTTTGAGTATAAAAATTCTTTTTTTGTTACCTTTCACGTTCAACTATGATTTCTAATAGAAACAAATATTTAATATTCATTAATTGACACACAAATACTGTAGTGTAACAAATGAACTTGAATTGTCATTATAAATTTCACTGATTTTGCTCAAACTGACCTACCACAAATCCTTGTACTTAATAATTTCTCTGAATTTATAGATAAACCTACATTGATAATTTAATTTTAAATACAAATTAAACACAAGACATTCTTTATAAGAAGTGTAAGTTCAATAACAGTTGATAGAAAATTAAAGTTCGTGCTTTGATTAATCAGTGTGATTTACCTACGACAGAATACAGTTTTCCATCAACTACATCATTTAGCAAATATAGAAATAGCAGAGTTAAATTTGTACTACAGAAGGTATAGACTTGACAGATGTCTAAAGTCTAGAAGATTGGGAGCTTTGTGATCAACTGATGTTTTGAGTTGATGAAGAGCGCTAACTTGTCTAGGTAAAAATGATAATTTCTTAAAAAAAATATGATATTAAATAGACAGTTCTATAGCAAATAAAATAAGAAAACAGCATTGATAACGAGTTTGGCAAGTTTTCTAATAACTGAACCAGTTTTTAACTTGAAATTATATCAGAAAAGAAATTCTGGTTTAAATTTTTTGTTCACCCAATCAATATTGACTTGAAAGAACGTGTTCTGGTTCGAAGCATGCGTATTTAAACCAAATTATGATTGGGCTAGTATCATTTTTTCATCAGATATAAACATGTTTTACCGGGGACCACGTGATTTTACAATCGCAAACCGTTGCTTAATACATTCAGTTGATGAAGAGATGTTGTGAAATCATTGATTGAAGATGAATTTAAACTAGTCTAAGGTTCATTGATGTTGTGTTAAAAAAGAATATTTCATCAGTGTGCTATCATGTTCAACTTATTCTAGCATATACTACATTTTATGCTTTATCAGGTAACATATTCTGCTGAATCTGATAAAAAATATCTACCATTTTATTCATAAATTATTATAGTTGGAATTATCGAGTTTTATTTGATAATAAATTCTTATCAACATTTGACATGTCTATTAAAATATTATTCTACTATTGATTATTGCTAATTATTTTATTCATCCATGAAAAGATATTCCCACTTTTATAAAACATTGATAACACATGGGAATATTTTTGATGAATTAAAATATCAGTAATAAAAACTCTAAAGTAAATAAATAAATAATGTCGTTATGCCTAATAATTGTAATTCATAGCATACATAGTAGTAATATATGTAATTTATTTTTTTGCGATAAGAAAGTGTGTTATCAGTATTCAAAAATGATCAACAAATTTTTTACATCGTCATGAACTTATTTAATCTCTATCTTTTCTTGCAGATGTAGATTTGATTGAGTTGATTTAGCTTATTCAACTCTGTGTCAACTAGTAGTATGACAGTGTACTGTGATACTTCATGACAATACTGTTAAAGATAAATTAAGGAATGGACTTTTTGATAACTTAAATATTACCACTATTAATACAAATATTAATCTCAGCTAATCCATTGCTCATGATGAGTCTTGAAGAGATAACACCTCAGGTAAAATTTTTTTAAATTAATAATTACTCCAAAATTTATATTAACCCGTCTGTAATAGTTAAATAAAAACTGAAGTATTTAATAAAGATATAAATGGACTTTTTATAAAGCTCAAAAGTTATCTCATACAAATGAAAAAGAGATATCTCAATTAGAAGAAAAACATTTACATATTATTTTGATGAATGAAACATGAATGAGTAATCCGTTATTAGAATCGACAATGTAGTTAATAATTAATTAATCTACCTTATTTATATTTATATTTATTTAAATGAATAGTCATCTGTTTTCTAATTAATAATTGATATTTCAGATAATTGTAGAAGATAGGTTGTCATCTCACAGACCAATAGAGAAGTATTTTGGATGGATCAGATACATTTCAGTGGAGCCTACAATGTGGCTCTATTTGATGGCTTACATGATAACATCAGTGGTAGAGCAGGCTTTCTTTGTTTATAAAGCCTGTAGAGTAAACCACAACTTCTCTGAAGATACCTGTCAAAACATAAATGAGAATGAGACAGTGAAAAACGTTGTACAGGTAAAACAATATTATAAATAATAATTGAACAATGGTTTACCTACTTATTAACTTGTTATTTATATTTACTATATACATTTTTTTATTAAAGAAATTTTACGATTAATATTGTGTACTTATTACATAATCAAAAGTATAATCACAATTATAAGCTAATGGTGTGTTTGTAGTTGACGGTATCAGATTTTCATCAATGGAATAACATAGCAGGCCATGTAGTACCAATTATCCTAGCACTTTTCTTCGGTAATTGGAGTGATAGACGTGGTAGAAAGTTACCTTTGATTATTGGCCTTCTTGGAAAAATAATATACTCAGGAATGATAGTTGTGAATGCATTTATTCCTACTTGGGATGTCTTTATGATAATCTACACTGCAACGATACCTATGGGAATGCTTGGTGGAGATATAGCTATCTTTGCTAGTTGCTTTGCGTACATATCAGACGTTTCTTCGATCAAACAACGAACACTGAGAGTGACTATTCTTGATATTGCTTATTTAAGCACAATGCCTACAGGTATTTGATGTTTATCATAAAAAAGGAATATGAATTTTTCAGATGTCATTCAATTCCATTGTTTACAATCACTTCAAGAACTTTATTAACTTGCTTGAAATAAAAAATTTATGATAAAAGTTTCTTTTGGTTGAAATGAAAGTTTCTCTAACATATATGCAACAGATTATTGTTTACTTCCGATATTATTGATAGATATTATTTTAATGTTTATATAATTTATTATATAATTATTGATTTATTGTAGGAGTCGCTCTTGGATCTTATCTATTTACAAATGTTGTAAACAGATCTTATTCAATAATGTTTACAATAAATACGACACTTCTGGTAACGTCCGTTATTTACACCCTGATTGTTCTCAAGTGGCGAACAAATTCTCGACAAGAACCGATGACTGGTGTCAATATTATAACAGATTTTTTTGATAAAGAACACATTTTAGCAACCATAAAAACTCTCACCAAGCCACGAGATCAATTCGCACGACTACATTTGTGGCTTTTATTTACAGCTATGACTTTTTATACTTTCCAAAGAGATGAAAAACCGATGAGTTATTTGTATACACAGAAAATTTTTCATTGGGACGTAACAGCTTTTAGTAATTTTAAAACTTTTCAATCATCTTTTTTCGTTGGTGGTAAGTTAAATATTAATTTAAATAAATCAATATTTCCTTATTTCTTAATAGATTTCTTTTCCAGCTATGTTGATTGGTGGACCAGTTCTCAGTAAATTATTAGGTTTGAGGGATACTGTTATAGTAATTATTGGAGCATTATCTCATGCTGCTGGAAGAGTATTATTCGCCACTGCCACACATCCCAATATCTTTTATGCTGGTCTAATTGATCTGACAATTTTTTTAAATTAGTTTTTATTCAGTAATATTTCAATTGAAAATAATCAATATATCAATTTCAATTATAGGGGCAGCTATAGCTGCAATTGGTCCAGTTGTAGCGCCTGTTCTAAGATCTATGACTTCCAAGGTCGTACCAATTAATGAAAGAGGTAAATTTAGATGGAGCTATCGAAGTAGATGAATGAGAATTTATTTTATCATCGATATATATATATATATATATATATATATATATATATATTTCTTTATTACACTATAAGTTATAAACCATTTTATTTTTTTTCCAGGGAAAGTATTCGCTCTTCTATCAGTCTGTGATAACGCGACACCACTTTTCAGTGGGGTTTTATATTCTCAACTTTACAATGCAACATATCATTCAGTGCCTAGTGCTATTTACTGGCTTACATTTAGCACTCAGATAATAGTCATTCTGTTGATATTGTAAGTCATAAAAAATCATTTTTCTATAAAAAATTTTTTTTTAAATAATATTCTTTTTTACTTTAGAATTATTCGATGTTCTTCGGCGTCTAATCCACAAGAATCAGATGATTATTTAGATGATGTAGTTTCCGGAAGCAACAAAAATGATGATAGCCACGAAAGTATTAATGTTTAAAAAAATGTGTTGTATATAAAAAACTTATCATGATAAGCACAAAAAATCAATGTTTAAATTTGTTAATATTTTTTATTGAATAAAAAATTGTTCTAAAAAAATATTTAATAGAAAAATAATTTACAATTTTTCAATTATGTAATCATTTATAAATTTTAAAATTTCTTAATTTAAACGGCTGACAATTTTTTTATAACACCGTATAGCAATTAAGAACAGTTCCTAAAAAATTACCTTTTTATTTAATTTATTGAGATCCAGTTTCTCACTTCGTCACGGTAATTTTACTCCAAAGTGAGTTAATTCAAAATAGATGTCAGGAAATAATATTATGAATAGTAGTATGTCTATTGAATTGCTAGAGTTATTTGCTTAGTTAATTATCTTGACCTTGTTCTTTTATGCAATTTTTTTTCTTTTTGATCAATCGTACTTATGTATCGTAATTTTATTTTTATTCTAATCATTCAGCAGCCAATGTTCATTTAAAACTTGAAACTTTACAAAAATTTATACATTCTCATCATCATCATCATCATCATCGTCACTATCATCATGTGTACATAATATAATTGCAATGTAAGCAGTGAAAGCGTTTCACCAACTGTTATGTCCCACCGCTAAATTGATATTCATACCATGATATCACATACATGTCAAGGATCATTGGCTAATTATTGTTTACAAATTCTTGTAACATTATCAACAGTTGAATGTTTTTGATAATCACCGAGCATTGATTCCAAGCTTTTAAAGTTAAGTAGTAAAATTGTTTTAGACTTTATTTCTCTTTTAATTCGATTGTTTTTTCTTGTCTCACAACCAGGTCATGTAGCCTACTTAGGACACTATCTCCTTACATATTTAAATTCATTAGAAAATCTTTTGTTTCCCAAAGATGAATAAAAAGAAAATTCATACTCTTTTCTTTTTAACACGTTACAGACAAATTAGGACTTTCGCATATGAATAGAAAGGAGAAGTTTAACAGTTCCTTATTTTAATTCATACTTTCATGTATTTTCATTCCCCAAGTGACTTGAAGAGATATCTTCTTAGTATATAAATACTATTTTATTGACATAACGTAACATATCGGGTTCTTAGAAATGGGCTCCCTCAGTTTAAATATCTAATTCATGAAATATAATAGATTCAAATCCGTTTGAGAAATTTAGTGTCATTGGCCTAGATATACACTTATTTTTTTCACAAAGATTATTTACATTAGTATTCAGACTGAATCTGAAGAAGAAATAGGAGGAAATTTTAACTGGTAGTTCATGGCTTGAAAGATTTCTGCACTTTACGCAGGTATTTTGGACAATTTACAACAAACAAATTGAATAATTCATGAGAAAACAGCTAAAATGAAAAAAAAATAACTTATTTTAATTCTAACATTTTCTACAAAATTCAACATAATTAAATAAATTATTTTTTTATCACGTTTTTCCGTTGGAGGAAAAACCAATAAATACTGTAGCTTTATTTTTTCAAAGAATAATAATTATTAGCCTGGTCTTGTAAAGCTTTTTTCTTGAAAAAATAAACATCAAGTTTCAACGCGACCTATTTTTTTTTCTTTTATTATAAAAAGAAAAACAATGTGGTAAATCCTCTTAGAAATAATTAAGTCATTAAAACTTATTCAACATTAATAAAACTTTAAATTCAAAATGATTTTTTCAGTAATTCTAACATAATTGATTTATCATCTATAATTGTAATTATAAATATGACTCAGGTATTAAAAGAAACTTGAGTGATTAAGTTTAATAGGACACATTGTTGTTTAACACAATGCAAATAAATATTAAAGATTTTCTTGATTAAGAACAGTAAAGATGAGTTTGTCATACTAAAGCACGTCATCAGGGAACAACTACTGATACTTTGACTCATACGTAAATATGGTAAAAACCTTTAAATACTCTTGAGACATTAATTTATTCTGACAACTAATTCTTATTGACTTGCAGATCAGCTAAGATTTATAATCACTTGTATAGTAGTATTGATATTATTAGTAACAGTGGGACTATTATTATTGACACAATGTCCTAATGCCAAATCCAATATCAACAGAAGCCTTCATATGTCCCCAGTGACCATGGCTACCCTCAACTATTACTAAGTCAGATACATAGATTACAAAAGTAGATAATTTTTTCAGGAAGTTTTGCTAAATTGTGACATTCGTTGATGATTTATCCAAGGTCAGCATGCTTTTAGTTTTTGTTGATGGTAATAGATCTAAGTCACATTGATTGGTATACATATCCATCAGTATTCGTGCAATAAAATTTATTTTGATGGAGGAAAGTTATAATAGCTATATCAGTATGAAGAAACTATCAATTTTAATTTAATTAATCAAATCACGTACTTTCATTATGCATGGTTCATAGGAAAAATTATCATGTATAATTTAATGTATTTTTTTCAATTCTATAAAGTACTACTTTGTATTGATTACATACTTATGACAGAATATGTAATTAAAATTTTTTTCCATTAAAAAGCATCCAACTGTTATGATAGATTACATGTTGCGAAATCTTTTGTAGAATCTATTTAGTGAAATTTTTTTTTAATTAAAATGGTTAATTATTTAAAAAATAAGTAAATTTTCCGTATTATAAGACTATAATTCTGCATAAATTGAACAAGAAATGGATTTTTTATGGGATTAATTTCAAGATTTATTTTTTTTTTTGTTTTACGTGAGTCACTTCAAGAAGATTAAAGATTATTTTTCCATATCAACCTTCTGGTCACGTGCAACCTTTACCTCCTGACTCTATTATATTCTCAGAAGGTGGAAAAATGCAAAGCGGAAATAAAAAATATTTAGATTTTCAAACAAATACGCAGTTCTTGGAGTTTGATTTCATTCATGAATATCAAATTATTTGTTTATTCATCAATAATAAAAAAGGAAAACCTTCTTGAAGTAACATTGTTTTTTTTATAATCATTAATATTTTAATCATACATTTTCTGATGTACTTTGAATGAGGTTTTAAGTTGAAACTCATTCGCTTTCAATACTATCATATCAATATTCAGTCTTCGATAGCTGTAGAAAATTCAACTAAACTCCAAAAGTTAAACTGAATTATGTTCAAGTTTATCGTTCAAAACTAAAGTTATTCCATTTACTAAAGTCTTTTAGAAAATTATTCCAGTTCAAAAACATCAATGAATCATTACATTTTCTCCAATAATTTTACAAAATTAGTTAATAATAATAAAATAAAAATATATTTTCACTTTCTCAGTTGTTTTGGGAGTCATAAAAATGATGGAAATCCTTGAAGATATTTATCAACAAATTAATACTAATCTCTTTGTTTATTTTCAATGTAATTAAAAAATCTTCAATCCTTGATTAATGAAAAGTGTGCCATAAACTTATCTCTACATTTGATTAATGGCATCTTGTAGTAATGATAAATTTGTTTCTAATAATATTTCCTAATGCTATTTGTTAAATGTGTAGGCAGATTTTAGTATTGTATTCAACATGTTCATGAACCCTGTGATGGTGGTATTTGTTGCGTCACTTTGTTTTATACACAGACTTTTTAAACACGTTCCGACATTCATTCACGTACATTCATTACTCCTATCACTACCACAGACTCGACTTTACGAGGCCTATCGCAGATGCACATTTTCATCCTGCCAGTCTCTCTTCCTGCTCGCGCGCGAACGGTTCAGTTCTCTTATCCTCATATTAGCAAATTCATTTTCGTTCACATTATATTGCACTAAGTCTTTTGATTATTCATTCAACTGTTACTTGGATTATATATCATAACAATCACCATGAAGGTTCCCGCCATTAGGCGGACAATCCTAATGGTTGTGTCAACATTGATTAGTTCTTATCCTGTTGCTACTGCTGGTTCCCGTAATTTTACTTTGCATGGTCCAGGTGCTTTGTTGTTCGATGGAATCACCAACGTTGCTACTAGTGCAACCAATTTCTGTAAGACATCAAAGATAATTAATACAACTTTTTATTAAAAATTTCTTTTATTAATATAATCAAAGGATATTAAGTAATATTTTGGTTGAAAAAAAATATTTTTGGCACAGAATTTTAATTATTAAATTATGTAATTAATTTTCGGAAGTAACCCAAAATTGCTCAATAACTTTGGACGTGAAATTAAAAGCATGTTTGACATTTTTTTTATTTTAATAACAAAAGTATTTTAAACAATGAAAGTATTTTTTTTAAATTTATTTGAGTAGTTTCCTAGTTTTTATCCTATTATAAATGTGTCCAGACTTCCTGACTGGAATAAAAAACAATATTGTATAATATCTTTAACATCGTTGACTCTAATCTCCACAAATCTGCAATTAAACACTACACTGATGCTTAACGACTAGAGCAAAAAAAATGGGAGAAAAAATTCAACGTCAATTCGAACAGTGATTGATGACGCTATCATAGCATCGCACAAGTGCACTCATATATTTTAAAACAACAGTAAAAAGTTTATTAAATATTCACATTTTTTCTCTTATTTTCTGAGTCACACTGAAATAACTTTACCAATTAATTAAAAGTTGTTGGAAAATATTTAAAACAAACTATATTTCCACCTCTAATAAGATGTTTATTAATTAATAATTTATATTTATTTTTAGTTACGGGGGTTGTTCAACGTCAAAAGGAGCTGCTTCATCATGTAACTGATACAGCAACCGATTACGGTATTGTCCACGAGCAAACACAATACGTCATCTGATAATGACAGATTAGAAGAAAAGTGAAAGAATGATTTTGCAAGATCATTAAACTTTTTTAGTCGCCAATGCGGTGGAGAAGCCAAGGAACCTGCTGATGAACACAGCGATTATGACTACGAATTACAGTAAGTTTATAAATGCGGTGATCTTCATCAATCAATGAAACACGCATTAATCCTAAAAAGGATAGTCGACAGTGCTGCATCCATTGGTCTCGACTTCAAACTTAGACGAGTTCTTGAGAAATTTCGGACTCGAATGCCTTACGGGTTTCCTGAGCTTGACATTCCGGTTCTTGAACCTCTGCAACTACAAGATATTTATATTGAAACTAATAATCCAGAAATTGGCGAGTAAGTATAAAACTGGACGGTAAGATTTCAATTGTTGGATTTCTTTTAGACTTTAAGTTGATTTTAAAAAATTCATTTATTTTTCAGCAATTTATTTTTAATTATCTAATTATGCTAGAGATTGGTAGAATAGATACATTTTAATTTATTAAAATTCCGGAAATTTTTTTATCTAGACTTTGAATTCATGGTTTTCTTTTTTTTTTTAAATACTTCTTTTACTCATTTCAGTATCACTGATGCACATGCATATTCATGTTCAAAATGTTTTTCTAGTGTGTGCACAACTGAAAGATATTTCTAATAACAGACCTCGGGAGCTTTTAAAAGATGAATAACACAATTCTAACTTGCATCTATAGAGGAATCTTTTTTGTTGTATATCACTAAAAATGTTTCATACAATTCAAATAACCGGAAATGTATATATGAAAAAAGAATCCTGTTTATAAATGTTGCTTTTATACTTTTAAATTTTCATTAACAAAAATAAATATAAATATTTCAAATATATTCTTGTAAACAAGTAAAAACATCTACCAAAACCAAGGGCATGTCAAAAATATGAATGATGATGTAGAGACAAAAAAAAAGAAATTTAAAAATAGCATGAAAAATATCTGGATAAAATAAATTAACAAATTAATTATAATAATGATTTAATTTTTTGAAATGATTAATTATAAATATTTCAGTTTAAATATTTACGTTCATAATGTGACAATCAGTGGACTATCAACATACATAATAAATCGTGCACGATTGTCATTAATTGGTCCAACAATAGCAGTGAATCTTACAATACCAACAGTCATTCTAGATGGTTATTATAATCTTACTGGAATACTTGGAGATATGTTTTATATTCATGGGAATGGGCCATTCAGTGCTACTGCTCGAGACTTTGCTATATTCTTTGAAACTGTATTAGGATATTCAAGAGGCATGTATATGAAGAGCTTTGAGCTAGATTTTTCCATTCAAGGTGTCAAAATACGCTTGGGGAATTTTATGGGTGACAGCAAATTCGGATCGATTATGAATGACGTAAGTTTTTGATTAGCATAAAAAATTGTTTATTCCAAATACTCAGATAAATAAAATAACCAATAGACTTTCTTATATTTGAATCGAATAATTTTTCCTCAAGTTTGATAAATTGGTCATAAATAAAATAAATATCATGAATAAACTCTCTAAAAAAATTTAATAGAAACAAAAGTATTTTCTTGGTATAAATTATTGCAATGAAAGTTATTATTTATTTATTTGTTCTTAATATAATATTGAATTATTTCATTTCATTATTACCATTATTATTTTTAATATAATTAATCAAAGTAAAGAAATATTTTTGTGTAATAAAAACATATCTTTATTAAAAAAAATTCTCTCTAGTGTGATAAGATTGTCTATTTGAATTTACAATAGATCTAGCTTGGTCTAGTCATTAATAGTTAGACTGAAAAAAAAATCAGATAACTTAAGAATATTTTCTCAATGAATCTGTACAGGTCTTCCAGGAGCTCACCCCTCAGGCTATAGAGATCATTAAGCCCGAAATATTGCCACAAATACAGGATTTTATAGCAGCTCGAGCAAACGATACTATTTATCATCTTACAATGAGAGATGTACTAACCTTCCTTATCGGTGAAAATGAAATTCGAAATCACCCTCATCTTCTTATACCCTGAAGAAAAAGTGACACATGTATTTTTCGTTTTATTTTTATCTCGCAGTTTCATGCAGGATTTTTTTTATAGATTTGTTTATTGGCTATATCATCATTCGGGTGGAGAAATAGAGACAGTACTGTAGTAGATTGCTTTTAGTGTAACACAAAGAAATCCAATTTATAGTTGCAAAAAAAAAATCCTTCAGACTATCTGTAACAAAAGAATAAAATTATTAAAATTTATTTTGTGGAGTAAGCTTTGAATAAACAAAATAAAAAAAGCCAGAGGAACTTGGACAATACCATATCCGTTTTTTCTGTATTACTTAGAAGATATATTATACTAAATTTCCAGAAAGTAATCATGTTATTTTTCACTTTCTTAATGACACAGAAAGTGTGTACCTTCTTAAGTAGACTTTTATATAGAGAAACGCACTGAAAGTTTGCTCCATTCATTTATAGTGTATTGATCAGTAACGAGAAAACAGTATTTACTGCAATACTTGGTTCAAGATTCTTCATATTGATTTTATTAAATATTAACTTTTTTATTACTTTAATTTTCATTACTGAAGTTTATTGTAAATAATTAACTATAATATAATAACACAGTTATAAGGAAGAATTAAATAAATGTTTATAATAACAAATAATTATAAATAACAGTTTATTTTCATTATTTTAATAATAAAGTTTTTAATAAATATCTGCAAAGATATAAAACGATATTTTTGAAACAAAAGCTTTAAAATGTTTTGTTATAAAATAATTTAAAAAAAACTTTTTATAAAATATTTTGTTCTTTTTTATCTCTAAAAGTTTATTTTAATTTTGATTGAAATTTTAAAATTAAATATTTCAAAAATCAATGTAATTGAATTTAATTTCAATATGTATCAATAAATATCTGAGAAATGATGTTGTAATTCACCTTCAATTATTATTAACAAGTAAATAAAGTCAACATGGCAGATAAAATTGAAAAAAAAATTATGAACAAAATATTTACACAATTAACAATAGAAAACAAATCAAACACACGTGTTAGAATGAAAGAATTATACAACTGTGTAAAGTGATTATAGCAATGAAAATTTTTTCAAATGTATCTTAGCTATTAATAACCTAAAAATTGAGTAGATATAAAATTTTTAATGTATTCATTAATGATAAAAAAAGTAATGAATAAAAATAGAAAGTTAATATTATTGTATAATAAGCTATCAACTTTATAAGAAAAAATAATTATCAATACCAGAAGCTTATCAATAAAGATTTCAAGTAAAAATTAAAACAAAAAAAAAAAAGGCTTTATCTTTGCAATTTTTCACTCATAAGTGTATTATTATATAATTAATTCTATCACGCACAAGTTCATTCCCCTTAGTAATTTGCTCAATGGATTTCAAAGACAAAGGAAAAAAATTAATCGTTAATTCAATTCGCAATCATAAGATCCCCAATTCAACTAATGAAAGATAAACATTTTCTTTCGTTCTCCTTCCACATCATTGTCAACTATTCAACTTGGCAGGTTCATTCAATTAAACAATATATGATGTGATATTTTATTTATCAACCAATTAAGAGGTATTAATTAATCGAATAAAGGAATTAAAAGAATATTTTTTATGGCCAATCAAATGAATTATAGGATAATAAAAAAATTTTTTTCTTTCCTATTCGATATTTATAAGTTAATAAATTAATTGATTAACTTCACTATACTAAGTGCATCGTAATTTATGTGGCTTTTATATCAACATTGTTGATACTCTGAGAAGCAACAGTTGGTAGGAAGCATATTCTCAAAACCTATGCACTGCGCAAGCGAATCGAGAAGCAGGTATTGCATTAAATTTTTAGGACATGCGTAAGGCTTGACAATATAGTCAGATGAACAGAGAGTTGCTTCAAGTCCGATAGAAACAACGTTCGATGACAGACGCGCGTGTTTTCATCAAGAAAGCTCACTCGTTCTTGCTTTTAAAATAAATCTGACAGTTACTTGACTAGTTTCTGTTTGAGAAAGCCATTATTACCAATACTCAGCACACAAAAACCCTTTAAATTATTTTAACTAAATAGAATAAATTTATTTGAAATAAAAAGAGAAAAATAAATGATAGTATAAGAAGATTTTTTCAACATTTGAAGAAAAAAAGTTATATAATTGAATAAACTAATGGAGTTATTTAAATTTGAATTAGAATACTATTGAAATGTGAGTTAATTGAAACAAAATTTGAAAATTATTTCATCTGTTTTTCAAGATATTAACTTTAGATTCGACATATTTTTTTTAATTTTAAAAGTGACAAGTGAATTGAAATACGTTAATGAGGAACAGTAGTTTGATACTTATATTTTATTATTATTATTGTTATTATTATTATTATTATTATCAAGATAAATACTCGAAAAATTAAAACATTCCAGCGTTTGCGTTGAACAAGTGTCTTCAAAGCTGTCATTGAAGTAAATATCAGAGAGCCGATAATCCATATAAACAGTGATCGAACGTATCAATACTTGATAAATACATATTGAGTTTTATTCTAAGATTATATATTAATTTTATAATCAAGTTACAAAGTTATTCTTTTAATTGATTTCATAGTATGAGTGACTTTAAAATCACCATAAAGACACAGAGTGCTTTAGAAATTTCCTGAATATTATTTCGTATTAACAATAATCATATAAATCAATTCAACATGGACAGAATATTACATCGTTAATTGTTTCATCATAATTATACTACAATTAAAAGGTGAGTAAAATAATTAATATTTATTTATTTTTTTATTATGATTTTCAACCGTTATTTCTTCTTTTTTTTTCACTTAGACATCTTGAGGTTATTTAGTTAGCATTAATTTTTATTGCAAAGAAAATATTTATTTTGTGCAGTGATGAGTTAGAAGATGATGAATTTTTAATTATTTATTAACATTAAATATCAATGAAAATAAGTTGATAAAAAGTGTGGGAAATTCAACAAGAATTAATTTGTCAAACAATAAGAATGATATTAAATTATATTATTCCCAGGTTGCTCATCAAATTTATACACCCACATTACCTGAAAACGTAAATATAAATTTTCAATATTTTATCAAATTTTAAATGCCTTGAAAATAGTGGGATTTATTATTAAAAATATTTTAATACTCATGTTTACATTTTATAAAAATTTTTTTTTCTCTAAAATAAATAAATAATAAATATTATTATGCATGAGGATCATAGAGTATTTCAGTATTATTCAATAGCATAAAGGTCAAAATAAATAAAAATTTTAATTAACTCACCAGTTCCAGTAGAAAGTAAAATGAAAAACTTTTCAGTGAAGTTGAAGGTGCAAGTTAAAGACATTATTCAACACAATAATTTAGTCTTGTCGAAGTAAATTGTACATTATTTACTTGATCTAATTAATTCCGACTTGAACATAATTATATTTTCATATACATGCTATGTACATACTACATCATCATGATATACTGATCTCAATTAATTAAAGCTTACATATTGAGAGTTCTATGAAGTCTAAGTAAATCCTATCTATGAAGAAATAATCTCTGATCTATTTGAGGAATTATCATTTATAAATTCTAGACATATTTATCATAATCAAGAAATAACATAAACATATTTCATTCTTTTGTTTACTACTCTTCAAATATAAACGAATTTTTGAGTTCCAATTCCTCAAAAAGAATATATAAATTCAATTTATTCTATAATATAATTTTTTCATTAGTGACTACTAGAATATTCTGTTATCTTCAAAAACAACTGTTATATAGAATAAGTTAATAAAATCGCTTTGTCGTTCTCTTGACAAAAGGGATTACTTTTTTTGAATGACACTAAAGATAAAACAAGTTTGAAGAATGAAAAAAATTGTCTTGAGGGGTTAGAGAAACGAATCGGTCTTTAACCATCAATGAAGAAACGTCATTACATGACCTGAATCGAGTATTGGAATTGCTATGGGGGACAATTTACTCGACGACGCGTTCAGGATCTCATTAAAAACAAAAAAAAACAAAAAAACAATCTCTGTTATCAGGATCATTATGAAAATAGAATCAATCTGAACGTGACATAACATTTGGTACCATGATCTAGGGTGGATTGATCATTTGTACTCATGCCACCTTTTTGGTCATTTTTTTCATTGATTCTAAAGATTATCTGTGATCATAATCTAACAAGGATAATAAAAAATCGTTGTATTATCCATCAAGATTAAGGCTATTGATTTAAAAATGGCTTTTTTTTATTCACTGTTTCATTCAGGGAAATACAAATCATCACTTTTGATTGGCTTTCATTGATACCAATGCTATTGGAGAATAGCAGTGAATTTAGCAGCTATTGTAAAGGTCATTTTACATGATTTTATAGTAGACACAGTTATTAGTTATTGATGAATTAATTTGCTGTAAACTTAGAATGATAAAAAGAAGAAAAAACAAATAGCTTTTTCATTCAGGTTTTATTTTTAGTGCTAAACTTGGATATTATTGATATGATATCCTTGAGCCAAACCATAAGTAATACATCCAATCTCATAAAATGTTTTGCATATATATTAGAAATAAAAATAACTTATTATAAAAATATTATTATAAATATTATAAAAATTTGTGGAAAATATATAGAAAACGTTTAATAAATATAGCCTTGCAGCAATATGACGTCAAAAAGTTTGTTACAAAGAGTATTAGGGTTGTATCGTTGAGAGATAGATAGATTTACTGATAAAAATCTTTCAAAGGGAGTGAGTGTACTTTGAAAAATTGTCTCGGACACTCTGAAAATACAAAAGTTCTCTACAACAGAACTAATAAAATCTTACGAATCAGAAAAAAGTGTACTATGATATGTCTGAAAAGTTATGAACTTAAAAGTCTGCAAAAAAGTATAAGAAAACACATCAACAGTATTATATATTATCCTCTATATAGTAATAATAATAACAATAATAATGAGAGAAAAAAAAAGTAAAATAGTTTAGAGTAAAGAGTGGCACTCAAATTAATTATTAAGAATCAACATAGCTTGTAACTGGTGCAGTGATAGCACCCTTTAATGGCCAGACAACCGTACCAGTCACATTTTTAACATTCCCGTTTTTTATTCTACTATTCATTCATCATAGAAGAATTATTCCAATGTTATGTAGATAAAAAAAAAGATATGAATGATGTTAGTATATTTATTTATAGTTATAAAAAAAAAAACAAAAAAGTAGTTTATTTGTTTTTAGGAGGTAAATTATTTCATAAAAATAATTAATGTTTAATTTATATTACTGAGAAACAAGTTTCATTTTAGTGAAGGATTTATGTTTCATAAATATAATAATGAATATTTTCAATTATTAAATTTTTAAAACAAATTTTATTTTATTACATTTATAGAATATTTTTATTTCAAAGGAAAACATTGTTAAAATTTTTTCATTTTCAAAGACTTTCATTATTGAATTATTCTGAATAAAATAAAAATTTGTATCTTTATATCATATAGAAAAAAGCATACATCAAATGATAAGAGATGTTCTTTTATAAATTTATTTAAAAATTTCATGTTTTATTTTAAAAATTAATTTAATCAAAATTTAATTATATCATTATAATATTGTTATATTTGATTAAATAAATATAATAAACCATTAAAAAAATGATGTTGACGGAAAAAAAAATATTGCAATTAATTAGAAAGTGTCTAATTGTGAGTGAAAAGTTATTTCAAAAAAAAAAAAAAACAACAACAACAACAACGAGGACAAAAGAAAACCTTCCAGGGTAAAACTATTTGATGAGGTCATTTAAACTTTTGAAATAGTCCTAACACAGCTTGCACGCAGTTCTACATACGATGACGTTAATTATTTATAGATTATAATTTGTGTGCCTATAAAAACTCTGCACGCCACCGGAAACATGAGAACATTCTCATAAATTTACAAAAACATTTGTGTTTGTATTAAATATTAGATACATTTAGAATATTTTACACTAGTTTTTTTAGTTCATTTACACCTAGAAATTTATTCTTATCATCTCAATGATTTTTTTCACACTTTATATATCAACTTTAAATAATAACTAAAAATAAATAATTATTTTTCAATATTTAAATTTAATTAACTGAGATCATTATAAAGTAAAAAATAGAAAAAATATAGATAAAAATAAAAAATAAATAATTCAAGAATGGATCAAAAATAAAGTGAAGTAAATTATAGATTTTGTAACTGACCATGACACAAGAAAACGTCATCTTCGAACTAAAAATTCTTCTGACGCATATTTACGTCAAAAAAAAAATGGATTTTTTTCAACACATTATCATCTCACCCAAGCAACCTCAATATATTATTTTCCAATAGCTGGAAAAGCTTTTAATACCAAGTCATTCTTATCACAAAATCATTCGTGTTCTTGACATTAACAATCTTCAACAAAATAATTTTATCTACTGGAAAGCAAACTAAGAAAAAAGACATTTCATTGTAAATAATGTAGTCTAAAGGTAGAAACTGATCTAATTCAGTGAAGCTTATTCTAATTGTAAGAGACTCTTAGAGCAGGTCACGCAAGAAGTGTACTGTCAGTCATGAGCGATAATAGAGTACTGGTATTACTTGATGAAATCTCAGCTAATTAAGTCACTTTTATCAAGCTTTAGTAAATATAATTATAATCGGGAAATTAAATCCTGGATAAATATTATTAGAAAGATTAATTCTTAATCAATTGATGGATATTGATAAAATTTATGTCAACTTGATGCAATATATCAAGGTACCTTTAGTCAAGTTTAATCACAAAACTAATATCATCTTTGATAATCTTTCTTCCGTAGCTTCCTATGTAATTATCACTTGATTTTACTCTGGGCACTTATTTGTAAGTAATATCAGATTAAATTTAAACCGCAATATGATAAGATTGCAAGTTGACTGAATCTGAATTGAAGAAATAGATAAAATACTTGTTAACGATATAAAATCGTGTGTAGAGGCTTCATATGAATAAGATTTGACATGCCGTGAAATAGTATAAAATGGTGACAATTCGAAAGGATATTCTCTAAGTGCCAATCTAGACATTCTATAAAATTTTACAGACGACCTATCACGTACCTCGAAAGCACTTAAGCGAACAGAACTAGTAGGAAAGAAAATCGAAAAAATTCACGAATTTTTGTGTCAAGGATGGAAAGTAATAAATCAAAAACAATCGGTAGAAAAAAAGTGTCTGCTTTTTAGAAGATGAAAATAAAAAAATTTCTAAATCATTAGATTGAAATTGTGATATTAATTTGATCAACGTATAAACCGATATCCTATGGACATTCAAGCATTTTATACGTTTCTACTCAACATTGAACATTGGTTAATGAAATTTAATTAACCAGATGCAGGATATGTAATTAATTGCAAAATAAAGACCTATCATTCTGTTGGAACAAATGATTTTAACTACTTTTTGTAGGAATAAATTAACGTTCTAAATAGTATTATTGTTATTACAAGTGATAAAAAATATGCTAAAGTTTATGTAATAATTATTTACTTTTAGTTTTATTTATCTAAAAATACTTTAAACATTAATATAATTGTATTAGTTACAGAGGGATGTGAGGAAATATTGTTCAATTATTGTATTAATTAAAACATGAAATGAATAATGTATTCAAAGTGATGAATATGATACAGTAACTCTAATTTATACATTTAAATAAAAGTTAAACTGAATATTTTAGAGAGAATAATTGAAATTAAATTAATATTGTTGATAAAAATTTCAAAATAATTAATATTTTACACAGTTAAGTTGGAATTTTAATTGATAAATAATTGACAAAAATGTAAAATAAAATTTAATTTAGTATTTGATAATATTTTACTCTATTTCGAACATAATGCAACTATCAGAATAAATTATATCTCTGGCAATGCACCATTTTTATTGACCAACATTCCATTTTGAACAGTCAACTGACATGAAACTAGTTGGAAAGTACTCAGCTATTTCAATCATATATTGATTTTAAAATTAAATGTAGAAATATTCAAATATGTGTAATAAGATAATAAGTAATGAAAGAAGAAAAAAATATTTCAATTCTTCACTCTAAAATCAATAAGATAAATTTTATAATGAATTATATTTTAAAATACTAGATGACATGACAATGTAATATCAAATATCGATAAATTTATCTCTATCACGGTATTTCCAATTATTTTTTAATTCAAATAAATGGTAACGAAATGACAAAGTTGCAGAAAACTCAAAATAAATATAAAGTCATCTTTTTTATCTTTTTATATTGACTGCAGTTGCATAGTACAAAAGTAATTTATATTTATTAACTTTCGACAGAGTTATTAAAATATAGAGATATGGTAAAAATGAAAAATTTCTTACTGATAAATATTACCCAATCAGAAATTATTCATTTAATAAATAATTTTTTTCATTTAAAAAAAATTATCAACGAATTAAAAATAACTCTTAATAGATTAGCAATGAATTCTATTGATCAAATAAATTTTATTTCACATATCCATACACAAAAAAGTGAAAAAAAAAAAGTATTTTCATTAAACAAAAGTCGTTTTTCACTGATCCAACAATCCAAATTCATGTTCTCTAAATGAAATTTATTAGAAATAGGATACAGATTATATTGAATAAAAAAAAAAAAAATATCAACTACAACATAGTCTGCTGTACAAAATGAAATTAATCAAATATATATGTAAAGAAAAAAAAATAAAAAAAAAAAAAAAGAATATGTTTTCCACATCCGATGACAAACGTGCATCATTTTTCTTGCTTACGATCATCTTCATTTTTCAGGACTCTATCTATTTTGTCACGTGCATGATAGATAAGACATCATGACAAGGGAAAACCTCTCGAATTCTCTGCTTGATATTAAATAATTTATAATAATACCAATCGATAAAGTTCATTGAACCTACTAGATCTATTTAAACTCAAAGATAAATATATATATATAAGAATATACATAATAAAGAAAAATTTTAATTATTATTCATAACGTCTTAATATTAAAGATATACTGATAATAATTTTAGTATGATTATGTAAATTATCCTAATCAATTCTCAATAAAATTTCTATGGGTGAAAGATTATATATGTTAATCAACACCTAAATCTATAATATTAGATTTTATTAAAAATTCTATCATTTACTTTACACTGAAACCTATTTCTACATTTTACGCCCTTTTAATTCAAAACATCTTTTTTCAAGGAGATTTTAAATTCGATCTTAAATCAATTATTTATCTACTTTCAAATACTCTTACATTATGTATGACCCTTTAAAGCTAAAATTATCATAAAATTACCATATCTCTATATTGCTTTTATTATCAGGATTTTCATAAAAATAGTTTAATATATAGATATTTTTTTTTATCACAATATCAATACTTATTGACGTTTAAAATAAATAAATAATGATAGATATTTAATTATGAATTAACTAGAGGCATTTGTTATAAGAATTAATAATACTAACTAGCTCATCAAATTTGCTAACAACTTTCTATTAAACACATGTTATAGAATATGATTAATAATAGAATATATCTCTACCATAATAGTTGTTTGAGTTCAGTCTGCATTATTCCACAAATTGATTAGTTTTCCTACCTTTATGCTTGTCGTTTATTATTGTATATTTCAATGGACTATGTCTTTAAAGCAAACACCAATAAATCACGAATAAATAGTACTATTAATATTAATTAACACCAAATGTAATCATTTATTTATTATAATGATCTATTTATCTATGTTATCATTATGTAGAATATTATCAACAGGAGTTAATTTAAAGGAATGAAACGAAAAAAATAAAAAACAAATAACATAAAATTGTAAAAATTATAATTAAAATTTATATTCTAAATTAAAATAGCAAAGTTAAATTAAAAAGATACCTTGGAGTTTTCCAAGTTTTACTCTAGAGAATATTGGAAAATGTTAGATACACTTTGTGGGCGTCTAACATGAATGATTGGATCATCCATAGTAGTCATAATGTTGTGCTTGACGTTTTGTGCTTGCCGTCGCGATCACGATATTTTATCTCCAAGAAAATTTATACTTCTTTCACAACGTTCCGTAAATATAAACTCACTCACGAAAGCTAAAGTGCAATGCTCACACTTTTCATTTCTCACTGTGTATTTATTTATTTTTTCAGAAATAACTTTCATGTAAACACTTTTAGTTTGTGAAAAATAAAAATCTCAAAAACTTTATTTATCATTCAACATCTTCAACATGTATTTTCATGATGTCTGTTCATGATACATGGATTGGTCAAATGATATTCTCCAAGAAAAAAATGTGCTTTTTCAATTTACTTATAGAGTATGGATGATAACACGCTATTAGAGATAATTTGCAGTGTAGAGTAATAATTTTCTAGACAATTACCAAAACTGTAATTTAATTAAAAAGGCAATTTCAGTTATGGAACAATAAAGTTAAAATATAAGGAAACTCATCAATATCTATTGAAGTCTATTTTATTCGTTTAATTAACAAATGTAATTGTTATTTAATATTATCTTGTTATATCGTTTTGAATAATTCAAAAATTTTGATAAAATGATCTAGTGAGCAATATGAATTCATCAGTTGATAATAGCATGAATTTATTAGAGGTTTCATCCAGAAGAAAATCTCTATTCACTGAGGGATTTGACATTAAGAATAGTTATAACATTATTTAAAATTTTATGTACTTTATTTTTCTCACGATTTATAAATTTACTGTAGCAAACGAAAAAATTTCTTTCAACCAATTAAATAGAAATGGAAAATTAAATTGAATTTTCATTTGTTACAGATTACAGTCAAAGAGAAAAAGGACTAGGTGGAATAGTTGGAAGAAAAGGGTGGTTATAAATGAACGTCATGTCCCTTCATGTAAGTTAATGAATATGATTTTTTAATGATGTAATTTCACACTTTCAGGAAACAAATATGATCAACCTTTAGAGTTAACTGCTTGAGCATTCATAGAACTTTTTTAATGAAAATTGAATGTTCAACAAAGATATAATTGATCAAGGTCACTAACAATTAATACAAAAAAGCTGGTTAATTAAGTTCCTCAATTAGTATATTACATTTTCACTAGAGTGTTCTTAATTCAATTATACTTTCAATATTCTCATTAATTATTATTGTTTGAAAATTCAAAGCATTTTCAATACCTTTCTGTTATATCATCAATTTAGCACACTGTTCTGTTTAATTTTCATTAACACTAAATACTTGATAAACCATCAAATTTATTTTCAATACAACTTTTAGGAAAAAGAAAACAAAAGTTCACAACCAATTATGCAAAGATAAAAGTTTCATCAACTTCATCCACACTCTAGTAATTTCTACTTTCATACTCTCAAACTGATTGAACTCTAAGCTCGAATTCAATTGATTGAAAATTATTCGAAAGTCACAAAGAAAATGGCCATTTTCATTCAAGAAAATAAACTCTCTTTTGAATAATCAGATGCTCTATTAGCACTTAAAGTTTATCATCAAAATACATTCAAACGAACCAACCAACTGTTCAACTTGAAAAATCAATTGAACTCACTTTGAGATATAGTACATGAGCATTCCTCAGCATGTGGGTGTTTCAAAGTTTATCCCTTGAAGATGTGTACTCAACTTATTATGAAAAGGTCAACATTTTTAAATAGTTTTTAAAAATACTATCCATCTTTCATGTTACTTTCTTTCATAATTCAATTGCCTGAGTTGTCGATAGATGTAAAATGCTATAATGATTAACGGAAATAGGAATAATTCTGTAACTCTCAAGTTAATTCTATCTGAAGCTGTTTGAATAATAAAATAGATAGAAATTGATGTATTGATTAATCCAGTTAGTAAGCTGATTGGATAGATTTATCAATACTTAATAAAAAAATTCAATTTTTCAGGCAACTTTCTTCAAAAATTGCCCATAAATTGATGAAATCCTAGTAAATTATTTTAATAAGATTCTCAATATTGACAGAATAAAAACATTGATTGCTTTGGATAAGTCGAATAAGTCATGTTTATTGATTTGAATAACAAAGGTCCTTTTTATGAAGTCTTGTCAATCAAAATTTGAACATTTTTCACTGCTTTTGATTGGAATCACACCAATCCCAAATTAAAATCACCACACGCTGTTGGATTTTCAATAGAAAAATCGAATCATGTTAGAAAAGGTTGTTAAATATAAAATAAATTCAACATCTGCATGCTCTTTCATGCACATCTAATAATATTTCTGTACCTTAATAATCTTCACATTATTATACAGACAAAATTCTTTAAATCAAGCAGGAATAATATTGTCATGAACTGCTAACATTTGAATTCTATGAATTTTGCAAGATATATATGGAAATCATAAGATGAAAATATCACGATCACCAGTATAATATAGCTAACTTTGTTTACCTTATAAATAGCTTATTATCAGACTACATGGAGCATATATTTATTTATCTATGTTATTTATATCATAGTTCAGTAGCATACTGTTTCTTGAACACAATTAATTACGTATCTCAAGAGTTGGTTGTCCCAGTAAGTTTTTATCCTGATAAAAAGATATACAGAATACTCTTGAACCTTTTTACTTCCAAACAAAATAAAAAAGGGATAAATAAATTAAAGAGATTTCTAAAGACTTAAACTTAAACAGTGATATTTACATAGAGTCAGCTTTGGTCTTTGTTGATAAATGAGTTGAGATCTAGACAATTAACGGTTACACTTAATGACAAATAATTGGGGTTGACTTTTAAGTGAAGGTACACAGTGTGATAGACCAGTAATAGATGTGAATAAAAATTGAACAATCTGATACATTAGTTACTTATAAGATCTTTGCTCCAAATTCTAGAGCAGCACAATTTATTTAGAACAAATAGAGATGATTCTACGTGTGACCTAAGAAGTCACGCAATAGGATTGTAAGTTACTAAATATATACGTTTCTCCTTCAGGTTTCATGATAAAAAAAGTTGATAAAGTAGGAATAAATTATAAGTAACTGAAAGGAGTTTCTATTTTCAACTTGGATGACAGTTGACTGTGGTATGGAAGATAAAGAATGAACGGAGGTCGAAGAAACGAACTGAATATAATGTTGAAGATCAAACTTGTCGTATATAATAAGTCTGTCACAGTATGTCATGTTTGAATGTTAAAGAAATGTAAAAAAGACATTTTTTTAAAAAAATTTACCTAGAAAATCCTTCCAAGTGAATAGAGTGAATGATCACGATATAGTTTTTCATAGAATTTTTGTCAAAATCATAACACATTTCACACGCAAGCTTTATCACGACACTAAATAGATGATGATGATGATGATGATGATAATGATGGGGATGTTAACCTTTATTATAAATTTCTTATTTAGTAATAAAAGTTAAAAGGTTAAGTATGATAAAAAGGCAAAAATCGATTACTACTAAACTAATACTCTTCAAAGTACTTAGAGAGTAAACAGTGTAATCCGAAACCATTGATTCGATATAATAGGGGATGACATTCTTGTTACTATCTAAACATTTATAATAAATGAGATGAGGTATTTAAGATAAAAACAAGTGAACTTAACTTTTTTCTCAACCAAGATATTCTATAATTAATTGTTATTTTTTATTTATGATATTAATTATGAAAAAAAAACTACTAGCTATTATAGAACACATTTTATACTAATCAACCCACTTTTAAATAAAACATAAATGAAATAAAAAAAAAACCACATGGCAAAGAGTTTATAAAGTCATGTTGCCAAAAGCTAAAACAACTTGTTCAATACCTGTGGCTATAATAACATTTTGGTACCAACACTCACTATTCTCTTTACTCTTATGCGAAACCAACTCATAATATAGTTAACTTACATATAAATTTTACATCTAGTAAAGATAATTGAGTCTTTAAGGATATTGTTTCCTATTAAGAGTTAAATTTTAGCACAATCTCCAAAGACTGGTTTTTTTTTCATGACTTTATTTTAAAAAAAACTGTTTTAAAACCTATTATAAAAGTGATTTTTTGAATAATAAAAAAGATTAAAAGATTTTTTTTTCACTCACATTGTTGAACTTTTCAGGATGACATCGATTTCAATAGCCCCAGTATCCAGCAGCAAATGCTTGAGTGGCAGGCAAAAAAATGTAACAATGGTTCAATCCCTAAAAAAGGTAAAATCTTTGATAATCTTTTAGTTAAAAGTTTTATAATTAAAAATATTTAAGTTTTATATTAAATGTAATTTTCATGGCCTAAATGCATAGAAATACTCATGAATAAATGAGAGATCTAGTAAACCATAATGGACTATTATCTCTGTACACATTAGTATGCTTCATACAACTAAATCGTCTTATAATCGATAGATACTGTTGTCACTTTGCAGTTTCCTCTTATCTACCGGTTTAATCCTCATCTCCTCAACAATCAAGATTTAGTATTGAGCATTCTAAATGTACATAAGTAATATTTTAAGATAAAAACTCAATTCACATCAATGACGTCATAAATTAATTTCTTTAATGCCATCTTTATGGTTTTTATTATTTTCATGCTCCGTTACACCAACTTAACGATGAATTTTATATTAATATCAATTTCAAAAATCAGTAAAATAAATAAATAGTTGTAAAGAGCCATAAATAAATTTTGATAAAATCATTTTACTTTGAATATTTCTTTTATGGATTAAAATAAATTATAGCTTTCGTCAATTAAAGCTTTACATCTGAAAACATACATAAGTAAAACATAAAATAAATATTATTTATGAAAATTGGATTTAATCTAGTGATCGTATATCCCTAGTATTTTTCGTGATTCTGATAAAATTATCGAATACACAGAGATGTATAACATCACGTAATGTTGCCGTGAAGTTAATCAAAAAAGGAAATAAAGACTTCAAGTTTGTTACATATTTTTTTTTTATAAATAGATAGATTATTCAATTCATATAGAAATATCGTTATCTTAACATCTGTTATTTATTATTAGTTTCTTCATAAAATAAATATTTTTCTTTTAGATTAAAAATAATTGTAATTTTAATATAATTCTAAATTTATTCTTATACTCATGTATTAGATGAAACCGATTACTAATATTACCAATTCATAAGTAAAGTTGTTTTATGATTTTTTTATTCTGTCGATAATATCGTGAAATCAAATTTATAGAAACATCTGCTGATGTTATATGTACTGTTCAATTGAGTGGCTATGTGAAATGAAACATTTCACTGGGGAATATATATATATATTTGAAACTGAATTGTAAAAGGCAACATAAAATACCTTATCATGTGACAGTAAATTTCAATAGGCAGAATTAAACAGTCATAATTTATTTCATAGAATTGTATAGAGCCTAGTAAATTTTCCTCTACTTCGATTTACTTATTCATTGAATATTAAAGTATTTCCACAATACTCCAAACTATTGTCAATGTTATTAATCAAATAAAAAAGAATTTAGTTTATTGTAAAATCAATAACAGAGAAAAATAAGATAACATCTAGTAATTATAAGCCTAATTAAATAGAGTATATTGGCTTTATAATTTATAAAAAATATTTTTAATATAATTTCCCTAATTTCTAATGGAAGAATATAGATTTATTCATGTGATAAACTACAGAAGTAAATTTTCTACGACGTAATTATAATACTAATATACTTAAAGTGTAAAAGTTGATATTTCTTGTTAACACATTTTAGGCATATTAATTGGAAAAATAATATTTTATACAGAAAATACTTTGAATGAAAAGTCTAAAAGCTTGTAATATAATATTTCTGTGCTTTTAAAGCTCTTTGACAGAGAAATGCAATATAACTAGGATTAGAATGTCATTTATAACTTTTTCAATTCTTCTTTTCCACACTATATATACAATAATACGTATAAAAAACAGAAACATCAAACTGATGGTTTGCAAAAGAAGAAATATATTTCCTACACCTTCAATGTCGGTGAGGTGTTGTATTGAGAAACTTTTCGATTAAAACTATTGAACCATAAAACTCTTAGAACGTTCAAAGGATCCTGTTCATGTGAACATCTTGTACTTTGCAGGCTGGTGCCCAGAAATCTGGGATAGTATTCTTTGTTGGCCTTCTACTGCTCCTGGAGAGTTAGCAGCACTTCCTTGTCCCCATTATATCGCTGGATTTGATTTACAGGTGAAATGGCGTAGTAAATCTGTTGAATAGATTAAGCTAATATAAATCAAAATGATCGATTTTTCATTAATTACCTATCAGGCTAATGCAACAAGACAATGTAACTCGAATGGACAATGGTATTGGAGTATGGAAACTAACAGTACATGGAGTAATTATACTGGATGTTACAGCGCAAAATTCGTTACCGTTCTCATGGATATGCCGGAACTACAATCAGGCAATGTCACGTTGATAAAGGTAAACCTCACTGTAATTTTGATTTCTCTTGGGAATGAATCCAATTTAGATCCTTTTTGCTACTCTAGATCAATGTCAATATTCATTAATATTTATATATATAAAAATATCCGATTCTTTATCTTTATAATATTATTTTAAACCAATGAAGATAAATTTTTATTTACACAGTATTAATATTATTTATAAACAAGATATTCATAATTTATTAGAACATAAAAAATTAGAAATATATCTTCAATTATGGAGTATGGTTTCGAAACAATAGAATGATCAATTAATATTCAAGCGTGAAGATTTTGATTAACGTCAATGAAATTTTCCAACTCAATCAAGAATATTGTTCGAAGGAAATTTGTACGGAATTGGAATACCTAAATATGCTACTCTCAAGTCTAAAGGGATGATTATACTAACAAGAGCACTAGGGTATCCTATAACTTGACATTAACTGAGAATATCAATGGGACATAGAACATCTTTGAACCATTACATTATCTAGATCTGAGAATACTCAACAGATCTATGAAAATAATCATAATTATAATTATAATAGTACTTGAAACAAAATAACTTAAAATTAATTGCACACTGTTTTCCAGAAATACTTACCCGTTGTGAAACTTATATCTACTGTTGGGTATGCTGTTTCTCTCTCAACCCTTATTGTAGCCTTCTGCATTCTAATTGCTATAAAGTAAGTATTTAAAGAGATTAAAACAGGTAAATTACAAAGTTATAATCTATCTGATTAAAATCAAATAGAATAAAAAACAATTAAAATATGACACCTTAGAAATTTTAAACATTGGATTTAGGAAACTTCGATGTCCACGGAATATGCTTCATATGCACCTCTTTGTATCATTTATGCTACGAGCTTTCATGGCGTTACTCAAAGAAATACTTTTTATCTCTGGAATTGGATTGTCTTCTGATGTAATTATCAAAAATGGAGAAAGTTACTGGTTTGATGATAGTCTGGAAAGTAATTGGCATTGTAAAGCCTTTACAAGTATTTGGCAATACTTTATACTGGCTAATTATTCTTGGATTCTTATGGAAGGTCTTTACCTGCATAATTTAATCTTTTTTGCATTATTTACTGATTCTAATTCGAGCATTGGTGGTTACGTCATACTTGGCTGGGGTAAGATTCAATTAAAATTTTTTTTCAGTATCCTATCTGCAAAATAATTATTTTAGAATTAATTTAAGCTCTTCTATTCTTGGGTTACATTTAAATTAACTTTTTTGACTTTTAAAAAATCCTTTCAATCAATTTTAAATAATTTTATAATTGAATATTATTTATTTAGTCATTAAAAATTATATTGCCAGGTTTACCAGCAATTTTTGTCCTGCCTTGGATTTTTATGAGAGTTTCACTTGAAGATACATTTTGTTGGACTACAAATGAAAACTCTTACGTCTTTTTAGCGATACGTATTCCTATAATACTTTCTGTTTTAGTAAGTAATATATATATATAATAATTTTTTCAGGATTCATGATTTTGCAATAATAATAATTTAAAATTTTCCAGATTAATTTTGTTTTATTTGTTAATATTGTCCGTGTTCTATTCTCGAAACTAAAATCGTCAGTTTCCGAAGAAACACATCGATACAAGTAAGTCTTTTTGAAAGCAAAAAAAAAAAAAACTCTTGAATATTTTTTATCTAATTAATTTAAAATAAATTCACCTTCCTCGCAACAATCTAGACGATGGATTAGGAGTACTCTTGTCCTTGTTCCACTTTTCGGAGTGCATTATACTGTTTTCTTGGGATTATCTTACAGCATTGGTATTGATGAGCGAGTAGAGCTCATTTGGTTAACGGGTGATCAACTTTTTGCATCCTTCCAAGTACGTTTGATAAATTTATTGATATTTTTCAAGCTTTACTAAATATTATTAATTTTATTTATTGAATTCAGGGATTTTTTGTGGCTGTTTTATACTGTTTTTTAAATGGCGAAGTAAGAACTGAAGTTACTCAAACTCTAAAAAGAAAAAAATGGCCAAAATTAGGTAGTAAAAAATGGAGAGCACGATCTACGAGTAGATGTAATAGTACGTGTAGTTGTAATGCAACAAAAATTGAAGAAATAAAACATTCACAAACTTGGTGGAAATTACCATGGGCCTGTCTACTTCAAAATCAAAATATTCATCAATCTACTCACTCGATGGCGAGTACACAAGGTGTTTCCCCGATCCTGTACAGCTCAATTGATAAAATTTTGTAAAGTCTAATCGATAATAAAAATAATATTTTACTTTTGTTATTACAATTTGTTAGCATAAGCACTTTCAAAATTATTTCAATGGGGTAAATTATACATGCTTATTTCATTGATGTTATTTGAAACCAACCCACTTTAATCACCATCATTACTGCTTGTGTATAAAAGTTCATTCTTTTATTCTACGGAAACTTACTTATTTACAGATGTTACAACCCATGGATGTAGTTTAGCAAGTAGCCGGTACTATCTGGATCAGAATGTGGACCAGAGTCTTAATATCTCTGATGCTTTCTGTCATCCAAACAATCACACATCTTTACTCAAAACTGATTATACTAACCAATCAACCCTTTCATTTCATGTATGTAACAAACAATAATGTTAATTAATATTCAACAAAATTATTTCTATATTTATATTAATTACATTACTATTCAGAATTGTGAAGCACACTCTATAAATGCAATTGACAAAATGGATCATGCCAATCAACGATGGAGTGATTCTGAATGTTGCAGCTTAGCTTTAGAGCTTCATTCATTTTCTTGATTGACTGAATTAAAACAGATACAAAAAACATAAAATCCTTCAAGATCTCAGGGAGGAGAATAATCAGCTGGATAAATAATAGTGTCTACATTGAGCTGATTTCAGAAAGTCTAAATAAAACATTCCGTTATAAACGATATATTAAAATAAATTGATAAATTTATATAAAAATAAATTACCTATAAAGTCTCAGGCTGAATTTTTATATGTAAATAGTATATTATTCGCTGGCGAATAATTATAATTATAATAGACTATTATAACTAATTATAATAAAAAATAATTTTTCTAAATACTTTTGATTTAGATAAATATTTAAAAATAATATTTTATGTATTGAAATTACTATAAAGTTGATAAAGTAATGCTCATTTTTAAATTCAATTTTCACATCAATTCAATTGGAATTATAATTTATAATATGATAATAGTATCTAACTATTAATATTAAAAACAAAATATTGTCTCTGTATTATAATAATCCTAAAAAATATCTAGTGACTTTTACATTAATAAATAGATGTTAAATAATCCTATATTTTACAATAAAGACAATGAACTTCAAAAAAATATTGATTATTTTGATTTCAGTCTTAACTACTTTACATTATCACAAAGTTATCTACATTTAATGTAAACTCATATTAAAAAAAACTTTCTACATTATTATCTCTGTAATGGTAATTTAAAAATTAAATTTTTCAATTTATCAGTATTACAATTATATTTGTTATTAACAAATGAGTACAATAAGTTATATATGTAAAATAATTAAGTAAAACTACTTTCACCTTTTGTATTGATAAAAGATGGTATCCATGATGGACCATTTTTCAATTTATTTAGTTTTGCTTCATGAAGAATAACACTTCCCATCACTTGTTCAGCAGTATTCGATTGACCATAATAATCTACAAAGTATCCCTCTGGATCGATTAAGTACATTATGATAGTATGATCAACCTAAAATAATAATATACCAATCATTAACAAGATCAAGAAATAAAACAAAAAATTTTAATATTCAAACTAAATATTACTATCAATAAATGAATAGAGAAAAGCGATTTTTTAAACATAAAATAATACGCGATGAAAAATAAAATTAATCATCGGAAAAATGTAATATATTTCTATTCACATGAGGATATAAATGCAATGTTGAGAATTTATTTTACACACAAAGATAAGCTAAAAATTTGATTAGAAGTAAATTATTTTTGAATAATTATTTTTTTTAAGGAACGTATACTCACGATATAGTCATTATCACTGCTTTTCGGTCCATTACTAAAGTATACTCTATATGCTTTACAAGCTTTAGCAACTTGTTCTGGGGTGCCAGTTAATCCTATAATTTTATCTGAAAATTCTTTACAATATTTCCCAACTACTTCAGGTGTATCTCTTTCAGGATCAACTGATATAAATATTGGTTGAATTTTAAAATTATGCTGCTTCTCTATTGTTAAGTAAATTGAAAAAAATTATTAATGATGTTTCTATTATGTAAATTTTTAAATTTATCTGTAATGTCGTACAGTGCAAAACCGAACACTCACGAATTCATCCGAATTCTATCGAACATTCAAATGTTCATTTTAATCGTTTCTTCATACATAACCTCAAGTTTCAGGTTATTATTGATAAGTAAGTTTGTGCAATTATCTATTAATTAAAGAAAAAATTCTAATCCATCGTTTATCATTTTAATTGATAGTATCACAATCTAAACTAATATTTATTATCACAACTAAAACTTTTTTTGGTTATGTGACATTAACTTTGAAATACAAGCATGCAAGTATTCGGTACAATTCGGATAAGTCCGTGAGTGTTCGGTTTTGCACTGTACACTGGCACTGCTTCGGTGCAAACATTCGAAAACACAATAAGAATGTTCTTAACCTTATTCTTATTACAAATGTATTTACTTAATTCATTCTATTTAACTCACCTAAATTATCAACAATAGAAACCATCTTTTCTATTTCATCAGGGCAAATATCTGGACAATGTGTGAATCCAAAGTATATTAACACCCATTGGCCCAAAAAATCATTTGATGACACTATCTCTCCTTTGGAATTGACTAATTCAAATTTTCCACCAATAGCAGCCTTTCCAAGTGCTCGTCTACGCTCTTTATCAAGCTTCAGATCTTTTTCAGCTTGCAAATAGAATATATAAAGTAAAAAAAGACCGCCAATGGAACCACCTATAAAGAAGCTCCTCCATGTGAACGGTGATTTATTAGATGCACCAATCAAATTTTTAAATTTTTCTAAAGCCACAATCACTGGATCTTTTTTTCTTTGTTTTACACTTTTGGTATAAGTAAATTGACGTTCCTGGAATAAAGAATGTTTTTCTGTTTAATAAATGTTCATAATTTAATTTTTTTTGTTGCTAAAAAAATGGAACATCTGTATAAACATAAAAAAATGGAAATATTGGTGCCACACACTTCACTAAGTAATTTATTCAAATTATATTTCCATTAAATATCTATATATACACGAGAGTATTTTATTATTAGAAAAAAAGATAAAAATTAGCGCACATGTCTCATATATTCTAATCTTTAAGAATGATAATGTTATACGATAGATATTATTACAGTTGTAATAAAAGTATTCGACAATTTACTTTCTTAATGTTTTTTATTAGACATTTATGGCTTATTATTGGGTTATCAGATAGATCAAAAACATAGTTAAATATAAGTATAAGTTAGAATACGTCAATCTAATTAAACAATTATAAAATGTTATATCTGAGTGGGGTTATTAACTATAAATATGTATGTAGATTTTATCTCAACATCATAATAGAATGACAAAATGATTTATTCAGTAAAACACTTTTTTTTGTTAATGTGTTTAGTATTAAGAAATATAAATATAATTAGTGGAAGTATGTAAATTTTTATTATAAGAAAATGAAATGAATATCATCATACTAAATGATTTGATGCAAATAATTTATGAAAATGTTTCGTTTTCATAATTATTTACTAATCGAACATTTAATCACCTTTTAGGACGTATAACAATGTATAGACATATATGGAATGCTCAGGAAGAAACAAGACCACTATCACGTTTCCATTTACCAATAAAATATTATCATACTACGATACATGAAACAAATGCATGTAATTCAACAGAAAAATGTTGTTTAGCAGTTAAAAAAATACAGGTATATTTACTTCAGTTATTTATTTTTATTTGTTTATAATAACTATTTATATTATTATGTTGAATACTGATAACAGGAAGACCAAATGACTAAGGAGGGTTTACCTGATATAGCATATAATTTTTTAGTTGATGGCCTAGGTAATGTTTATGAAGGTACTGGATGGTACACACAAACAATTCCACATGGAAAAGAATATTTATCTATTTGCCTTTTTGGTATTAGTGATTGTAAGTCATTAGAACTTTTTATTTGACATTATAGTTAAATATAATTAACATTAATGTATATTTTTAAAATAGATAAAAATCCACCAAAAAAATTTGTGGATGGATTGCAAAGTATTTTAGAATTTGGAAAAGAAATAGGATATTTATCATCAACTGTCCAACCTTTATTAAATTTAAACAAAACGACTGAAAATATCATGAATACGAAAAAGCATCAAGATTGGGAAGAAAAATTCTTTAAGACAACAGATGACTTGAATGAAGATAAAATAGAATCCTCAAAAGTAACACCCGATGTGGATTGGTCTCAAATATTTCCAAATCGCGGTAACAAGACAGCATTTGATACAATAGTGTCAGATAAGAAAGTAATTGTTGAAAAATCAAATTGGAGTAAAGTATTTAGAGATCAGGACCAAGTTACTTCATTAGATTGGTTTAGTTTAATAAGAAATAATGAAATTCGAGACTTTAATTGGAGTGAAATATTTGATAATGATGAGGTTAATACGTCAAATATACAATCGTTTTTTCGAAGTAGACGATCGCGAGTAAATAGTAAATTAAGTCATAATAATAATTGGTGACAACAATGACATTTTATTGCTAGCATAAAAATTAACTCATTAAAAGATTTTCATTTACTTACTTGATTTATAAGAACTCTTGAACATAATTGTATATTTTTACGTAAGGATCGTATCATGAATAAAGACATCTTATCTTATTTATTTAATACTTTGTCCGAGAATTGTAAATTTTTATAGCTATTTTTTTGGTTATGCCGATTTCGCAAAATATTCTTTTGCATGTGATAATAATATAATTTAGAAAAATAAATAATTAATTGATGATTTTATTAATCAGTTGTGTATTATTCTTATAATAACATCGACTATTATTATAAAACAATCATTTACTATGCATGAATTTTTATTCTTTCTAACAAATATTAATTTAAATACGCACAACACATAATAGGTTATGTCAAAGAAGAAAAACTAGTATAGATGTCCAATCCTGGGCTAACTTAGTTTCGGCTGACATGCCGGTAAACTCGAGAGCTTAAGTTATCTGGCCAGAAGTTATCGCTTCAGAAAATTGTATGAAAGAAAGCCGCTAAATTTGAAAGCGCATGTAGGGACAAAAGAAAAACGTAAAATATAAAATTGAATTTCTGAATTTCACCCTCTTTTGAACTCAAAGCTGGACTGAGTCAGAAAATTTTTCTAGGCTGACTTTACTTAATGTGAACTGAAATTCAGTAGGTAACACGGGAGCGATAATTTGCAGGGAATTTTCATTGTAGGTAATTAGATTGCGAATTCCAGAGCATCAGAACGTATAGATTAATCCTGGATCATCAAAATCAGAGAATTCTCTTTTCTAACCTCAAAAAATGCAAAAAATCGTAATTATGCTTGGAGTATAAAATAAAGGGCGTCATCGAAAAGAGGGGGACGAGACGGTTTCCAAACACTGGCTGTTGATTATATTTAGTTTGTAAAATCAGGAGATATTCATGAAAAACGGAAAAACATAAAAATATGCATAACTTCTATGCCAATGATGCTACGGGATTAATCGAGGGCTCATATGAAAGATCTGGACTTAAGTAAAAAATTTGGCTCCCCCTATAGGATATCCCCGTCAAAAATGCCGTATCTCGCTTAGTTTTCGAGTTATGAGCGTTTAAAGATTTTTCTATGTTTTATTGGAGCATAGCTTCGTTTTTCGCTGATAACTCACGATCTATGAGAGGTACATGGACCACAAGCATATCAATAGATTCCTGAGAGTAAGAGCTTTCTAGTGCACTCGTCAAACTTATGATCCGAGCATGATTTATGCAGAAATTATAACCATTTCCGGTCTTATCTTATTTTAAGAGTCGAGGAGTTGTTTTTAGTGTTTTAATCTTACATCACATGAGCTATAGAGGTTAAACGTCATGGTGATAGTAAACAAATAATGTACACCATGCTTGGATTACTGGGGTTAATTGAGATTATGGTGCTGTCATCTATTGAATATGTTGAAACTAATTTCCTACGAAAATGATCCCCAATTGTGGGCTTCAATTTCTTCTTAATTATCTATCATCTTTTATTATCTGAAAGAATTTTTTTGGAAATTACAAAAATGGTGAGAATTGTGCTAGACAACATAAAAGATCTGAATATACATAGAAAATACATAATTTACAATTTCTTCTTATAACCTTGTAGTGCTTATCGTGTTGGAGCGCGGCAAATCAATTCATAATTATTTAATTTTCTTTCTAATTTTCTAATAAAAAAATCAATTGGATAATCGCAATTTCTATCTAGCGCACTGCATTGTAGAATAACATTCAATTTTAGACTAAAATTTCAAGTAAAAACATTCATTCGTGGAGAAATTAGAAACATACGATCCAATGTATTTCTTTATATAGATAAGGGGAATCAGTCGCTTCCGTGACTTTAGCCTTCAATTTATCATCAGAAACCATAACCTTTAAATTTAATTAGTAATGGATAGATTTGAGTATGCAGAATCACGACTTTTACCAAATGAAATTTTCATCCGTCAAGATCCTTCACTTCGATTATACGATGGAGATACAAAGGTATTATAGAACTTTTTTTTGTTATTGACACATGACGTTTCAATGAAAATTTTCAACAATTCCACAACTAATTTTGTTTACAGACTAATTTTAAAGATGGTGAGTTAGTTCTTACAAGTCATAGGATTATTTGGGGAAAAGCTGAAGATATATCTAGTGGAAAAGTTTGTTTGTCATTGTCTTTACGATATGTGGTATTTTTTGAAGAAGAAAGTTCTGATAGTTTTTTCTCTCGAAGTAAAAAAATTATTCTGCATTTATCAGAGCCTCCACTTGGTAATTATCTGGCTTAATCATTTTTGTTTTATTTTATGTATTAATTAAATTAATATGATATTCTTTGTAGACAAATTACCTGGGCCAGTTCATAACAGTATCCATATGTATATAAAATTATCATTCAAAGAAGGTTTAAGCTCAAGTTTTTTACCCCAATTGACAGACGTCATAATAAAAAGATTATGGGAGACTGTTCCACTAGTATCGACAGTATTGACATCAGTTGGTTCAGCTGACACAAATAAATCACAACAACGAATGATCAAAACAAGGACAGGAATTATAGGAATTGAAAGAAGTTTGCAAGAAAGACAGAAAGCTACTGATGAGAGTATATCTATTGCTTTTCAAGATTTAAGAAAATTAATGGAAATGGCAAAAGATATGGTATCAATATCTAAAACTATATCTACGAAAATACGAGTAATTATTAATTCTTAAAATAAACAATTTATCAATAGAGTTACATAAAAAAATATTCCTAATTCTTAAAGCCTATTGCAGGAGAGAAAAGGTGATATTACTGAAGATGAAACTGTTAGATTTAAATCTTACTTGATGAGTATGGGAATTGATGATCCTGTTACTAGAGATGCATATAAAAGTAGCAATGAATATTTTAGGCAGTTGGCTCTACAACTGGCACAAATTCTTGAAGAACCTGTTAAGGTAAATTAATATTGCTACAATGAATTTTAAACAAAAATCTTATTAGTAGATAATTTTCAGGAAGTTGGAGGAATGATGACATTGACTGATGTTTACTGCCGAGTTAATAGAGCACGAGGACTCGAATTATTATCACCCGAAGATTTATTGAATGCTAGTAAACAATTAGCTTTATTGGATCTACCTTTAATTTTAAGAGTTTTTGATAGTGGAGTCATGGTTCTTCAACTTCGATCTCACGATGATAATGCAGTCATTGAAAGTATTGCTGAATTGGTAAGATTGATAAAAATATTTTGATTTTATTACTGCATATCAGTTGCATAAGTAATTATATTATCCTTCTTCTCAGATAAGGGATAGAGGATCAGTTACAGCCGAAGAATTAGCACAGTCGGAGGGAATTTCAGTCATTTTAGCTAGAGAAAGATTACTAGTTACTGAAAAATATGGGAAAGCTTGTAGAGATGATACTATTGAATCATTGAGATTTTATCCAAATTTATTTCTTGAACAAGAAATGTAAATTGATACGAATATTTAATTTAAAAATATATAGTCTATTTTTAAAATGTTTTAATAATTATTATTCAATAAATAATTATTTTTAACTGTGGTTCTATGAACTTTTTTTCGTAGAAAACATCAGCCACTAAATTTTTTTATCTATTTTTTAAAAAAATTATTCTACTTTAAATCTTTGTGAAAAAACTTTCTTCTGTTTATGTAGATTAGAAGTGATTAATGTTTTAATTTAATTGAAATTTCATCCAATTGCACATAATGGAATGGAAGATTTAGAGTAAAAACTTTAAAGCTATCGAAAGCTGATCCTTCTTCATGATACAAACCAATTTCACTACTTCTAAATTTGAAAAAACTAACTAAAATTAATTGAACGTAATTTAAAAATTCAAAAACAACAAGTAAAATAGTTTATGTAAATCTTTATTAATGTTTCAGAAGAATAAAATGGTTAAAAAAATTCTTTTCATTTTATAAAAGCACAATTTTTCAGCTTGAATTAAATGATTGATTTACATAATTCGAATTTATAAAATTGTAAGATCCAGTATTGTAAAAAATTATTTCTGAACATTCGATCATACGTATAAAATATTAAAATGACATAATTAGTTGATAGATAAAAACATTCGACATCAATTTACAATTTCATTATTATCATAATTCAAGACATATGAATAACTCTAAAAATTTCTACATCAATAGAAAATCTAATTATTCATTAATTTATGAACGATTGACAAATAAATTAAATTAGTGTATATTAAAACTATAGTTAAAATTGTTACCATTAGGGGTATCAAGATTTGCACCATATTCCATAAGAACTTTTATGACTTTCGCATATCCATTCCTAGTAGCTTCTCGAAGTGGAGTTCTACCATCCAGTGTTTCAGCATTAACATCAGCTTTTTTTTCCAAAAACATTTTGATAATTTCACTTCTGGCAGTATCAGAAAAATTGGGTATCAGATCTGATACACAATAATGTAATGGTGTTAAATATTCTTCACTGGTTAAATGTACATCAGCACCATTGTCCAAAAGTATTCTAATTATTTCTTTGTTTTGTCTCACAACAGCACCTGCTAATATATCACAACTGGCATTAGGATCAGCACCATGTTTTAACAAAAATTTAATCATTGGAATATTGCATGCTTCAATAGCAAAATAAAGAGCTGTTTTTCCTTCTAATTGTTTAGATTGACGTATTGATCCATCACTACTTGTAGTTTTTGCATTCACATCAGCATTTCGTTGAATTAAATATTTCACTATTTTCATTCGATTTGCTATACAAGCTGTATGTATTAGAAAATAGCCAGTCCGATCGTCTACTAGATTCACATCAATATCATGATTCATCAATTTAATAAAAACATTGTCGCATTGTTCACTTATGAGTGTATGCATATAAACTTTCAAATCTGGATCTCTTGGTTTGATAGTAAATCCATTATCCAGTAAAAATTGTAAACAATTTATGTATTTCTGACCTTTTTTCAATATTGCTATTTTCGGTACTAATCTAGGAATTTCTCTAGAGAAAGGATAAATTAATTCAACGAGATGTTTATTACCTAATGCAACAGCTTGTCCTAATTCTTCTGTAAGGTCTATGTCAATCTTGTTTCTCAAGGCTTTTTTGATGAGATTTGCTACTCGCTGAGTATCCTGATGGTGAATTGCTTTCTGTATCAGTGGCTTAAAATCTTCATTTTGATTCGATTTTTTTTGAGACATGATGAAGATAAAATCTGAAACTACAAAGAATTATATAAAATCATAATTTATGAACTAAATATACATTTACATAAATTAAATTTTTATCACAAATTACCTGAGGCTGAATATAATTCTAATCGTGATCAGCCTTCGGATGGTAGATTACAACTGTACACAGCACAATAAATACGTATACAAATGAGTAATGATAGTGGTCAATACATCTTGTTTACTCCAAAATTTCATACAATAGCCAGTATTCAGTTTGAGGGATAAGATAGAAAAATTGAAAATAGTAAATATTTTGAAATTTGACATTAGTAAATTCAATTAATATCAATAATGATATTATACTAAACATAGTTTCTCCAGATTTTTCGATATTTATTTAATAGAATAACATATTTGATATGTACATAAGTAATATAATTTATACGACAATAACTTGTATTAATATATTATTATCTAATAATAATAATAAACATATAATATATATATGTAACTGTAATATTGCAATACATATATAAAGTTATCATCAAGCAAAGGACTTGGAAAAAAATAAATGTAATAAAATAATTCTTATTTATTTCCATAGAAAACATATAAATATTAAAAAATTTTTTAAAAATGCTATATATATATATAACTTTATATATATTTTAACTAAAAATACTGATGAAAATTTTTAGAATTTTTCAATACAGAAGATTGAATTATTTAGTAACAAAAGAATTGGTCTTATAATAAATTACAAATCATTAAGGCACTGTTTGTTCTATTAAAAATATTTCTATTATATATACACTAATATTTTCCATAGTTTTATACTGGAAATAATTGTATTTTGATTTGATTTTTTTGTAGGTTGAATTAATTTTATTACGTCATTTATGAAATTTAATTATTATTTCATATGGCAGTAATAAGCTTAAAATATGTATAAAAAATTTACGTATATTTTGTCGAAACAATCTTAATGTATTATATCAACAATTCTGGCTGAATTTATCTTTTGGCATTTCTATAAAGCAAGACTTGATGAAGAAATAAACGAATTAATATAATATATTGATTCTATAATAATAATAATGTATTATGAATATTTCTTGATCATAATAAATGCTTTAATCATTAAACTATTTGCTCAAATTAAACCATTTCAGTTGAATAATATCTGTTTTCTTTACACAGTGGGTAAATATAGATTATTTTATTTGAATTTGCTTCATAAAATTTTATATCATAATAGAACACAATAATGTATATTATCTTTTATACATTTATAAAAATTTTAAAATACCTATCTTTCAACTATATAAGCATATTACAATAATTTATCAGAGATTCAAATGAAAAATAGGCTGTCAATTATCACATGCATTAAATTATCTGTTATTTTACTATATATTATAGATAATTTACTTAGTTATAATTTATTTATTCAAATAAAATAACAAGTTTCTAATAATTAAGTATTTTTCTTTTCAATTTGATAAATATTTTTTTGAAATCATTTTTGCTCTGTAATTAAATATATAGATATATATGTATATAAATACACATTATATTATAACTATATTTTTCTGTACAATTTTTATATTAATCTCTTACAATTTATTTTTAATAATCACTTATAAAATATATTCATTTTATAAATAAGTGACATATAATCGATTTATGACTGTCGAATCGTAAATACAATTTTTTTACGAGCATTGAATTAATAATATGATATCAATGGGAATTCCATCAATTACAAAATAAAGCCAATTGAAAATATCCATTCGTAAATTTCTCATACATGATTAATTTTTTTCAGAGTTGTTAGTTATCGAGTATTATTTTACAATGAATAAATAGACAGAGAAACGATTATTTAAAATCTTTTATATAACAATTAGTTGTTTATCGTTACTCTGATGTTGTACTGATATCAGACTTAGAATTCTCTGTATATTTACACCATGTATTTCTATTATTATTATCAATTGCGTAATTAATTATGTCTCAGTCATCAAAATCGTGGCGTAGTTTTATATAAAGGCAAGAACCAAGAATAACACCAAAAACTTCTAGAACAGATAAACCAAGTCCAACAGCTCCCAATATTATTAAATGTTCTTTCGTTGTCTCCAAAAATTTATATATACATCCCTGAAACAAATAATATTCAATTATGTTGGAAAAAATGTTTGCTTTAAACAATTTGAGCAAAGAATTTTCAAATATTGATTTTTTAATCAACTTTCAAGGCTCTCCAGCAATGTCATGAATTTAATCAAATCTTTTTGGAGTACTTTATCCAAAAGGTTTCATTTTACAAATACCAAAATTGGTATGGCTTTAATTTTAAACTAAAAAAATGTGTATTATTTGCTTTAATTGTTTTAACAGTAAAAAAATAACTATTGTTTATAATAAAGTATAATTACTGTGTATTGAATATTTGATGGATGATCTCGTCGTCCACAATATAATGATGGAGTTTTACAACAACTATCGGGTACTAAACTTCCATCACGTTGTACTTGTTCATCTTTATACCATTCACTTGCTAACCAATCTTCAAATCTATGAGCTCCACAGCATCTAAACTGAAAAAAAAATGATACCAGTCAATTAAGTGATAAATCCTTTTCTTTTTATTTATCATTTTTACTTACTTCTATCTGCATTTTGTCAATCGCTGTGGTTTCTCGAGAGCTCACAGAATAATATTCGAGGAAGGTGCGGTTCAAAGTTTCCTTTAGTTCTGGACCAACCTGCTCTTCGTGTAATCTCGCCAATACTCCAACTCCTGCTTCTAATCCCAAAACAGCCATTACAACGAAAATGTACTGAAAACAAAGTAGAATGTGTTTTATTTTATCATATAATATTTATTACATATACACAATAGTACAAACTCAACTATACTTGAATAACAAAAGCAACATCAATTGTAATATTTCTCGACTTAAATTACAATTGTATTTCTCTTAAGTTTAAATTGTAAAATGACACGGAGTACGTGACTATTTAACAACGTATATGACTTGGATAATATCTTGAAAATAATATATGTGTACAAATATACAATAGCTTTTATGATAGTTATTTAAATTTATTTCAATTATTTCTTTGAGTTAATTGATTTCTTTAATCATCATGATACTGTCAGGGGTATTGGTAATTACAATATGATCAAAAAAGAGTAAAATGAATTTTTTATGTATTTTTTCTACTTTTAAAGTATTTCAATAAAACAGAATAAAAAATAACATTCGAAAAATTCTCGTGGTTTGATCGAGAATGGAATTCTCATGTTTCCTTTTTTCAGTTCCTAAAAATTTCTATACCATCGTTGTAAGTATTTTTAAATTGCTTTTATTTATTTATTTTTTGTTTTAGTTTACAGAATGTTACTGTGAGCGACCATATCCGGGAAGCGTATTTGCATAAGGTAATGAGGAGATCGCGTTCTCGTACACGTACAGAAGTTTGTAAAAAAAAAAAAAAAGAGGATGAATTGTTCGATTCGCCAATTTAGGGAATTCGTGCCCCAGTCAACTGTACTTTGTTGTTGAATATCAAATAAATGTAAATGTACTATGTTTTGAAAAATTGAGCAACTACTTATAATTGTTCAATTTTATTTCGCTTTATGCATTTGATATCAAATAGTTTGAATAGAGTATCAACAGTTAGTTTATTTGTTTCAAGTAAAATAAAACAAATTATATTCATCATTATTTTTCTCTTATCCATGACTCTTTTTTATTTATTTCTTAATTTAGATACAATTCTTTAAAGCTTTTTACTGAAAAATTGAACAAGATATGTCGTTGTCTAATTTAATACATGTAAGCATTCAAAAAGCATGCTGAAAGAAAATGAAATTGTCGACAGTGCTGGTAAGTCTTTCTCCAAGAAATTAAATTTTTTTCTGATTTTATTGCAATGTTTTACTCGACATCTCTTGGATTTCGGGAAGAATTACAAATTTTGTTAGAAAAAATTTACAGAAATGGTAAAAATTATGAAAAAAATTGTAATCAAAGCCAAAAAATCTACAAGTTTAACAAAATAATTTAAAATTATTTGTAAATAAAATATAAAAGTAATATTAAAGAATAAATAACATGATTTCACCAACAAAAGACTTATAAACTTACCATTAACAAAACACATCTGTTCTCAGATGATACACCACCGCAACCAAGCCAACTACCAATTACTGCAAGAGTTCCAGCAACTATAAGAGCATATGCGAGTATTGGGTATGTTGATGTTGCCATTAATGAGATATAGCTGTGTTTTGCAATTACTGTCCATATTCCTATTCCACCAACAACCAATCCGGAAAGCTGAAACCCAAAATGCAATCAATTTTTATTCAATTATACATATATTATTCTAAGTTAACTTCATTAAATTAATTATCAATAGAATGTTAATTACTGAGTTTGAATTTTTTTTTTAAATTTATAATTAAACTAATGTTTGTAAGTAAATTAGTTGATTAACATAAATACTTGTTATTTTATTTTCTTTCTAAAAATGAAATAACGAAAATCACTACAAAATCAATGAATATTTATTTCTGAAAGTGATTATTTATAACTGTTTTATTTTTAGAAAGTTCATTCATAAATAAATTTTTTTATTTTTTTTTCAGAGGATATCTTATTTTTATAGAACAACAAGTAATTAAAAAATTCCCATGTGATCACTAAAAGACTCTATCAGATGAGAGAAGAAGATAAAAGAAAGTAAAAATCTATAAACTAAGGTATAGCTCTTATTTAAACGTCTAGTATCTTTTTCACACTGAGTCCTATTATTTTAAAACCTTTCAAATTTATAGACATCGAGTCTTGTACATATACAGCAATATATTTAGTAAGAGGATATTTCTTTTAATAGTTACTATTTTTAATTAAAAAAATATCAACTTACATTGACATGTAATTACTTCCTATCACTTTTTGTTACTCTATTTTCTAGTTCACAAAATAAAAGTAAAAATAATATTTATTTTAATCAAATTCAATGCTCTTTTTATTTTAAAAAAAAATATATATATATATACCCAAAATATGAGATTGAAAAAAAAAATTTTTTTCAATTTCAAAAAAACCTTCGCAATGAATATTACTTCATAAAGACTATGTATTTCGCGCAACAGTAAATGTGTTGTACTAAGCTGTGTGGCTTTAGGCGAGTACTCGTCTCTATGCACTGCTAAAAAATTTTTCATCGTTCGTTCATCATACTGTTTGTAGAGATGCCGTGGAAAGAGAGAATGCTAGTGAATACAGTAAACAATAAGTATTATCAGTTGAGACGACAAACAATCATAAAAGTACTAAAGAAGATATGAAATTTTGAAAAAGAAATCTTTCTTTTAGATGCTGTATTTATTTTATCATTACCATTACAACTACAATTTACTTTATAAATTTCAAGAAAAATTTTATAAATTGAAGTCAACATTATATCCAATTTCATTTCATCATATAAAATATCCATTAGAGTTTTATTTTATTCAAGAATAATTAGCAATTAATTTTTTCTTTAATCTATATTTAGAATGTAAATTATAAAATGATGCAAAGAGATGTTGATATTAATTTAATTGGAATTTTTATTTTTAAATTTAGTATTCACACAATTAATATACGTAGCACGTGCAGATTGAGTTGTTAACGTAATGATTATAATAAAGTTTTAGAATACTGCTCGTGCGAGAGTAGTATATGCATAACGAAATAATACCTCTACCTAGCAAGTCTAGTTATGTGTTACATAAATTTCTCATGGGAAAAGAAGTTAATTGGTAGAACTACAAGATTGCCATCTCTATAACTTAGCATTGATATTAAAATATTTATTTATTAGTTTTGAAATATTACTTACGAATAAGACAACATTGTAAATATGAAGAACATATTTAAGAAAATTCACTGAACAACAACCATCATCACGTGTCCTTATTCTAGTTGAACTACCAGGTAATCTTTCTGCACTTTTTGCCATCTTTAAATTAATTTTTCAGTGATTATTGCCCACTTCTGATAGTTTGTGTCACGTCTTCATGATATCTGTAATCATAAAATATTTTTATTCATTACTTCTTTTATCGTACAAAATTATTATAAAATTCCAATCCCACGTGAAGTAGATGAGAATTTTTTTTTTCTTTTGATTCTTTCATCTTACAGTCATAAATTTATCAAGCTTTTCTTTTAAAAACTTGGCCAAAGACCAAAGTTACATTTCTAACACATCTCTTTGGCACGTGGTTCTGAATGAATTTTTATTTTATTTCTTCAATATCTCTAGTTAATCAGGACAATTTTAATCATTCATCCTCACCAATAAAATATAAAACTTGAAAATTTAAATTCATCATTCATTGGTATTAAGAATAAAGTAACTGAATTAACTGTTCTATAATTGATTCAAGTTGAAAAAAATATAAATAAAAGAAAGTAAAAAGAAAAAAAAGGTACATCTAATAAGCTACAATGAAAGTTGAGGGTGTGACCTATCTTGTCGTGTGGGCGAGCTTGAAATTTTATAGTGAAATGTTGTCCACGACGGGTGGTGGTTGCTACAGCTTTAGCAGGAAATAAAAGGATTAGATTGCTTTTTTTTTTTCGATGTTACGTCTCTTTACTGTATACAGTTATATTGCATATAATCAACTACATGGTATATCTCACTACGAAGCACATCCTGTTTCCGTATGCCGACACTGAACTTGGAATAATATATCTCATATACGAATAAATCTTTAACAATACGTTCATAAATTAATAAATAACCATGATGAAAAGAATATATATATATTCAAAATATACCAGATAAGAGATTTTATTTGCCAACTCAGTGTACTCCAAGTCTTCATTATTTCTCATAAATCATTGATAATTGATCCCACAATTTATTGCTCCTGCAATAAAATTTTTTTCTCGTTTCTTTTGATTAATTAAAAATATTATAAAACAGTAAATACTTGGATACCTGGATAAAAATAAGCCATTGAATATTTTAATTGATGTGTTCACTTTCAGATAATAATAAAAATAATAATTCAAGACATAAACATTTTTTTGTTATAAATAATTGATTGAAGTAAAATAAGAAAAATTTCACTGCAACTAATATAATCCGTAAAATAAAACATGAGAAGATGAGTCTGAGACAGCTTAAAGCAAATGGTTTAGTTCGTATCGCTGGTTAGGACGCGACTGATCTCCGTGGGCCGCAATCCGTTAATACAATCTGTGAACGTTAACTCTCAGCTTATCTACGTGTCTGTCAGTCAACTTTGAGCCTCTATAAAACGAACAACTTAGACAAACGTTCTCTCATGTGTGATTTAACATTGCTCAGATGTACATCATATATTTCTCAAAATAAATCTCTTAAATAATGCCAATATTTCTCAACTATTTTATATATCTTCAATGTCTGCTCTATTACATGAATCATTATTTCATCATTACATTTATTTTTTATTTTTATTCACATTAATTTTACGACAAATCCAAATTTTAAAAAAAAACTAACTTATAAAAGGTTAGACAATGTTTACAATGATGTACACTGTAAATAAACAATAGCATTTTTTCTAATCAACTTTTAGACATTTCTAAACGTTTATCAGAGTTCTATAGTTTATGTATGGCATTTAAAATTGTAAACACTTCAAGTATTTAATTTCTAAATGCTTATTAAACATTTTGATTTATAATAAATGTAAATTTAATTATAAAGTATTTTTAAGAATAATGAAATGTTGTATTTCCGTTCCAAATAATCATTCAAAAAAAATGCATACAAGTTGAAGTATGTTCTTGCGTAACACATATAGATGTGTACTAGTGTAAATTATACTGCCCACATAGTAAAGTATGAGTCCACCCACCTGAACACATTTACCGAAACATTGCACGATCTATTTATCATCTTATATTTTATCCAGTAATTTTTTTTATTTTCTTACAAAAAATTTTTCAAATTTCTTTTTCTATAAAAAAAAAATATTTATTATTTTTTTCAATTGAATTGTTTCTTTATTTGATAAAAAAAGAGTATATAATTAATAGAATAATTGTTAATATGATATATATATCAGTGGATAAAATAATTAAGGATAAAGAGACGTATTAATTTCAATCTTTCAACTGATTTCTCACACCATGACATCATACTTCTATCTAACACAATGAGGACCCTTCTAACGCGTCAATTGTAGCACCATCAGTTCCCAGCTTAGGCATATCCTCATTTATTCAATGCCCTATGTCACTGGTCAATTTACTGATAAAGCTAATCATCCAATCATATTAACCTTGCCGCTCACTCTTGCAAATGCCCTCAAATTATTATTAGCTGGTTCCTGCATTATATTTAGCAAAAAAAAATCTCTACTCACATAATTACATTCTTAAATAATTATTATTATTATTTTGATAATTTTAAACCAAATAATATCACTGTTAATATACAACAGTTGACGGATTTTATTTATTGACAAACAGTAATTACCTGGAGAGACTACATCACAGTTAACGTCCACGCAAAATTGAGCTAAAGATGCTTCACAAAAGATACCAACGCTGTAGGGAATAATTTTCTGTACCTACACATTGAGATCAAGCTCATTTATCAGCTATTTTTTATGTATAAATAAATAAACAAATTTTATTTTAATGATTTATTATTTTTTTCTTTTCAAATGACTGATAAAAACCATGAAGAGGATGTAAAATTCAATTAATTATTTAAAAAATAAAATAGAAAACTAAAAATACGATTTCAAGTAGTTTGAATAGCAGCAACATTTCGTGGAGTTATTTCAGATCACATACAGAACTCTACGTCAGTTCCCAAAAGGACTCGACAGCAAATTAGTTATCACTGACCAATTTATCGTTTACTCTCTACATCTCCTATCCTGTGTCGTTTATTTACAAGTTAAATCGTTCTGGATTACCAGAATAATATCAATTAATGTTCAACATGTCGTATATGTTATTTTCAGTACACTTTGAAACCACCTGAATCAATAATATACTATGTAATAAATTAACATTTTTTTTTTTGCAACATTAACTGTAATGGTTGTTATCCAATCATTATTTATTGGATATTGTTTTTTTTTTTAATTTATTATCAATACCAAACCGTAAACATTATTACATTAATAAATAATATATTAGAATAAGACTTACGAAAGAAATGCAAATATATGGTGGTACAGTGTTATGTTAAAAATAACCCACAACAGTACATAGTAGAGAGTACATGTAAAAAAGCCTCAAGCTATGCTAAGTCTAACTCTATCCGGACATCAATCTCAGTTACTACATGAGTCTGTACAGTATACGTGACATTATTGCTTTTAGTATTGCTCCTTGATGTGTAGGACGTCTAACGACTCGTCACTACTTTGTTGAAAATAAAAAAAAAAAAAAATGAAGGAAAGTGTAGGAAATAAGTAAGATAAAAAATTGACAACAATAAAATTACTTATTACACATTTTTTTGATAAGCAAGAGAGAGAAAAAAAAATGATGAGCTATAAAATACTTTTGATATGAAGGATTGATGTCAAAAATGAAGTACAAAAAAGAAGGTTCCATTGTAATGTCAAGAATGGAGACAAAAAATATAAAGTATGATATTTATAAGTAAAAAATTTAAATAAAAACGAAAAGAAGAAAACTAAGAAGAAGAAAGGTCAAGAACTTATGACGTTAGTTAACTGATCCTTCAACTTCATGAACTCGACCTCGATTGTATCATTGTTATAATATCATAATATAATTTACTACTTCAAATCTTACCATAAATCAGTTTAAAATATTTTATTATCAAAATAAAAAATACCATGCAAATGCACGATATTTATTACGATAAAAATAGAGAAAATTTCATCTCCCCAGATGGCTTGAAATGAAAAAGAAAAAAATCATACTCATGATAAGAATGATATTGAGTAAGCAGAATGCCAACATCTGCCGATATTACACCCTTGAATAATTAAAGCTATCCTGTGTTATATGTAGTGTCATGTTTGACGTAATGCAGATACTCTGGAAATGCAAAAGGAAATGAGATAACAGGTTAGGATGAAACATAATAGCTATGTTTTATCGTTCTTCTTCTATACTCGTTTAGAAAATTTCACCCTAATCAGATGATGTGTATGCATCTTTATACTCCTTTTTTATATTTATTTTTGTTATCAAAGAATATTTTATCATACTATTCTCTTCAATGTCACTTTAATAAAAATAATATCCATTTGGAATTCAATACATTCTTTAATCATTAACGAAAGTATCCTTTTTTCTTAATCATTCATTTGATATTTTATTTATCCTATGATTTTTTATAATTTCATTTCACAGTTATTTAATTACACTGAATCAGTTAGCAAGAATCTTCATCTTATTTTCAATCGTTTTCATACACAAGATACACATTCCCAACAACGATGAGACAGACTCGTCATTCTTTGACCATAATCAATTCCTCACTGTACATTTAATTGACTACTAAACGAGCCTTTTATTTTCTTCGTCACTTTTATTTATATCAGGTGAATTTATTCAACTAAATCAGATTATTTTATATGGAAATACCTAAAATAAAAATAAAAGAAAAAACAAGTTAAAAAGTGCAACTATCTATGATGGAGATTTTTTTCTCACTATCTACTTACTTACTTTCTTTTTTTTCTTTTTTTTTTTTTGGTTTTATTTTCCTTCCTTACTTGCTCTTAATTCGTCCACACCTCTGTTCATTCTCCTACTTCAATTATCTTGAGTAGAGATAACGAGTGAAGCGAATCGAAACGACAAAAATTCTCCTTTTATTGTAATACCGATAGCCATCAGATCTTTTTTCTTAGCTACTATTAACTGAAAGATACTGTGCTATAAAAGCAAAGTTGGTATTACTTGGATAAAATGAAAATGAAAATGAAAATAGTAAATTTTAATATAAATGAAATAATTTGAGGTTAGTTTTTAAAAAGATGAATCAATCATCTGTGATGAATCGGATAAGTAACATACAAAAACTT